GCTTTTTCCCCCTTTTCCCCCATTTTACTTCAGTTTCTACCAACTGCATATTTCCATTATTATATGATACCAACTGTGAGGGCTAACATATACTTGCTCTGTAGTGTGTAGCTACACTTGAAAGAGACTGCCAAGTGCTCAGATCTGGATATTTGACCTAACAGACCCTCATTTGACTAGCATTACTCTAATATACACCCTCAGCTCACTACCATTGCCCTGTAATCTCCACAGGAAGAAGAAGCTAAGCTATCTTTCCCACCCACCAAGAGCAGGGCCAACTGGGACTCCAGACCACAGATGGCTGCGCCATTGAAGGGGTTTGAACTCAGTTCCGAGCAGTTTAGTCAAACTCTGCACTTTCAAAACTGTGGCTAGTTGAGCTCGGCTATTTTGAGAAGTTCAGTGAATATGACCCTCTGTCATTAGTTGCAGTTTATATATGACTTGCACATGATCCTTACCAGCACAAAAGGGTTGTGGGGTGGTGAAATTGGAAAAGTATGACCAAAATATCACCATGTGTGACCCCTCATCATGAATAAAGAACAGTCCGTCTCCCCTCTGCTCCCTTTTTTTTTTAAAAGAAATCAATACACTGTTGTGTGACTGTGTTGCTGCACAGTAGACTATTCATGGATCACTTCTGAGGACCCCTTCAAGTGAGTCTATTTGTGGAACTACGTTCAAGCATTACTGAGCCCATTAAAAAGCATTAAGAGGGATGCTGAAGCACTTTTTGTTGTTTTGTGGGTGGGTGTGCTTGTCTGTCTATCGGCCTGTCGTGGATATAATTAGATGACTGCCGGGCTGAGCCACAGCTGAGGGAGAGTGTTCCGGTAAGAAGTCCATTTGAACCATCTATAACCAGAAGTTTTTGTAATGCCCTGTCATTGCTTTGTCCCTCGCTTTTCTCTCTCCTCTCTGGTCTCCTGCTCTGTGTTCTCTGCTCAGTGAAGGTGCTGAGCATGCCTGCTCACTCAGTTGTAGCCCAGATGCTGCTTGGGTTGGGGCTGGAATACTGAGCATTCCCAGCTTTTCCAGCAGAGGAGACTGTCAAGGTCAACAGTGCCGGTCTTTCTCAGCTACAGTCATACCTTGTTTTCATGGCTCTATTGTTATCCCCCAGCACAGACTGTGTGTGTGTGTGTGTGTTTTGTACATTTTTAGGACAAAGTTCTTACCTTATAGCAAAAACAGGGTCAACCTGACTTTGTAAAGTGCTTTTTAGCATGCCAACACTATGTCCCTGAGACAGTGCTAGAGTGATGACAACCACCAGCTGGCCTACTAGCTAACCACCAACTAGCCAAAGAGCACCCCCCCCCGACTTCCGCCCACCAGAGAAGAGAAAGATTTTCTAAATTTTAACATAATTGCTAACCTCGTATTTAACTTCAAGAGCTAACGGTGTGCGGCAACAGGATTATGCTAATTATGCTAATTAAATTATTATGCTAATTATGCTAATTAAATCAAGGCCTAACTTTTGCCCCTCACAGCAGAGACATCTAGAAAAATCACTGAAGATTGCAATTAGGCCTGTAACAATTGTCGTGTAATCACCTGATTGCACCTGTTTGGAGCTGGTCATAAGGTTTAGTAAATTTTCTAGTATTAAATTGTGCAAAAAGCACAGTGTCCCTTAAAAGACTCCAAGACTCCCTTAAAATTGCTCCAAAATGTGTTCAGCCTTAACGGTACTTTCACAGACGTGTAAGTTGGCCACTAATACCACCCAAACCATGACAGGCCATGGATTTTGAACTTTACGCTGGTAACAATCTGGATGGTTCTTCTCTTCTTTGGCCCGGAGGACACAACGTCCATTACCACATTTCCATAAATAATCTGAGAGGTTGGCTCGTCAGACCAAAACACACATTTCCACTTTTTATTGACAACGGTTTGTCAAAGGTTCCCCGAGCCCATGTGGTGATCCATCACAGAAGCATGCCGATTTTTCAGTGCAGTGCCTTCTGAGGGGTCGCAGGTCACTGGCGTTCAGTTATGGTTTTTGGCCTTGCCCTTTACGCGCAGGGATTTTTCTGGATTCCCTATTTTGATGACATTTTGCACCATAGAGGGCTAAAACCAGCTAAAATCTCATGATCATGAGGGGCCTAGTTGCGATTATCTTGTCATAGTTTGACCGCACATGATGACCTATTACAATAAGATGTTATTCAAGTCACAGTTGCTCTTGAAGTTGTTTTTATTTGGCTTGATGAAGAGAGGTGTCACTTCAGAGCAAAAAACAATCAAGAGAAACAGTCAGGCACCTTTAATGGGAAGATAAGTTACATTTCACCAATAAGATCTTGTAAAGGGCCCATATCCTGCTTTATTCGTGTTTTTCTCATCCCATTTTCTCATTATTCTTCAATTTATAGTGTTTTTATCTACCAAAAACAGGCCTAATTGATTTTTACATGATCATTTTCCATTTAAACCTTTAAGTGTTTACATGCTACATCAAACTCTTATTTTAGCAAAATGAGAATTTCAGTTTTCAGTGATATGGGCCCTTTAAAAGATGGCATTACAGTTTGCAACATTTTAATTAACTACATGCACGACTGTTTTTTATATTTTATCTTTTGAACATTTCAGAAATCTGGAGGATCTGGATTATAAACCCTTGGGTGTTTGTTTGGTGGTAGGAGGTAGTTTGTAGTGCTAAAGAATTAGTTCTGTCAACACAGATTACTGAGATGCAGCATCGCCTCCAGGCCAAGCCTGATCTGCTTAAGAGCACCCCATTAACTTGTCCCACTCTACAACACCTACTTTCACTTGCTGCCACTTTCATCTCCCTCTTTCTCTTTCTCACATTCTTCCTCCGCCTTTTAGATCTCTGCCAACTACTTTTTTAGCAGAACATGAGTGCAGAGGTGCCATTGTCCACTAACCGGACTGTGGACAGCTTTTCATGTCCTGGATCTGCTACAGGCAGCCTACTTACTATTTATTCACCTGAGACCTTTGTGAGAATCCTGAGTGTACAACACTCAGTTTGTCCAGCACAGCAGTAAAAAAACACAAGGGAGCTGTTCATTTAGGCAAGCTTCCTCCATAAAACGATATCAGCCTGTGGATGATGATGTGTGTGTGTGTGTGTGTGTGTGTGTGTGTGTGTGTGTATGATGGATCACTGTGTGTTAGCCTGTTTGTGCAGCTCTGTAGCTGTCCCAGTGCTAATTGTTATTATAGTGGCGTGCTGTGTTGCTGAGAGATAAACTGCAGGGAGGTGATAGGCCATTGCCTCAAATGCGCAGGGTGTCTGGAAAATGCCATAAGGCGAGGTCATCCCAATCAATGCAATATTAATTAGTTGTTTTTTTGTGTGTGTGCATGCGTGCACGTGCCTCCTCACATGACAGCAGGCTGGCCCTGTGTGAGGGTTAGAGAGCAAGAGAGAGCTTTTTTATTTTTTTTGTAAAACTGCCAGTGATAAAAGCTGATGTGCATGCACAGCTGTAAATGTAAACAGTTGATGTACATGTAGAAATGCAAATATTAAAAGCTGATGCTGAAAAACAGTTTATACCAAAGTTTTATTGCATGTTATCAGAGCCGGTTTATGAGGAGCCTGGCCACTTCCTATTTCCCTCGTTATATCAAAAACATGACTGCAAAACGCCAGAGGGTGCCCGCGAGCGAGTCCTCAATGAATGGGAGTTAAAATAGTTTCTAATGACTCGCCCAGAACTTTCCTTCAATTTTAAAAGGTAGAAGGAAGTATTTCACTAAAAAAGCAAAGAAAACTTACCTGTATGTTTCCTTTTTTCTACAGCAAATGGGTTTTGGGCAGCACGACACTAACATTACTGCTACTGAGTGCTGATTTGGTTGGTGAGCAGAGCAGCTTATTGGCTGTTTGCGCTCACAGACATCATGGGCGTACATAAGGCGCTGTTTTGAACTCCACTAACTATAGTTTAAAAGCTCTTAAAAATATAACAGCAGTGTTACATTTTTTTATGTTATTTAGTGTTCAGGAAATAAATATTCATTTTTATTAAGCATTTATAAACTATGATTTTGCTTGAATGCTCCATCTTAACCCCTTCATTTTGGACTCGCTCGGGAGCGCCCTCTAGTGTTTGAGAAACCCGGAAGACATTACAGAGCGGTAATTCTCCTCACTACAAGTTCCCTAGTGTTACTATAGCCGCATTCCAACGTTTAGCCTAGCGACCTGGTATTTTAGTGTATGATTAGTAGGTGTATTTAATACAATTTCCAGTGAGTGTAGGTACAAGGTAGGTGTACCTAATGAAACTGGCAACTCGGCGACACAAAAAGGTCTGTCTGCAGACTGCCTATGGACCCTTCTCACTCCATGTGCTGTCTTCCTATTTTATGTTTTCTTTGCTACTACGAAACACGAGCCCATTAATCTGCCACAGACGTGACTGAGAAGTGAGAAGTAGTGCGTTTAGGATAACTATGATTTCTTATGAGGGACAAGATACAGTATTTCTCATAATGTTTCAAAGTTTGTCTCAACAACTACCTCTCATCTAACGTTAAACTGTTAGCTCTGTCATCTACAGATTTGACACACAATGACTAAAAGACTTCCCTCCACTTTTGAAGGACTGATGAAGCTTATTTTTGAAATAAAAAATATAATGTTCATAAATATTTCTCCATATTTCCATATGAAATGTTCCTTTATGCTGCTGAATCTGTTAAGTAAAAGAAAGTGCTGAGCCATATTGGTCTGTTATTTAGATAGACGACTGACAGATTAATGTCACAGCAAATCTTAAATTATGAAATGAGCTAGCCACATTCCTTCTGTGGGTTAATGGCTTCCATCCTAAATTAATAACACACATTTTGCTGTGCTGCTCTACAGGCAGTCATCAACTTTTTATGCACGTTAAGTCGTATATTTTCATATGTGCTTAATGCGGCAACTATTTCATTATACTGGTTCATGTTTTGCTGTTTTCAATGTCTAAACTGACTGTTCCTCTGTGTGTTTTCAGACTGTGCCTGTTAGAAGAAAGGGACATAATGAAGGCGAGGAGAAGACGGAGGGAGAGGAAGAGGCGGAGAGGAGTTCGGACGAAGGCTTTATGGGGATGACGCCGCTGCTGCAAGCCCACCACGCTATGGAAAAGATGGAGGAGTTTGTGCACAAGGTCAGTCACTAAAACACACACAAAAGTGTGCATGTTTGTTAAAGAAGTAGTGTTGTGAGAAATCAGATTTGCATACTTTTCCACTTTTCCGTCCTAGATGAACTCGGTAAGCCAAATCAGCGCTGATATGAACGGAAGATACAAAGTTAATGTTAGGAAACAGTAGAAGCTGGTAGTCAAATCTATTCTGTAAATACATCCCTGTGAAAACATCTTTCTCTACACAAAGGTCTTTTAAACTCAGTTAAACTGCATCGAGCTCTTCAATAAGGTTGCACAGACTTGGCAATGTGGTTTAGAGCTCAGTATGATTTGCTCTGAACTATAGAAATAAACAAAACTTCACCCTGTAGTTGAACACCGCAAAACACTTTAGACAACAGGTGTTCTGCTCAATTCTGACTCCTCCACAGAGTCCGACTCCCCTTTATGGATGCTAGATAACGTGTGATTTCTGTTTCTATTTAGAAACATGTCTTCATTTCAAAATTCAAGATTAACAGTTGCTAAAAAGAATTCAGTGCAATCCCTGTTGTCTAAAGTTGATCGCCTGCTGCAGTGAAGTTTTGTCCACTTATATAGCTCCCATTAAGTCATACTGTCTATGTAAAGCTATGTTTACACAGCAGGTAAAAGTGGCCCAAATCTGATCTTTTTCTTTATATGTGGCATAGAGGTGTGTTTGTGTCAGTGTGAACAGCAAAAACACACTGAATCTGATATTTTCAATTCCGATTTGAGACGCTTTTATATGTGATGCTGAAATCCGATACGTATCCGATATGCAGCAATGCGACTCGGTCTGAACAGCCAGATTGGAATTCATGCAACTTTTACGTAAATCCAGCTCCACGTTCATCATAATTTTCCCCTGTTGAGACCTCATGAACATTTGGGCTGGTGTTTCTGTACGAAAAATTAGAAGAGACTCATCCAAACCCCTTTGTGTTTGAAGAGATTTCAAAAGAAATGGCTGAACACGGCTGTAGGAGAACGAGGCTGCAGCGTCAAAGAAACATTAGAAGTCTGAAAGCAGAGTTTAAAGAATTCGAGGACACGAACCAAATAAGTGACTGATCCCTTTTTATGGCGAGCTCGAACACATTCTGGGTGATGAGCGCAGCTGTCAGTCAGTGAAGTTTTAAGATGGCTCCTGTGATGCTGGTGAAGATGAAGCTGATCCTCCGGGAGCGACTGGCATTTGTTGGCAGTCATGATTGTTTACCTCTGGCTGAGAAGCAACATGAAGCACTGTTCTTTTGCGCATATGGGTCAGTTTAGGAGCTGATCTGTTCAGACTGATTGTCGCATATAGATCACATTTAAACGATAATGTGAAGAGCCAAGCAAAAATATCGGATTTGTTGAGAAAATGAAATTTGGGCCACTTTTACCTGCTTTGTGAACGTAGCGTAAGCCTGTCCGACCTTAATGAAGACATGGATGCTGTTTGAGCAGGTTGACAGACTTTTTTTGGGGATGCAATTTAAGAAAAAAATGGAAAACTTTTGACCTCTGTTTATCAGCAACGTTAGCCTTGCAGCTCCAGTGCTAAACTAAAGAAGCATAATTTTGGCACCAGGCATGTCTCAGCTGATCAGCTGCATCTGGGTTAAGTGGAAAACTGTGTACATTTGATTTCTTGCCAAACCACATTCCTTTTAAAGCTTCACATGCAGTGCTTCATATACTTCACAACAGCTGAGACCTTGTTAACACACAAACTGCCCTCTGAACAAGCCCATGTGTGCCCCTCACTTTCAAACACATTTTGTAAACAAACGCATGTACACTACCCTGGGGAACTCAAATGGCCAGAAAAATCACACACTCATGAATACAGATGCTACCGCATCACATGCGTACATCAAAATGCTCACTCGTAGCGAAATGGCTGCAGCTGCGTTCACATGACATCCCCTGCTGGAGCAGTCTACCAGGCTTTAAAACCTTTACAATAAAGACCCATCTCTCGTCTGCAAGCGCTTCCCAATTCTGTTGATAGATGAGTTTTGGGGAGGGACGTCTGCTTTGTGCTTGTGAAAGGCATCATTTTCTTTGTGCCACAGTTAAAGTCCTGTAGAAATTCAAATCTCTTCCGTTTTCACTCCTCCTCACTTCCCCTCTTCTGGAAGAAGAGTGGCTCTGGGTTAAAAGCAACTCTTTGAGGAAGCTTCTCTCTGTGCCATCTGAACTCGGCGCTCAGCTGCCGGCCCATTAGAGACAGAATGGGGAGACGTGCGGTTGTGAGAGAGCCGGTTTCCAGCAAGCCGGTGCTTCTGCTCAAATTGCTCACTGCAGGCCTTCAATTACCACATTAATCACTCCAGATGATGACTCATACTTGTTCAGCAACTTCTGCTCTTTCATTTTTTCCTGATAACTCTGAAAAATGAGTCACAGAACACAGCTAGACAAAAATTACCTGAATTAAGAGTTGGCCCTTGTCATTTGACTGTAGCTATAGGTACATATTCTATACCATATACTTCCAGGGGCACCTTAGTCAAACCTATTTTCCTATAACTATACTGGTCGTCTTTCTCTGCAGTGAAATGTTTCAGGTCAAAATGCTATTCTGCTTCCAGCTGAGTCTAAGTCAGCCGTTCAGTCACAGACTCAGCGGTCTGCAGTATATCGCTGCTGTCGGGACAAAATCTCGTATCTCCATTTTTGTCGTTTTTAAGTTTCTGACATAATTTGAAAATTTATGGCCCAAATCTGATTTTATCACCAAGTTCGATTTTTTTGTTTGTTTGTTTGTTTGTCTGTCTGTTCACAATATCTTTTAAATGTGACCTATATGTGACATCAGTCTGAACAGATCAGCTCCTAAACTGACCCACATGCACAAAAGAACATTGTTTCACGTGGCTCATCCAGACATAAACAATCATAACTGCCAACGAATACCAGTCACTCCCAGAGGATCATCTTCACCAGCGTCACAGGAGCCATCATGAAGCTTCACTGACTGACAGCTGGGCTCATCACCCAGAATGTGTTCGAGCTCGCCGTAAAACAAAAGGCTGCAGTCATTTCTTTAGTTCGTGTCATTCTTTAAACTTTGTTTTCAGGCTTTTAACTGTTCTTTGACACTACAGTCGTTCTCCTACAGCCACGTTCAGTCATTTCTTTCAAAATCTCTTCGAACACAGAGCGGTTGCGATAGGTCCCTTTTAATTTGTTTGTACAGTGTGAACAAAGCCAAAATGACTTGGAGAAATATCTGTTTCCATTGACTTAGAATAAAAGTACAGTATGATTCCTTCTCCTGTAAAGTTCTGATTTTGGAGATATGAGGTTTTATTCTGACAGCAGCGATATACAACCGTATGCAATAGTTTGGGCACCCCTTGTAAAATTACACATTTTGTTGATTGCGTTTTGTTAAGTGAATAAAAATGTTACACATCTTCTATAGAGAACACTTCTCTGCATATTTTAATGCAGAATTTCTGCAGAATTTCTTTGCTGAATTTAACATACTGGGGTGAAAAACCAAAATGTGGCCTGTACAAAAGTTAAGGTCATGTGTTAGATTTTATTTCAGTGTCAACAGAAGTGGTGCCCTACAACTGGCAGAAAAATTCTCTGTAGAGGATGTGGTAACCTGTTTTTCAAGAGTCAACAGAACACAATTTGATTGAGTGTTAAAACTCTTTCCTGAACTTTGAGACAGAAAGAAATGTGTTGTCCTAACCCATTCACATACTTCCAGTCACTCGTCAAGTCTTGCTGTTATCTCAAAGTTGCAAACGACGTGAAGGACTGGATATGACCGTCATGGGTCAGAACACACTGATTAGAGTGACCATGAAAGTAGAACATTCTGTTTCTCTGAATGTCATGTTCTGTTCATGGAGGGTTGGGAAAGAACAGAAGCGGAACACTTTCTCAGTACAGTTTTTTTCTCATAGAAGGCTGATTGGACTTTTTATTCATGCTGGCTTGTGCAGAGAACTGCCTGTGGTTTCTAGGATATTTCAATTGTACCAAGGCCCTCAGACTGATTACTGCAGCATATTTATCTCGCTCGCTTCCGCTCTCGCTCTCTCACTCTAGCTTTTTTCCTTTTTTTTTCCTTCCTTTCTTCTCGCACTTATCTCAGGTGATGGTCCCATTCTGTGTCGTAAATCTTTCGAGTGACTTATGAGATCTCACAATGACTTTTCCTTTTTCCTCTGGCCAAGATGTGGGAGGGTCGATGGCGTGTCATTCCTCATGACGTGCTGCCCGATTGGCTGAAAGACAACGACTTTCTCCTGCACGGGCACAGACCACCAATGCCCTCTTTCAGAGCGTGTTTCAAGAGCATCTTTAGAATCCACACAGAAACGGGCAACATCTGGACCCACCTGCTGGGTAAGACACACATACACAAGTTCATATGCATAACATATATTCACCTTACCTTCTTACACCTTCAGCTCTAGTCAAGAATTTTTGTTGTTTTTGCTCTGGTTTGACTAAAGCTGCCTGTGGATGAGGCACCGTGAGTTATCAGTGCAGTGAGGTTGTTGTGGCCCAGCTGTGTAACTTCCCACATCAGAGTAAACAGCTTGCCTCTGCAGGAAGTAATGATTTGCTCTGAATCAGGGCTGTGTTAACATGCCACAAAGCTGTCCTGCTGTAATCACCAGTAATGAACTTAATAGGGCATACTGTGTTGTGATGTTCCTTGGGACATTGCTGTAGTTACATACAGAGACTGGCCATTAAACAGCAGTGTATTTAAAACCCTGGAAACGAGGAGATTAATGAGATACTAGTTGTGCAGGTTTTAAAAGTTGGGCTGTCTTTGTTAGGGCCCATATCATAAAACATCAATGTTTAAAAAAAACGTACCATTCACTACTCAGTCCTTACAGTTCATATGTGGAAACCATGCTGCAAAAACAGCCCGTATTGAATTCATTGTTTCATTGGACCAGATCATGTACATCTATCCACCCAGCAGTTAAGCTCCGCCCATTCATATTGATGTTCTATGGGACAACCAGTCAGAACAGAGCTTATTTATATATAGCAATCTGAAAGGCAGAGTAACAAACCTGTTTAAATCTAAGGAATAAAGAGTTTTGAGAGAGGTTAGAAAATTACCATGAAAAATGAATTCTCACTGTTTTTCGTACATAAAACCACCCCAGTGTTATAAGTGGCCCTTTAGGGGCAAACAGCCTGGTCCAGTCTGCCATATATTTATTCAAAGAGATTAATAGCTCTTATTAACTGCTTCAATTACATATTCTCCTCTGAAACTTTAACCTACCTTTTATGATGATCAGAATTAGAGGATTTTTGCTTCCTAGATGCGATCAGCAGTCGGCCAATTTATTACTATGATTTTGACATAATTAATGTGAGCAAGTGCTCTCATGCTATGTTTGAATGATGCTGCTACACCTGTATTCTGATGTTGGAGCATAATTATACATGACTCAGTCTGCTCAGTAGCCAGTTTCCTCTTACTTTCAGTCTAGCACTTTATTTGATTCATATTTAACTTCTGTGTTTGTTTGTTTGTTTGGTTTTTTTTTTTCATTAAAGTTTGGCCCATTTAAAGAGCAATTAATGTTATTTATATTGTACTTTGACTAACAGAAGGTACTGGAAATGTGCTAGTATTTAACACACAAGCTGAGCTTCAGGTAAACAAACAAACAAACAAATAAATAAATAAATAAATAAATGGCTAATGTAAAGAAATTCATGACTGGTACGAAAAGGCCAAAAGTCCTTCTGTTCTTAGACCAGATACAGCATCTCAGCTGTGATAGTGGTGTAAGATCAGCTCTTTACGTTAATTATTCTTGGTCCTGAGTCCCTCTGGGCTGCACAGGTTTGTGTTTTCTTTATTCTAAAACAGCCAGTTCAGCTGATGCAGAGTTGTTAAGGAGCTGATGAGTTCGATCAGAGGTGTTGGGATGAGGGAAAAACGCTGTGCAGGAGAGAGAGAAAGTACTCCATGTACCGGGGCCAGGAACAACTGTCCTAAACGCTTTCGTTTCAAACTTCGCAAAGGTTTACTGTGTCACTTAAGGCAGAGCTGCCATCTAGTGGACAGAGAAGATTGGAGTCTGATAAGTTGGCATGAATCAGTGTTCATGCCTTTCAGAGAAGAGCTTAGATAACAGTATTGCCAGATGAAGTAAGAACACAAAGATAAGGCTTTATTACTGTATCATAGTATGATGGCGAGATTGATCTACATTTTTGACTTTAGGGTCCTGGAGTTTGTCACTGACCTACAGCAAAAACAAACCATAAGAACACAACAACAGTAACTGAAGTCGTGTAAGCAGTGGATGACCAAAAGCTCATCTGTTTCACTGATAATTGAAATGTTAGCTTTTATATATTAGTCCTATGCAAAAGTTTGAACATCCCAGGTCAAATTACATGTTTTGCTTTTTGATTTTGTAAGTGAAATTAACCCATCCTCTGCATGGAACACACATAAATATTGAATTTTTCTGCAAATTTCTATTTATTTGTGCTTAACATATTGGAAATAAATAGAACGGAACTTTTTTATCTTATATAAAATTTGCACAGGCCACATTTTGTATCTTATTTTTTCCCCTAGTACATTAAATTCAGAAAATATACAGTAATTAGGCTTTAAAATGTGCAGACCTGTGCTCTCAATAGATGTGTTACCCTATTTTCACTCAGAAAATCAACAAAATGTTATTTAATCAGAGGCGCCCAAACTTTTGCATTTGTAGTGAGCTGTGCTTACAAGTACAGTGTAGTGAATTGAAATGTATTTATATATTTATTAAATCCAAGCAAGACACTTTTATTGATTTTACTATACTGACTGATCTTCCATTCATGCAGCACCTCTGTGCTCTACATGAACACACCTAAACTTCCACACAGCTGCAACAACTCACAATTGCACAGAACATCAATTAAGCAGTTTTGCAGCTGCACACACTGTGCAAAAATGAATTCATTCTGTCTTCACTCACTCACTCCTAACCTAACCTCTGTTTCCCTTTTCAGGATGCCTTTTCTTTCTGTGTCTGGGCATAGTGTACATGTTCAGACCCAACATGTCTTTCGTGGCGCCGTTTCAGGAGAAGATTGTGATTGGCATGTTTTTCCTCGGGGCCATCCTCTGCCTGTCCTTCTCCTGGCTCTTCCACACAGTATACTGCCATTCAGAGGGCGTCTCCCGTGTATTCTCAAAGTCAGTACCCACTCATGTTGCTCCTTCACACCCACCAATCTAGTAGCAGCTATCATTTGAGGGAGAGTTTTTTCCACCAGGCAGCGTGGCACAGTAAGGTTACAGATCACACATTCTATCATTCTGTCAAGTGAAGTGATGACATAAATGTAGCTGTGCTGTTCACTATTGTGCTGGTGTACCAAGAAACTGGGATGTATGGGTGGAGCTAGAGATAGTAAGGTAAATTGGAAAGAAGCTCCTCTGTTGTTGCTATGACTGTCTGTGTTTACTGTTAGTGTCAAGTGAGAAAATATAATACATACAACCACCAGAGGACTCCTAATTTCATCATTCTGTTGTGCGATGGGAAATGGGTATGTACTTGAACAGGGTCCAGATTGTCCTGGGTTTGGATTAATCAGCGTACCGTGCTGCACCGCACTGCCCCACGCTGCCTGGTGGATAATATTTAAATATGTTGTGCAACTTGATGTTTAGGTCTTAAATGTAAAATCAGCATTATACTGATGAAGATACGACAATAGTAGGTAATTGACTCACCTCGTCAGACAAAATGTTCTTGCGTTGGACACGTTGTGTCCAGTTACACATTCCCACCAGAGATCTCCAAATCCCCAAATCTTACATAGTGAAGCAGAATATTTTGTAACATGGGTTGTACTTCGGACCCCTTCTCTGAGCAGATGAATCTGATGTTTGCCAAATGCCTTGAAAGAGTATTTAAAGAGGACTCAGTCAAAACTTGGTGTGCATGAAGCGTTAGTACATAAACGGGTACGATATGGTCCAAAAAAACCCTTATGAAATCCGACCCGACGCCTCTGGCTTTTAAATTATTCTTTCAGGCTTTACAGGGCGACTCACAGCAGCGCACACATCATATTTTAGCTTAAATATCATTTCAATTCCTTTTTTGTTGTTTTTTTTTTTTTTTATTATTATTTGTAGAGATAGTAAAGTTGTGACAGACCCATTCACGTTGCATATGTTAAGGGACAGTGCTTAGTTAGATCTGTTAACTCTCTAGAGTCTGTAAAGTCAGAGAACATTCATACTTTTCATTATAAGTTCTTGCTTCTTGTAGTGCTCGAGAAACAGAACCTTCATAACTGTCCTTTTTTTGCTTTAGGTTGGACTACTCGGGCATAGCGTTCCTGATCATGGGCAGTTTTGTCCCGTGGCTCTACTATTCCTTCTACTGCTCCCCTCAGCCCTGCTTTATTTACCTGATAGTGGTGTGTGTCCTGGGCCTCGCAGCCATCACAGTCTCACAGTGTGACTTCTTCGCCACACCGCAGTACCGAGGAGTCAGGGCAGGTAAGCACAAATACACACATACAAAAACATACGTACATACATATATATGTTGTCGGAACAAAACCTCGTATCTCCAGAATGGTAACTTTACTGGAGAAAGTTTTTTCCAAGTCATTTTGGGTTGTTTCTTTTGGTCCATTCATCATTAAATTTACACATAACGTATAGGGCAACAGACATTTTCAAATTATGTCAAAAACTGAAAAACAGCAGTATATATACACACATACAACACATTGTTAAACAGATAGATACAGTAACTTAATGTGGGGCAGATTTTCCCATTGATTTCTTTAAATGTTGAAGTTTTGTGTGTAAATTTGCAGACAGTCTATTACAGAAAGGAGAGTCAGTGTTTTTCCACTCCGCACTGACTGCTTCAAACAGCCGAAAAAGTGTGCAGAGCTAGTTTGTGTTTCATCTGAGACCAAATATTCTCCATAGGCTATAAAGCTGGACCCTGACCAGTTCAAAACCATCAGCAAAAACCATTATATTTTCGGCTTGGCTCATTTTTTTTTGCCGGGAGTGTGTTTGTGTGTATTTGTTTGTGTATAAATGAATGATACAGTGTTGGTGTTCTAAAACCTGCATTACCTGTTGTGAGGTACTCAAATGACTCTGTGAACCTCAGAGAGGCTTTTTCTGTTTGTTATAGTGTCAGATTATCTCTAGCAAGTCAGGTCATGCTTGTCTGCGGATAAGGCATTGACTTGCCCTTACATGGAGGCTTTAGGACAGTTATATAGAACACGGTTTCTCAACGCTGGTTCTGGAGGCCGACTGCCCTACACAGTAGGGCAGCTTAAACACAGCAACTTTAAATCAATAATGGGCTATTAATGAGCCAATAAGTTGGATTAGGTGTGTTGGGAGCAGGGAAAACACTAAAGAGTGCAGGGCAGTGGGCCTCCAGGACCAGGCATGAGAAACACTGTAGACCATAGGGTCAGCTGAGAGGGTTCATGGTGCTAATGTCTGACTTCCCCTATGTATTTCAGGTGTGTTTGTTGGCCTGGGGTTGAGTGGAGTGGTACCCACACTGCACTTTGTGATCACTGAGGGCTTCCTCAGGGCCACCACTATGGGCCAGATGGGCTGGCTCTTCCTCATGGCTGCTCTCTACATCACTGGGGCCTGCCTTTACGCCGCACGCATTCCTGAGAGATTCTTTCCTGGCAAATGTGACATTTGGGTGAGTGTGCACGGACTCTGCGTTACACGTCTCACGAAATAAAACAAAGTGTGCAGTGGAAGAACAGCAGGTTGTTTTATGGTATAATTAATGAGAGTTCGGTAGGTTCAGTAATAGTAATAACTGGGTCTGTCAGTGTCAAGGTGCGTAATGACTTTCAGCCTGTTAATTATGCAGTAAGAAGAAATGGCTGTTAACAAATCTGGTGTTTAATAAATGATTCTGCACCTCCCACCCAGCTGCTGGTGAACAGTAAATTAGATGTCTGCTTCTTGTATTGGGCTCAGCCTTATATAAAAATGGACAAAGGTGCCGACACAGTTCAGGCTTCCGGATGGGTGATTTCTACAGTTTTCAACTATGCAATGTAGTTTTCTCCATTTTTATAGATAAAAGCAGTGTGTGTCTGGAATTCCAACGAATTAAAAAACATTCTGTATAATTCGATCCATGAGATGTAAACAAAGTCGTTTTGATGTGAAACGGTATGTTGTAGGGAAAGAGACTTTTTTACAACGGTGTTGATTGGAGCCAAGCTCCGCAATGTTACAGCATTGCCATTTTATTTACTGTCCAGAACATATGATGGTAAAATAGTGGTAAATCAGAAGAAATAAGTTTTCTATGGAGACTACTTTACCTTAGAGTGCCCTGTGCATGTAGGTCTTCACTAAAATGGATTAAAAAAATGTTTTAGGCCAAAAATATCGTAAAACGCTGAGTGCGTTTACATGCACTTAATAATCCAATAACTGGAAAAAAAATAATAATTTTGTTCGTAATTTGATCAATGCATTTATATGCACTTGAGTAATCACATAATGGGGAAACTGTTGGTCTACATGGGTCAGGCAGTAATCAGATTTCAGGTTTGCCACCAGCCAGTAAACTCACAGAAGAAGACGTGACATAAACACAGTGTAAAACTCCCACCACTGTACCTGAAAATATGAACATAAATCATCTAGAAGATGAAGAATATTTAAATCCTTCATTTCGTCAAGCATGTGTTTGGTTTCAGCTTCGTTTCAAAAGTGTTTTGTTACGTCTCGCAGCAATGCTGCTCGCTTATTTCTGGTGCCACCATCTGTTTTTGCATGTAGGCAGACTGATAAATCTGAAAGAAATCAGAGTAAGAGCACACATTTCCTGAGAAATCTGATTATTGAGCTAAAATCCAGCTCTCTTTATTGTATGTCTAGACCTTCTATCTCTGATCTAAGAAATGCTGTTTATATGACCGTTTGAGTGATCAGATAACTGCAGAAATACGATTAGGATCGGATTATTGAGTACATATAAACACACTCAATGTCATCAGGCAGCATATTCATAACCTTTTTGTGTAATAACTTTCTGTAAGGGAGCTTTTAGAGGCTTTCATTGCTTCAGATGTTTGGTTCCCATCATAATGAAGCATTTCACATCAAACCACACTGAATGGCTGATTACATATTAACCATTTGATTATGCAGAAATTAAAAATAAGTTGGTGGAATCACCCTGGTGACGCTACAGCCGCCCGTGGCTGGGAGTCCTAGAGAGCACACTTGGCCTCGCTCTCTCTGGGTGGGTAGGATGGCCCCCCCCTTCTCCCCCATCACTCACTCAGCGCGATGCTAGTCAGCGCAGGCGTCTGTTAGCTGACGTAACAGATCTGGCGGTTGGTGCTTTCCTCTGAGCGCGTTCGGCTGTCCAGTGACGTTGTGTGAGCGGCAGTTTGAAAAGATGTGGTGGTGCTTCACAGGTCTCAGAGGAAGCCTATGTTAGCCTTCACCCTCCTAGCGTTGATAGCATCGTGCGACTGGGGGAGTCCTAACTAACGGGTGGAATTGGAGACGACTAAATTGGGGAGAAAAATTGGTGTAAATTTCCTTTGGTCTGAGCCAGTTGCAGTTATATTACCCTGTTGGACAAGAATTGTCTCCACTTTGTTTTCATCTGGTTTCTCTTCTTGTCTTCCACAGTTTCATTCGCACCAGCTGTTCCATATCCTGGTGGTAGCAGGGGCCTTTGTCCACTTCCACGGCGTCTCCAACCTACAGGAGTTCCGTTACACAGCTGGAGCGGGCTGTGCGGAGGACAGCGCTCTGTGAGCCTGCGCTGCGGTGCCAGCGCGCACCACCAGGGGGAAATAAAAACTCCCCTTACCACCACCGCCAGTAACAACTCTGTCCCTCTCACCTGCCTCGCTAAGCCACAGAAGGCGACACTGAACCACAAGATTTCTGTTTTTCTCTCTGGTTTCCATTTTTGTCATTTGTTTTAATTCTCTGTTTGTTTTTTTTTCCTTCGTTCTTCTCACTTTATTTTCCCACTTCTTCGAATAAAATGCATCAAGTGATTCAGTGGACACAGGTTGAGGACGGATAGACGAGACGCAGAAAAATCGAAACACGAGTTCCTTTCTTAAGATTTGCAAAGAGACACTTTTTGGCTTGATCACATGCTGTTTGAATTATCTTGCAAGAGGAAACGACCATGGGGTGTGAAACAGTTTGTGTGAGGTTTTCCATTTAAAGGTGCAAATGGTTTTAACTGTTAAAAAAAAAAGTTTTTCATGTAAATAAGATTTCTAAATTTGGGTAATAGATTTATACAAACATATAAAAATAAAAAAATAATAAATAATTATATCATAGTATTGTTAAATTGAAAGAGAAGGGTGATGGAAAAATAGGTCTACCTAATGTGACCTTACTGTCAGAAGGAGGAAATAAAACAAGAAGGGGTTGAAAATAAGAAAAATAAGCAGAAAGCGTGGGAGGAAGCAGGGTTTAGAGTGAAGTGAATGACCAGAGGCTCCCCAAACACAGTGTAGCCTGAGCTACAGATGTGATTGTGGTGTCATGTGGAGTTAAGGAGCTGTCCGGGCCTTCAGCGAATGATCCTACAACCTGCCAGGGATGCAGTGAGGGATCCTTTTGGGGAACAAGCCCTGGATTAGTACATCAGATCACTATAGATAGAGAAGTGTGGCAGAAAAGGCCTCGGCCCTTGCGAGTGTCCACTGGTAGGGCAGAGTGTTTCTGGAAAAGCCATAGGCCTGATCAAAGGCCAGAACAGAAACTCACTACACAGGCCTTAAAGAAACCGTTTCTGGCTCTCTTTCGTACTCGTTTTCGTTAACGTGCTCCCTACATGCAGGAATTCATGCATGTTAACAGGACCACCCTTTATATCGTTATTGATTCCTTCTAAGGGGTGTCGAAGACCCTAGAGATACTGAGAAACATGGACATGTCTCAGCATTGATCTACAGTATACATCAATTTATTTTTTCTCCTTCAGTGCTTCAATTTAGTTGATTTTTTTTAATATTGATTTGTTTCCCCCTCACTCTTTTAATGACCTTGCTCTCACAGTGCAAGAAACAAAAAAATGGGCTAGTAGTTTGCTTCAGGGTGGCTTTCACTGACCACCCGCCTCGTCCTAACAAAGGAACTAGGAGGATGAGTGGGTGGATACTTACAGATCCACTACCAGGCACTGTGGCTAGCTATTAGGAATCACTAAACATGTATAAGACGATCGCCATAGCCTGGGTTGGATAGGAACCTGTTCATCCAACAGTGGCGGTCACACAAACATGGGAACTCTGGGTAGCGTGGGTTTTCTGTCTGCAAAAGCCTGACGGGACGGGACACCCACTCAGGGGAATTTTAATATGACGTTTTATAAGATCAAAGGCCATGGTGGACATGGTGAGCAGTAACTGCCATATCTGCTCCTCTGTTTGTTTCACATCTAAACATCGCTTGACGCCTCTGCTCATATTTCCAGCTCAGTCCGAGTGGGGGGGGCTGGAGAGGGCCTGTCAGACGCAACGCAGGACATTTAGTACAAAACTCGGGGATCAGCTTCACGCGCTCTTCAGCCTTGCTTTGTCGTCAGAGACACAAGTGACATCATCTACTCTTATCAGTCCACTCTCGTGCTGACTGTACCAGCGGACTGTTGGCGTCGACAGCTCTGGGCCCCATTTTACCACCAACACAAGGCCTTGATTTACTGCGTTAATGAGTTGAATTTGTTTCGAGGGGCGGGGGGGCTCTTTCTTTTTCCTTTGTTATGATTAATTTATTATTGATGTGTGAGAGGTGCATACTCTGTCGTCAAAGCACAGAAGTTCTGAGTGTCCGCAGTAGAAACTTTATATCTGCTGTATTGTTCTAATAAAAGGTTTTTGAATTCTAAGTGTCGTGCTTTTTTCAGGAGTCTTTTTTTTTTTAACATATACAAAAACATTATTATATAATTACATATTTAAATAGTGCATGTTTATGAAAATTAAGACTTTTGTTCCTCACCATCTGGACATAAGTACTGGGACAGTGAGAGTAAATTTATTTCTGCCATCTATTTCAGTATATTGAGATACAGATGGAAAATGAGTCTAGTGGAATAGTTTTGTTTTTTGGGCCATGTGTTATTTTCCAAGGTTTTTTTTTTCCCCCCAGTCACCTCACCTCGCCGAAGATGAGCACAAGTATTGGAAAGAAGGGCCTTTTTCCCTCCTTTACTCAAGATTTTTACGAGTGAGATCTCCAAGCTTCTATTTCTATTTGTATATAACAGACTTCATAAACATTTGTCCCTGATAAACAGCAGCTCGAGATGAAAATGGTCCCCCTGAATAAGAGCAGTGACTGCTGTGTGTGCTTATAGTGTCACCAGCCTTAAATCAAGCATGGAGTTTCAGAGCTGTTTGCAGGAGAAAACAAGCACATTAGATGCTGAACAGAACATAGAAAAATTGCCATTTTGAGGAATTATTCAATCATGTAAACAGTCATTCAGAGTTGGATGAGACCTGCTGCACTGGAGAAGAACTTACCGGCTCAGATTTCTTTATAGTGGCGGTGATAGGAACCAGGGGTCACAACAAAAATATAGCCATTTTATTTACTGTCCAAAAGCACCAGTGAACCAACATGTCTCTGCGTTTTTATGTGAAGTCGATGGTAAAAAATGAAGCATTTCACATCAAACCACAATCTTAATGATTTAACACTGCAGAAAAAAAATTAAATCAGTGGAATTCCCCTTCAGCAATCTTAAAGAATGAAGTCCTTTATTCCTAACGCTTCTCAGAGCAGGGCTGCTGAGCTAGGATCTGTTTTTGACAGTAAGGTCAAAGGAAGAGGGGAATCTAATCAGCACTTCTGCTCTGAGAAGCTTTATGAATCGGGGCTTAGGTCAGATATCAGATCAGCAGGTGAATTTCTACCATGTCCTGCATGTATGACCTTACGAGAGTGTTTTGAGGTACATTTTCTGGTTGATAAGTAACAAACTGTATGAATTATAACTATACACCGATCAGGCATAACATGACCACCTCCTTGTTTCTACACTCACTGTCCATTTTATCAGCTCCACTTACTATATAGGTGCACTTTGTAGTTCTACAGTTACAGACTGTAGTCCATCTGTTTCTCTGCATACTTTGTTACCCTGTTCTTCAGTGGTCAGGACCCCCATGGACCCTCACAGAGCAGGTACTATTTGGGTGGTGGATCATTCTCAGCACTGCAGTAACACTGACGTGGTGGTGGTGTGTTAGTGTGTGTCATGCTGGTCTGAGTGGATCAGACACAGCAGTGCTGCTGGAGTTTTTAATCACCTCACTGTCACTGGTGGACTGAGAATAGTCCACCGACCAAAAATATCCAGCCAACAGTGTCCTGTGACCACTGATGAAGGACTAGAGAATGACCAACACAAACTGTGCAGCAGCAGATGAGCTATCGTCTCTGACTTTACATCTACAAGGTGGACCGACAAGGTAGGAGTGTCTAATAGAGTGGACAGTGAGTGGACACAGTGTTTAAAAACTCCAGCAGCACTGCTGTGTCTGATCCACTCGTACCAGCACAACACACACTAACACACCACCACCACGTCAGTGTTACCTATCTGGAGCTGATAAAATGGACAATGAGCGTAGAAACAAGGAGGTGGTCATAATGTTATGGTGATCGGTGTAACTATACAGTCTGCTGCTGTTATACTACATTCATTTTGTGTGACAGTGGAGTGGGGTGCCAATGTAAAAACAACATTACAGTAGTTAATAATGTAAACATGATACTTTTTATTTGAAACAAAGTACCACTGGTCAATAACTACATATGCACAAGTATACAGTCTATAAACAAGTATTTGGCCTGTGCTGATTAAATAATATCATCATCCTGTGAATATCATAATTTCATAATTTATTCTGTCAACATATGTCAAAAGCATGGGTCAGGCTAATGTCTGTAACCAGGCTCAGATCTCGTTCCTGTTGGCTGCTTATGTCCAGTGGAGGAATGTAACCAACATCATGGCCAGAACATCATAGCAAACTGCTATTCTTAGTCTTCAACTCTTGAAACGCACGCATTCATTTAATTACAACCTCAAGAGCCCCAATGTAGCATCGCAGCATTTCATCACATAATGCAAAGCTTCATTCCAGAAATATCCTTTACTTTAAGATGCGCATGTCTACAGTATCGGTATAGTCCCGCAGGAAAATGGGTACATGTTCCTAATCAATATACAAAGTAGAAAATTAACGTCTGCTATGTAAGCAACGGCAAATCTGGTGGTCACTTAACGTATCGAGTCGCCTCATGTACTGGCCACATGAGGCTCAGCCTCGTCCTCTGACTCCTCCTCTTGTTGACCCTTTTTCTGCAACAAAAAGAAAAACATTTTCCCTCTATGAGGTGACCAAAGCCCAGCCCAGTTAAAGGGGAACTCCACCGATTTAAAATAAAATTCTACATAATTAACTTGTTAAAATGTAACCAAAGCTATTCAGAGTGGTTTGATGTAAAATGTGTTCTAGAGAAACTCAGAGTCAGAAGCTCCCTCACAAAACGTTATGACACAAAATGGTCAAGAGCACACTGCCAGATGTCCGAGATGTTGTTGACATTAGTTTTGTGATAGTTTTGGCTTAGAATCTATTTTACTCCATTTATTTTAATCCATTCATGGGGGAGGGGTACACGCAGGGCTATATCTGTGTCGCAGACATTGTGACCCCTGGTTCCTATCAGCACCACTGAAATCTGAGTCTGTAAGTTTCTCTACAATTAACCACTTCACACCAAACCACTCTGAAATAACTTGGTTTACATCTCAAGGACTGACTTTTAAAAATTGGTGGAATTCCCCTTTAATGAAAATAACAGTAAGAACAAAAAAAGTTGGTGAATGAAACCAGTAGGGTTCAGTTACATTATATAAAAAAGATCATTTAAATTTGCCCTCACAGGTTCTCATTAATAACATGCACTGTTAGCACTTTAAAGGGCCAATACCCTGCATTTCTCTAGTACTCCCCCTCCGCCCCCCTCGTCCATTTATGACACCTGTTGGTCATTTTTGCATGACAAATTTCAAACCTCTCTTTACCTCTTAGAATTAAGCAGGCTATTTTAGCTACTGTGCATTAAATACTGAAATATGTAAATGAGCTCTCTTCTGATTGGCTGCCCTGTATTGTGCCTCATTCAAACAGCGGTCCAGGTTGAAACACTCGTAACTTTAGCATGAATGGGCAGGGCTGAACTGCTGTGGGTAGATTTATGTAAATGATTTGTTTTTGTGTCACATCACAAGAACAATTTTGAAACTAGCTGTTTTTGTAGCTTAGATTCCACATATGGACTGGGGACTGAACAGTATAACCTTTTTTACATACTACATCAAACACTTTTATTCTGAAAAAGTTTAAAAAATTGTTTTTGAATGATAAGGGCCCTTTAATTGCTTTGCCACACTGTCAGTCTCACTTACCAATTTGAGAAAATCAATTAGCTTATAAGCGTCTTCTCCAGTGGACAGGTCCAAGAAGTCTCGTGGGATTCTGTAGGACAAACATGGACTTGGCTGGACAGTCACTTCACTGGTGGTGTACCGGAAAGTAGGACTCTCCTGAAAACATCCAATACTCTTAGAACATACCCAACAGCCCCATTCTGAGTGTACATAAAATGACAATGTGCAGTCATGTGCAATAGTTTGAACAAACCCAGTCGAAGTGAAAATAATTTCACATGTTCTCTACAGGAAACGCACTTCCTGCAAATCTTTAGTGAATGATATCTATTTATTTGCTGAGTTTAACACACTGGAAAGAAAATAAAATCTAAAATTTGCTGTATGTGCTGCACAGGCCATATTTTATGAGGGACAGTCGTGGGCTGGAGTTCAGGGTACCAGCTGTGTGACCGGAAGGTCGCCGGTTCGATCCCCTGAGCTGACAGGACCAAGCCACCTAACCCCCAACTGCCCCCCGGGCACCGTGGATAGGGCTGCCCACAACTCTAGTGTGTGTGTGTGTGTGTGGGAGTTTCACTGCACAGATGGGTTAAATGTGGAGGTCAAATTCCTCTGGGCCCAAGCACAATTGGTCAGTGGTTCTGAATTGAATTGAACTGAACTGAATGTTTTATTTTCCCTACTAAGTCATGAAATAAACAGTAATTGTGCATTAAAATATGCAGAAATATGTTTTCTGTAGAGGATCTGTAACTTATTTTCACTCAGAAAAATCAACGAAACGTCATTTAACCAGGGGTGCGTAAACTTTTGAGTACGACCGTGTCTCATGGACATGAGGATGTAGCTACAACCTACAAATATACACACAACTTGGCACAGTGGTTGGTTAGCATGTAAGCTGAGACGGCTGAAGTGGTTGGTGTGCATATTAATTAATAGTTAATCAGGGAAGCTGTAGTTCGTTAAGTATGCTGTACCTGTAGTGCTGTGTCTTCACAAGCTGTAAGGCTGTTTCCAGACGTCAGCTCCTCCCATGTGAAGAGCAGAGAGTCTGTAACCTCACCAAATGGATTAAAGTCAATCAGCCACACACGACCCTGTTAGAGAAAACACACAAAACACAATCACGATCTTCCTCCACTGCCCAGCACTCAAACATACAGGCTGCTGCTGGGGAGGCACTGATCATGAATTTATATGGCCGATTCCAAACCTGATTTCTTTATTAGCCTGTTTTATTATTATCGTTATTTTTTACTCTTTACTTTTTACTTTATTACAACCCCAAGTCCAAAAAAAGTTGGGACACTGTGTAAAATGTAAATAAAAACAGAATGCAATGATTTGCGAAACTAATACACCCATATGTTATTCACAATAGAGCATAGAACACATATCAGATGTTGAAAGTGAGACTTTTTACCACTTCATGAAAAACATTAACTCGTTTAGAACTTGATGGCAGCAACGCATCTCAAAAAAGTTGGGACAGGAGCAACAAAAGGCTGGAAAAGTAAGAGGTACTAATGAAAAACAGCTGGAGGAGCAATGTGTGACTAACTCACATGACTGAGTATAAAAAGAGCATTTTAGAGAGGCTCTCAGAAGCAAAGATGGGCAGAGGTTCACCAATCTGTGAAAAACTGCATCTAAGAATTATAGAACAGTTTCAGAAAAATGTTCCTCAACGTAAAATTGTGAAGACTTTGGATTTCCCACAATCTACAGCACATAATATCATCAGAAGATTCAGAGAATCTGGAGAAAACCCTGTACATAAGGGACAAGGCCGACGGTCAATACTGGATGCTTGTGATCTTTGGGCCCTCAGGCAGCACTGCATTATAAACAGACATGATTCTGTACTGGAAATCACTGCATGGGCTCAGGAACACTTTCAGAAATCACTGTCTGTGGTGAACGTTTTTGGAATTGGGGTTGTATTATTATTGTTAGTTTTTACTCTTTATTTCACAAAACAAACAAAATAAATCAGATTTGCCAGATTGCATGTCTGGAGCAAAAATCTGATAATTAAAATCGTGCATCCCTAGATATTGCTGATCACACTGACTTACTGATTACTTAAAAACATATGGATATCCTCACCATGCTGTCTCTGTAAACATCCAGGACAACTGGAAAACATAAATGACAGAAACAGTACATCACAACTCCTGCAGCAAAACATCGATGATTTCTATCTCTAATCCAACACAAGGTCACTCACAGTCCTCATCAGGGAACTGGTGCTGGATGTGGTTCCTGAAGAACTGCAGTATGGAGGAGGAAATACTCGCTTCTTGTTTGGAGATGTGCTGGTAATGTTGGGTGTAGTCTCTCTGAGAGATGCCTGCGAACATAGTCAAACTCAGATACTGGGAAGCTCCACCCATTTTTTATTAGATTTCTGCATAATTAAATGGTTAAGATGTAAATAAAGTCATTCAGAGTGGTTCTGTATAAAATGCTCCATTCTAGAGAAACTTATGGAATCAGAATTGTTCACAGTGGTGGTGATGGGAACCAGACGTCTGAAGAGTTTAATGCCGGGGTGTCCAGTCATAATGAAAATCTGCAGCCACACTGGCCCTGGCCACACAACCCTGGTTTAATGTCTCTAAAAGCTCCCTCTCAAAAATATTATTACATGAAATGATTATGAAAATGCTGCCTGATGTCTGAAACATTGTTTTATGATAGTATTGAGAAAAGAATTTAATCTAAAATGTATTTTTAAAATTTATGGTGAAAAATCGTTTCCAAAGAAAGCTTTTTTTCAGATTTACCACCATTTTATCATCAATAACAATACATATAAAACTCAAAGCACACATGACGGTTCACTGGTGGTTTTGGAGAGTAAATTAAATGGTTATATTTGTGTTGTGGACATCATCAAACAACTCAAAGCCTTTGTTTACATCTCAACCACTGAATTATGAACAAAATTTTAAAAATCTGTGGAATTCTCCTTTAAACCAGAAATGATTTTGATTTGCTGGAAGTGGGTAGATTTACTGACCAGACTATTCAAGGAGCACTGAAGTTAATCGCATGAATGCAGTGTAATTTAAAACAGCCAATCAGCAGTCGAGATATTAGAACAAGCCTGTATTCTGGATCATGGACACTGATAGGACAGACTACTGAAACTTGAATTACATGCATGCACTGAATGACACTCAATTCTTTGATATTCAGTAGTACTAAAGTAATCTTACATGGCTTTAAAGAGAAAAGCTATCATACAGATAAAATGAAAAAGCCTAGCAGGGACCAGTCAGCATTATGTAGATTAGATATTGCTTACTGGTCTCCATTATCTTTCAAACACTGAGTGTGTTTACATGCACTGAACAATCCGATCATAATCGGATTTCTGCAGTTGTTTGATTATTCAAATGGTCACGCAAACAGCACACTCTGATTTCTTAGATTGGAGTAAAGTCTAGAAATCCGATTAAGAGAGCTGGATTTTAGCTCAGTAATCAGATTTCTCAGTGCATGTGAACTCTTACTCTGATTTCTTTCAGATTTCTCAGTCTGAGCATGTGTGGAACAGACCACGGTACCGGAAATAAGCGAGCAGTGTTGCCACAAGACGCAGCAAAACACTTCCGGAACGACACCGAAACCGACTACATGCTTGACAAAATGAAGGATTTAAATATTCTTCATCTTCTAGATGATGTATGTTCATAGTTTCAGCTAAAGTGGCGCGATGTTAAAAAAAAAAAAGCCGCGGCATGAAGTTTGAGTTTTACATTACGTTTACGTCACGTCTTCTTCTGTGAGTTTATTGGCTGGTTGTAAAGCAGAAATCTGATTACTGTCTGACTCACGTAGACCTGGAGTTTCACCATTATCTGATTACTCAAGTGCATGTAAACGCATTGATCTGATTACTGACCAAATCTGATTTTCTGCAGTTATCAAATTATTAAGTGCATGTAAACGCACTCAATGTTAGCCTGATTAATATTCTGAGTGTAGCAAAAATCATGTCCTACAGATCACTGAGAGAAACAACATAAGATGATGAGTGGATTTCTTACCAATAAGCTTGTTCTCCTTCACAAAGCAGCGGAATTCTCCACCTGGGATGAGCTCGCTCCATTTCCTTAACACTAGCTACAAAGGAGCAAGACAATTCTATTCTAATTATATAATACAGGCAACTGCCAGGTAAACAATATGTTTCAATACAGAGTTAAAGGGCAAATTCACCAATTACTGCATAATTAAATACTTAAGATGTAAACAAAGCCATTCAGAGTGGTTTGGTGTGAAATGCTCTGTTCTAGAGAATCTTAATTAAAACTTTAGAGTGGTGATAGGAACCAGACATCCACCTCTAAAAGCTCCCTCACAGAAAGTTACTACATTAAATGGTTATAAATACACTCAGCCTGATATCTCAGACCTTATTTTAAAATGGCCTTGAGATACAATTTTGGTCTTAAACATATTTTTAAAACCATTCATGGTGGAGGAATACATGCAGGGCACTGTGAATCAAAACAGCTCCCAAAGCTCCTAAAACTTAATTTTTATTTTATTTTTTTAATAGATCTTCCACTATTTTACCATCATCAACATTACATATGAAACTCAGAAGGCACGTGTAGGTTCACTGGTGGTTTTGGATAGTAAGTAAAATGTCTATATTTGTGTTGTAGTCATGGAACCCCTGGTTCCTATCACCACCATTGTAAAGAAAACTGTCTCTACATTTCACACCAAACCTCTCTGAATGATTTTGTTTACACGTCAATAACTGAATTATGCAGAAGTATATATATATATATATATATATATATATATATATATATATACACATATGGAGTATATATGTGTGTATATACACACACACACACACACACACACACATTATATATGTGGAATTTCCATTTTATTAGACGATTCCAGTTTTTCTCAATTCATAAAACACATTTAGTGAAACTGGAATCACTTTCTTAGCAAAGATACGTCCTTGTTTTCAAAAATGTTAACACATTCTCTCTGCTTTCACTCATTTTTCACATACTTTTTCAAAACGGTTACCACAGACCTCACAGAAAAATATATTTCATGAGATAATTGTGTCAAAGAAAAGGAAAACATTTAGTAACAATGGATAGAAGATACTATCACAGTCGTATCACTTGAACCTGTGTAAACTAAACAGTGCCCGATTGTTAACTCAGCATTCAGTGGTCATTGATTGCTGACTGTAAGCACTGATAAAACAGGCTGTATTTATCGGATAGATAACGGTTAGGTTTATGACCGACATGCCTAGTGAAACACTCAGATAATAGATTCTACCAGAGATACTGTAACCATGTGTCTCAAGGGAATTTACTGCACACCCACCCAAAAATAGTTTCACCTGAAACAATCAGAAACATTTAACCTTTTTTCTATACAGATTGAAAAAGGTAACGATAGTGGAAAGCAACACTGTCCCAAAGTGATGCCAAACAGGAGGCTGGAAATAATATTTATCAGTAGAGGAATGGGTAATAGGAACATTGTGTTGACTTCAAGTTTAAATTTGGGTTGGACTGTCCTTCCACTTTCTGTAATGGATAAGCCATATTTGATGACCTGGCCTATAACTGTTCTGTTCAAATTTCACTGGAAATTTTGGTTCATTAAGGTCTTTCCCAGTCTGTCCCTCTACTTACAATTACTCAGACCTAGGGTTTGGCATTGTTTGTGACAATGATACCCACAACAACTCTTGCCCATCTTTTAAGAATGTGGCAAAATAAGCAGTTTAAATATTTGTTTTTGGGTGAAATATGTTGTTTAGTTGATGGGGGGTGGGGGGGTTATGCAGTACACTGCAGTGAAATGTATGTCTGTTAAAATTACCCAGGAGAAAAGAATAAATTCCACTCTGATGTACTAACACTTTGGCACAATCTAAATCTGTATCAGCAGCCAGTACAGCACAGACACACAGCACTAGTGAAGGGTGAGCAGGTTCAAGTTGAAACCTGTATTTTGTGGGGTTTTCTTGGTTGTTATTTAGTGACTGAGTGAATTTTCTCTCCTAACTGTGAGCTGCAATGTTTGATAGAAAAGCTTGCTTTTGTGCCGCGTTTAATGTTATGCGCAGGTTCGACCTTTTTGAAAAGTAAGCTTGTTTTTTGTGCAGCAAGTTTCTGTTTTGTAACATATATTAACTCTTTTGAGACTTCTTAATGGACAGAAGTGTTCAAGCACATGAGAAAACCTGTACAAAGACCCAGTCGACTATTACTGTGGCTTCCATAGTTTCAAAGATATGAGCACTACAGGCTCATTCACCAAATCTCAACCCAGATTGATACGTATGGGAGATTGTGGAGTGATTAAATTGGAACAATATCACAAAGTGATAGTTTCTGCCATGATGCAATAAATGTGTTCCGGTTGTTTGTGGTGCATCATTTAGATATCAGCGGTTTCCTAATCATATTTATTTCTTATCACCTGAATGCTGTCAATAAAGAAAGATTGTTGCAGGACTTCGGAAAGTGAGTATGGTGTGGCAATTATATCCAATGAGTCACAGTAGTATAGATCAGGGTGCATGAACTCCGTATCAATATGCCCGATTCACTTACGGATCACCTCATGCAATCTAGAGTGCACTATTGGCCCAGCTAGACTGACAGTCAATTCTCCATGCCTGTTGAATGGAGCATTTTCTGTCAGGTTGCCCGCTGGCATAACATGCTGCCTTCTAGAGCAGGACAACCACCTTCCTGTTACACCTTTTACAGATGAGGCCAGCAAATTTGAAAGGAGCTCTCGTAATAACCTTATAGAGCTGTCATAATAATCAATGCTAGATCTGTTATGATTTATGAGCACTGAAAATCACAACACTGAAAGCCAAAGCAATGAAAGTCTCAAGAATGAAGCTTTGCTTTGCACACACTTATTAATACTACACACGCTCTACTGGCCTCTAGTGGATAAAACTGGAAGTGCAGCCTTACTAGAACAGTATGCGGTCAACAAATTATGAGACGGATACGACTATTTTACAGTAAATTTCACAAAACAGAAACACTGTCTTCTGATCACTTTTCACACTCTCAAATAATCCATACGTCATATCAAAATCTAGTTCTGGATTTTATAATCACTGGTAGTTAATTATCAGTTAACATAACTGGTTTTCATCACTAACTGCAGTATCTGAATCTACCTAGACTACGGAGAACCTGAATAAGTGATGGTGGATGTTACTGAGTAAACAGTTATATAATGTATTTGTACCTCATAGTTTATAACAGGGTCTGGGGAATCATCACTGCATTGGAGGAACCTGTCAAAGAAAGGAGAAATGCAGTCAGGATTACAGCGGTAAAGGAATGATCTGGCAATAAAATTCTAGTTTACACTCAACTTCACACTCGAATCACATTCAGGTCTTCATTATGGTGGCAGAGACTTGGCACCTTGGTTTAGGACACAGTAACACTAATTGTAAATTATAAAAAGACAAAAAAGGTTTTGCCGAATCCGACTGCCTTATTACACGCAGAAACGTGACGTCACACGGGCATATGGATACTAGGATTACACTCACGATTTTATTTGTAAACAATATCCTTAAGTTCAAAAATACAACAATTACAGTTATTTATTAACAGAGACCATCATAAGCCTGATCTGTGTTAGGCCTGTGTGATGTGTGTGCAACAGGGAGTCGGAAAATCACTAAGATTAACTCCCAGGTTTATTATACACTAAGGCTTATTATTCAGTAACTACAGGGACTTCAGTGCGAACTGGCTGAGCTATTCTTAGGTTATGGAAGTATGTAATAACGCTTTGGGCCTGCCGGTGGGCCCTGGCCAATAAAGGGGTTAATTGTTTTTATACTGAATATGCAGTTTGAAAAGAGTGCAATTTTCATTATTTTCATAAACTGAAGAGCCATTTAAACTGAAGAGCCACCTGTTGCATTCATAACAACACAATCACAACTAAACTGCCTCATAGCAAATGATAGCTAAAACCGCAATCACAATACAGAAAAATCATAATTAGATATTTTCACCCAATTTGCAACACTGTATCCTAAACCATGTCAACAAGTCTGTGCAACCCTAATAATGCGGTTAAAGTGGGTTGAGAGAGGTTTTGGAGTTTTGGGTGATTTGGGTGACTATTGACTTCTAGTGTTGGTGCTAAAGAAGCAAAATCTGGACACCAAACGTGTTGGCTGATTAACGACATCTGGGGTGAGCGGAACATTGTGTTATTTGATTTTCACTCAACCGTTCCTTTAATCAACCACTGTACACAAAGTCAACCATCACAATATGTAGATCTGAGTGAATAACAAACACTCTGCAAGCACAGGGAACGCCTCGTGTTACTCACGGCTGTGTGAGGTCATGTGTGATGAAGTCTGAACTTTTGAAGAGAAGAAAGATGTCACTGAGACTCTGACACTGCAAAGAGCTGTTCAAGGCAATCCAGTTTGCATCCTGTAGGGGTGAAAGAAGGACAGAGTGACATGAAGACAAGAAGAAACAGTGTAATAGGACGCTTTGTTATATGAGGGTATGATCTGCTGACCCGAGGTGCGCTCCAGTTCAGTTTGGGGAAGACTTGGCCACCCAGCGCGTTTATTGCTTCCTGCACTTTTGAACTGAATTCTGGGAATTCTGGTGCCTGTGAAGGAGTAAAGAAATCTACCCAGTTATTACCAGGACAGATAACATTCAACATGCCAGGTATACACCACAAAAACAGGAGATATGAGAACATCACTCTGTGTTATTCAACTTTTAGCCGGAAAGCTCTCCTCTCTTATCTTTACGGACCCCGTGGGTAGAGTCCAGAGGGTCTGTCTCATGATATTAACACATTTATCTGTTAACCCAGGTTTGGATACTCAGGCTAAGTATAATCTTTCTGCATGTGCACATTAAAGCATGACTAATCCCATTTCACCCCTCGCCCCTACCACTTAGCTCTACCCCTCCGTTTTGAATGTTCACATCTAGGGGTAGGGTGTCCTGATTTTTGTTGAGATAGAGGGGCAGGGCGAAGTGTTAGGGCTACATGGCCCTCCAAACAGAGGTTTGAGAGAGTGTTATGAGAAAAAAAAAACAAAAACGGCAAGATGGCTGAACAAACGACCAAAAAAACCCACAAATGTGAAAATTTTCTCTGTTAAAAAATTACAATAATCATTGTATTATCTTAGTTTAATGTCATTTTAATGTATTATGGTCCTTTTCTTCATAACAAGCACAAACAAATCACTAGTAGTGTGCTGATGTCTCATGGGCCAGCTAGCTAAATTTCCCATTCTACCTTAAATGGTGGAGCAGCTGCACCTGAGGCGCCTCAGGCATCAGAACCACTGCACTATTTAAGGTGGACGGGTAAAATTTGATCAAGAAGCTGGCGCACAGCTGACTTCAGCTTCATATCACTTCAGCATTAGGGGTGGGCAAATATATAATTATCGTACCCCCCCCCTTCTTTGAAGTCACATGATGCCCTAAATGTAACTAAAGCCCAGCAGTGAAGAGCTGAACTTTAACCTCCTCTGCTGTCACTGCAGACTGGCAGGGTCGCCTACAGAGCAGCGCTAGTAGCTGTTAATGAAGTAATGCTCTTCTTTATTTGAGGGTCTCATTTTGTAGAGAAGATTTCAACCACTAGCCCTTCTACCTCAGTTCGAAGGCGCAACGTGACTCTGGAAAATAAGGGGTAGGGGATAAAAATAAGAAATGGGATTGGGCCTATGTAAATATGCAGAAAGCAAAGCATTACTATGGTAAAAAAGCAACCCCCATGTTATCAAAGTAATAGTTGCTTTGTCCTTAATATCTATGTAGTATGATTTGTTTTCTCTGCTGAAAAGACATATTTTTATGTGATTGATCACACAAATGTCCCAAAGTATAAAAGGTCTGCCCTGATTGGTCCAGGAGCTGATTACCATCCAGAATCCTAAACCTAACCTGCCCTAAAAGTCATTTCAAAAGGAAAAAAAAGCCTTCTGTACAGCATGCTGCCAATGTTACCTGCACACCTAAAAAGATGGTCCTTCAAGGGTTCTTTAGTGAAAAAAAATGGTTCTATATAGATCCATGAGCACTCAAAGACCCCTTTGCATGATTAAATGGTTCTTTGCATCATTAAATGCTTCCTGAGATTGATGGAGAATGTTGTATATCGTTCTGTATTGCACCAAAAAAGGTACGTCTGTTGTTATAAGCTTGACATCGTAACAATAGAAGAACACTTTTTTGGTGCTATATAGAACCCTTTTCAAAAAGGTTCATCTACAGCACATTCTCCATCAATCTGAAGAGCCACTGCACCATGCAAAGGGTTCTTTGTGTGCTCACGGTTGTGTACAGAACCCTTGAACGATCATCTTTTTAAAGAGTGTGGCGAGATACACAGATTAGTCCTGGACAATAAGGTTGAGACTGTGGAGTAATACTCACCGTGGCGACTGTTGTTGTCTCATCATCAGACCACTGGTAAAGAGAAAGTATTTGGAAAACATATTTAGAAAACACATTTGCATATTTAAAATTATACTCGAGGCACAGCTGGACCTTTTAGCTTTTACAATATGAGCCAAAACACACGGCAGGCGGTCAGAGCAGAGATTATTTACATTTATAAAACAGTTCCGGTCCTAATGTCTGATTGGCTAAGCCTCGTTCGAAGCCACTGTAAAATCCATGATATACGACTATGCCTATGACCTCCTCACAACAGCTGAACTCTGCATCACTGTGCCACGGCACGAAAAACCCTTGTGCTGTTGTGTTAATGGATTAATCTTTGACTCTCATGCTGCTCACATGGACCACCGAGCATAACGTAGAAGTAAGAACCTGTTTTTTGTTTAAACTGAGGGGCTGGCAACCTATACTCTTAACTAATGTTAAAACTAGGCTGGTCAGCTCGCTAACTGTCTAAAAGAGCCAACAGTCTAAACAGCTCCACCATTAATATCACAGGCTTGAATTAAAGCACTTACAGTGTGATTAACTGTAAAACGGCAGTATAAAAGTCTAAAAATGTCCCCTGAATGACTCACACACTTCAAATGTCCGTATTTCAGTCAGAAGTCGTGTCAAATCCAAGCTGAATCCCAAACGGCTCCGTACTCCCTAAATAGTGTTCTAGCTATGAAAGTTTAGACATTTTAGCCTCTACAGCCAAACAGTGCATCATTTATTAGGTACAGATGTGTCTGAGTCCTAAATGACTGTTTCTTAGCTGTATTTTGCTCTGTTGGGCTGCAGGATCCAGCATTTAATTCCTACGTAGTGCACTATGTAGGGAGCAGGGAGCCGTTTGAGATTCAGCCCCGGCGAGAGAAGAGGGCGCCGCTGGATTGGTGCTAAATTAGACTTGTGGTGGTGATTTGGTGACCAAAAAGTACTTATGAAGTGAAGGTTTTTGCATTAAACTGTACTGTTATCATATGTTCGCAATATACAGCTATTGGTGACCAAATGCTTGCCTACAAAGCCAAAAATGGACCAGCCCCTCCCTACTTAATGGCAATGGTGAAATCTCGAACTGCCCTTCGAGCTTCGAGTACAGCTCGGCTTGACCTGCCATCCTTCAAGGCGCACGGAAGGCAAGCATCAAGACTGTTCTCTGTGCTGGCACCCAGGTGGTGGAACGAACTCCCACTGGCTGTCCGTACAGCAGAGTCTCTCGCTGCCTTCAAACACAGACTGAAGACCGTCTCTTTATACAGCACTTAAATGAGCACTGAGTTTAGTGTTGACTGTAATGTACTGTACAGCACTTATGTATTGTATTGTATTGAACTGCTCTGTGTTCCTTTTTCTCCAGGTGTCAATAATGACTTTCTGATTCTAGCAGTATCTGAGCTCAGGACTGGCTTTCTCTCTAACCTATTGGTAACTAGCGAAGATACTTCCTCTGGATAGACAAAGCACTTTTTGTAAGTCGCTCTGGATAAGAGCGTCTGCTAAATGCCGTAAATGTAAAATGTAAAAATGTAAAAATGTAAACGTAAATGTTCTTCTCATTCAGCGTCCATGGTTTCTTGGCAACGATACCATACTCTAAAGGAACTACATTTCTTGGCGGAATACTTGTTTACGTCTAAAATTATTTTCTGAAAAAGTGTTTATTTTATCATATTTTATGTTGGCACCGTTTTATAAAAGCAATAAGCCACTTGAGGCTGTGCGTTACTGCGATTTTATCACGGGGAAGCGAGTTTAGGCACTCCACTCCACACTCCTCACGCAGGGCCTCTCGTGGCTTATTGCTTTAATATCGCTGTATGTCTTAAAGGCACAGTAACACAAATAGGAGGTATGAAAACAGTCACGTAAAAATTAATTGCAGCTACTTTTGGCACAAAAACACAAGGTATTATAAGGGGACCTCAAGAGAAAAATACAATAAAGATATATTATCCCCATAACTAACCAAGCAAACATCACCTACCTGAATGTCTTCCTCTTCCTCCAAGTCACTGTTGTTGGTCTGTGAACGCTGGTTGCTGTTTTCACTGCTGCAAGAGATCAATTAATTAATCATCTCAACTTCCAATCAAATAATAAACTCATATCTTTTGGTTTGGAATCAAAAACTCTCACCTTCCAGAAACCACAAGTGTCCCATCATCCAAAAGGTAATCGATTACATTCTGAGGCAGAGGCAGAATCAGGCTAGAAAGAGAGACAGTAGTTAAAGGAGAACTCCACCGATTTTTCTAAATTTCTGCATAATTCAATCAGTGAGATATGAAAAGCTCATTCATTGTGGTTTGAAGTGAAATGGTTAACCGTAGAGAAACTCTTCAGACGTCTGGCTCCTTTCACTCTCTCTCTTTCTCTCCCTCTCTATCACTCACTGACTCTCTGTCGCTCACATAGAGTGAGGGATGGAGGGAGAGAAAGAGAGAGAGTGATCTCTTTCCCTCCCTCCATCCCTTACTCGCTCATTGACTCTCACTCTCCTTTTCTCTCTCATTCTCTCTTTTTCACATACTCACTTTCTTTCTTTCCCTCCCTCCCTCATAGACTCACTCTTTCTCCTTCATATTCTCACTCTTTGACTCTCACTCTGCCCCACCCCTTATTCTCTCTCTCTTTCTCACATACTCAATCACTCTTTCCCTCCATCCCTCTCACTCATTGACTCTCTTTTTCTCCCTCTCATTCTCTTTCTCACATACTCACTCTCTTTCCCTCCCTCCATCCCTCACTTGCTCACTCATTGCCTCTCTCTCACATACTCATTCACTCTTTCCCTACATTCCTCTATCACTCATTGACTCTCACTCTTTTTTCCCTCTCATTCTCACTCACCCTTTCCCTCCCTCATTGACTCTCACTTTTTCTCCCTCATTCTCTCTCTCTCTCACACATACTCATTCACTCTTTCCCTCTCTCCCTCATTGACTCTCACTTTTTCTCCCTCATTCTCTCTCTCTCTCACACATACCCATTCACTCTCTTTCCCTCTCACCCTCATTGACTCTCTCTTTTTCTCCCTCTCATTCTCTCTTACTCATTGATTCTCCCTTTTTCTAACATACCCACTCACTCTCTTTCCCTCCCTCCATCCCTTACTCGCTCACTCTCACTCTCCTTTTCTCTCTCATTCTCTCTTTTGCACATACTCACTTTCTTTCTTTCCCTCCCTCCCTCAGACTCTCACTCTTTCTCCTTCATATTCTCTTTCTCACATACTCTTTTCCTCCCTCCTTCACCGACTCTCATTCTCTATTTTTCTCCCTCTCATTCTCTCTCTCTCAATCATTGACTCTTTTTCACATACTCTTTCCCTCCCTCCCCGACTCTCTCTCTATTTCCCCCCTCATTCTCTCTCTATCATTGACCCTCTTTCTCACATACTCTCTCTTCCCCCCTCCCTCACTCACTGACTCTCTCTCTCTCTCCCTCTTTTGCTTGTGAGGTTGTGTGATGTGTGAACGTATGAAGGTATTATTATTATACTTCTCTCTCTTTTATTCGCACTTCTATAAAAACATCATGTTTTCCTTTCCTAGTCGTGCTGTGTCAGTAGCCAAATTACCCAGCAGCCCTTTCAGGTCGAGTCGAGCTCACACTGCTACATGCTAAGTTGGCTAGTCTAGCTAAGCCTTTCGGCTTCTGGAGGAATAAAATGAAGGAGGTTTAATATTAAAAGTAAGCGGTCTCACCTTTTGATCGTAAACTTCTTAAACAACGGATACCAGACGGAGAACTGACAGTTCACCACCTGCTCCTTCTTCATGCTGCTACAGCTGCACGGGCAGGTTCGACTGTGCAGCGTTAAAGCGGGTCTAATGTTACCCAACCAGACTAACAGTTCCTGTATTAGTATTGTTATTATGGTTGTTGTTGTTGTTGTTGTTTCAGAACCACAGTTTGCCTCTTGGCACGCAATTACTATATACAATTAGTCTTAAAATGAGTCTCGGACCGAACATTTTCACCCAGTTAGGAAAAGAATAACAGGTTTCCGCCATGCGGGGATGTATTTTCAGGATACACCGGAGGGCGGAACAGAGATTTTCCAGAGAGGAGACCTGCCACTCAGTGATATTCTCCGTAATTGTCAGACGCTAGAGGGCGCTTGCGGCCAAAATTAATGGGCTAATACGGAGAATTTGAGCAAATTTAGTTTATTTTTAGAGAGAAAATGCTTTCAGTTCCTGAACACAGAGCAGCATAAAAGATTTTACTGTTTATGTTTAACACTGTTATGTTTTTTTGTGTTTTTGAACTCCAGTTATAGAACTTTATAACAGCACCTTATGTACGTTCATGATGTCACTGAGTGCGAACCACTTCACTCAGCCAATGAGATGATAGGCTGACCAACCAATCAGCACTCAGGAGCAGTAATGCTACCCAATCAGCACTCAGTAGCAGTATTGTCAACTAATCAGCACTCAGTAGCAGTAATGCCAACCAGTCAGTGCTCAATAGCAGTAATGCCAACCAATCAGTGCTCAGTAGCAGTAATGCTAACCAATCAGCACTCAATAGCATTAATGCCAACCAATAAGTGCTCAGTATCCGTAATGCCAACCAATCAGCACTCCGTAGCCAATCAATTAGCACTCCGTAGCAGTAATGCTAACCATTTAGCACTCCGTAGCAGTAATGCCAATTAATCAGCACTTAGTAGCAGTAATGCTGACCAATCAGCACTCCGTAGCAGTAATGCTAACCAATCAGCACTCAGTAGCAGTAATGCTGACCAATCAGCACTCCGTAGCAGTAATGCTAACCAATCAGCACTCAGTAGCAGTAATGCTAAGCTAATCGATCAGCACTCAGTAGCAGTAATGCTGACCAATCAGCACTCCGTAGCAGTAATGCTAACCATTTAGCACTCCGTAGCAGTAATGCCAATCAATCAGCACTCAGTAGCAGTAATGCTGACCAATCAGCACTCCGTAGCAGTAATGCTAACCAATCAGCACTCAGTAGCAGTAATGCTGACAAATCAGCACTCAGGAGCAGTAACGCTAACCAATCAGCACTCAGTAGCAGTAATGCTAACCAATCAGCACTCAATAGCAGTAATGCTGACAAATCAGCACTCCGTAGCAGTAATGCTAACCAATCAGCACTCAGTAGCAGTAATGCTGACGAATCAGCTCTCAGTAGCAGTAATGCTGACGAATCAGCTCTCAGTAGCAGTAATGCTAGCATTCTATGGCCTAAATCCTGTTTCCTGTAGCAAAACCAAAGCCTACAGATGAATCTTCTTTGCTTTTTAGGAGAAATACATCCAACTACTTCCCGAAGTCAGAGGAAGGTCCTGGATTAGTGTTTAGAAACTGATTTAACTTTTGTTTTTAGCCGTTTAGCTCCTTTCACCCCCATTCATTGAGGACTCGCTCGCGGGCGCCCTCTGGCCCTCTGTCACTGAGTGCGAACCACTTCACTCAGCCAATGAGATGATAGGCTGACCAACCAATCAGCGCTCAGGAGCAGTAATGCTACCCAATCAGCACTCAGTAGCAGTATTGTCAGCTAATCAGCACTCAGTAGCAGTAATGCCAACCAGTCAGTGCTCAATAGCAGTAATGCCAACCAATCAGTGCTCAGTAGCAGTAATGCTAACCAATCAGCACTCAATAGCATTAATGCCAACCAATAAGTGCTCAGTATCCGTAATGCCAACCAATCAGCACTCCGTAGCCAATCAATTAGCACTCAGTAACAGTAATGCTAACCAGTCAGTGCTCAATAGCCAATCAATGAGCACTCAGTAGCAGTAATGCTAACCAATCAGCACTTCGTAGCAGTAATGCTAACCAATCAGCACTCAGTAGCAGTAATGCTGACAAATCAGCACTCAGTAGCAGTAATGCTAACCAATCAGCACTCAGTAGCAGTAATGCTAAGCTAACCGATCAGCACTCAGTAGCAGTAATGCTGACCAATCAGCACTCCGTAGCAGTAATGCTAACCATTTAGCACTCCGTAGCAGTAATGCTGACCAATCAGCACTCAGTAGCAGTAATGCTGACCAATCAGCACTCCGTAGCAGTAATGCTAACCAATCAGCACTCAGTAGCAGTAATGCTGACCAATCAGCACTCCGTAGCAGTAACGCTAACCAATCAGCACTCAGTAGCAGTAATGCTAACCAATCAGCACTCAATAGCAGTAATGCTGACAAATCAGCACTCAGGAGCAGTAATGCTAACCAATCAGCACTCAGTAGCAGTAATGCTAACCAATCAGCACTCAGTAGCAGTAATGCTGACAAATCAGCACTCCGTAGCAGTAATGCTAACCAATCAGCACTCAGTAGCAGTAATGCTAAGCTAACCAATCAGCACTCAGTAGCAGTAATGCTAACCAATCAGCACTCAGTAGCAGTAATGCTAAGCTAACCGATCAGCACTCAGGAGCAGTAATGCTAACCAATCAGCACTCAGTAGCAGTAATGCTAACCAATCAGCACTCAGTAGCAGTAATGCTAAGCTAACCAATCAGCACTCAATAGCAGTAATGCTAACCAATCAGCACTCAGTAGCAGTAATACTAACCAATCAGCACTCCGTAGCAGTAATGCTAACCAATCAGCACTCAGTAGCAGTAATACTAACCCATCAGCACTCAGTAGCAGTAATGCTGACGAATCAGCACTCAGTAGCAGTAATGCTAACCAATCAGCACTCAGTAGCAGTAATGCTGACGAATCAGCACTCCGTAGCAGTAATGCTAACCAATCAGCACTCAGTAGCAGTAATACTAACCCATCAGCACTCAGTAGCAGTAATGCTGACGAATCAGCTCTCAGTAGCAGTAATGCTGACGAATCAGCTCTCAGTAGCAGTAATGCTGACGAATCAGCTCTCAGTAGCAGTAATGCTGACGAATCAGCTCTCAGTAGCAGTAATGCTAGCATTCTATGGCCTAAATCCTGTTTCCTGTAGCAAAACCAAAACCTACAGATGAATCTTCTTTGCTTTTTAGGAGAAATACATCCAACTACTTCCCGAAGTCAGAGGAAGGTCCTGGATTAGTGTTTAGAAACTGATTTAACTTTTGTTTTTAGCCGTTTAGCTCCTTTCACCCCCATTCATTGAGGACTCGCTCGCGGGCGCCCTCTGGCGTTAAAAAGTCATATTGTTGCAATAACATGAAAATCAGGATGTGGTCAGTCTCCCGTTAAAGCAGCTCTGGGCGGCCCCTTCCAATTACACAGACTTGTGACTGAGCAGTTGGCGGTTGTACATGTGAGTGACAGTAGTGTTTTAATTTAGACTTCATTGTGCTTTGAAAATCGTCTACAGTGATGTTTAATTAATTTTAAAGGTTTTTGGTGGAGCTGTACTTTGAACGGTTAGGCCTCCACCAGCCTGCAAAACCGTGTTTTTATATACTTGTAGGTTTGGTTGAAAGATGGCTAGCGGGGTATTTTAACCGCTTACAGATCCACGGAGCTGAAGTTTCCTGTTTGCCAGCTTCTTGTTCGAATTTTCCCGTTCCACCTTAAATGGTGCAGAAGTAACATTCGGGCGCCTCATGGGTCAGAACGTAGCTGCTGCTCCATTTAAGGTGGAACGGGAAAATTTGAACAGGAAGCCACTTCAGCCTCGTTTCAGAGCCAAACATTTCAGGACTGACCAGGTCACTAATACGCAGCCAGCTCTCCTCATATCTTAATTCTCTCTTGTACGTCCAGTATTAGGGGCGTGTGTGCTGTGTCCAGACCCAGAAGCAGGATGAGCTGTCCAGAGAAAGACGCGGTGGAGCCGCATGTAGTCAAAGAGGAGGTAACCATGAATATTGACGGAGAAATCCACCGTTTTTTAGAATTTAGCTTCGTTTTGTCGTGGCGATGTAAACAGTCAATCAGAGTGGTTTGACGTAAAATGGCTCATTTGTAGAGAAACTTACACACTCAGATTTCCTTAGAGTGGAGGTGATGGGAACCAGGGGTCACCATGTCTACAACACAAACATAGCCATTTTATTTGCTGTCCAAAACCTCCAGTGAACCTACACGAGTCTTCTGAGTTTATATATGTAATGTTGATGATGGTAGGATAGTGGGAAATCTTATATAATATAGTTTTGGGGGCTGTTTTGTCTTACAATGCCCTGTTTTAGGCCAAAACTTTATCACAAAGCTGTTGTAAAACAATGTCTCTGGCATCACAAATAAAAGTATGTGTGTAATAATTTTCCATGAGGGAGCTTTTAGAGGTGGACGTCTGGTTCCCATCACCACCGCTGTGAGCAATTCTGACTCTCACTGCCCAGCATTTCACAACAAATCTCTCTGAAGGACTTTGTTTACATCTTAACCATTTAATTGCATAGAAATTTTGAAAAATGGATGGACTTTCCCTTTACCAGGCTTGGCCTTCACTAGGCTTTGCTGTCACAACAGCTGTGAGAAATTTAAAATAAAGCAATGAGTGTTTTAACCTTGCTGTGATCATGGATGTTTTGCTGGTAGGTCATTGCAACTGGGAAGTGGGTGAAGCTTGAGAAGACCACATATGTGGACCCAGCTGGAAATACAAGGTATTGATCTGCAATCACTGTGACTCTGTGTGCAGTAGTGGGTAACCTCTGGACTGTGTGCTTTCTCTCTGCATGTCATACTTACTTTGCTACTGCAGAACAGTAAAGTGTAGATGGCGGTGTATGTATGTATGTGTATATATATATATATATATATATATATATATATATATATATATATATACACACACACACACACACATATATATGTATATACGTGTATATATATATATATATATATATATATATATATATATATATATATATATATATATATATGTATATATATATATATATATATATATATGTACATATGTACATATATCACTGCTGTCTGAAGAAAACCTCATATCTCCATTTTTTCCGTTTTTCAGTTTTTGACGTAGTTTGAAAAATGCCTGTTTCCTTTACATTGTTTGTAAATTTCATGATGAATGGACTAAAAAAACGGCCCAAAATGATTTGGGAAAAATTCTGGTTCCATTGACTTACATTAAAACTATTTAACCATTTAAGCATTGGTAAACTGTAAAGACGTTTGCTATCCGGTGTCGACCAAAGGAGGATGGGTTCCCCTTTTGAGTCTTGGTTCCTCTCAAGGTTTCTTCCTCTTGCTTTTAGGGAGCTTTTCTTGCCACTGTTGCCATTGGCGACGGTCATGGGGGCTTGGACCCGGATTTCGCTTTAAAGCTGCTTTGTGACAACACCTGCTGTAAAAAGCGCTGTATAAATAAACTTTGACTTTGCCGGTGTATAAACATTGTAGAAATCGGGACGACATCCACCTGGAACATATTTCTGTAGGGTTACAAAAGCTGTAAAGTAAATAACGTACAAACGTTTTAGCACAGTAGCCCAGTGTGGTCTAAACACTCTGCTCTTCCGGAGTGCAGTAAATACATCAAGTATGGGTTTGGAATATTGGTTTAATCTAAACATCTGTCTGATGACGACGATTTTCTTTTATTTATTTTTTTTTAGCAATTATCTGCCAATACAGATCAGGCGTTGCACAGATTAGTCGATACTAATACTAATACTAATTTTTGGGTCTGTATCTCTGATTTTCAGGAAGAGGGCATGTCACACCTTTCTGACGTGTGGAGTTTGGCTTCATTGTAACTTTTCTCCGCCGATCTATGGCGCTTCAAAGATAAGATATTGAACATTGTTCATATCCAGTTTCATGAAGATACAGTAAAAAGTCATTCATCATTAGAGAGAGGGCATGATAATAATCTATAATCCTGTAAAGTTTGTATTCGGTTACTTTCACCAAGTTACGGCGCTCTAAATTTCTAAATCGTCTCAGCAAGGCTGCCTATGGTGCGCCTAAGCTGGATACAAATTTGCGAGATTCTGGAGTCTATATCTCCGGTTCCCTGAGGGCTAGCAGTGCAATCCAGGGCACGTCGCGCTCTACTGTGGAGTTTGGCTTCATCGTGGATCTTCTTGCAAAGCATTTCCTTTTCCTGTGGCTTTTTTCATGACGTTATCAGTGATTAGTCAACGTTGACCCCTGATACCACTATGATTCTGATGTCATCGCACATCTCTAATGATATTTGTTCAGAGAAGAACACCTTTAGTTTGACATCAGGCTGAGGGTAGACTCTTAGTGTGCTGAAAGCTTGGAGAGGAAATACAGCCAGACGACACTGAGGCTGCTGGAAAGCACAGAGCTGGAAACAGTGGTGTCAGTGAGCTTGTGTTCTTTGTTGGGATCATGAACTCAGAAGTGTGCGAAGACATTTTGTGTGCAGAGCTGCAGAAGTCTGCAAAGAAACTGCCCAAACGATAATGACCTGAACTTACCAGCCGCCCTTTGAAAGAATACTTTGTCTAAAAGAAAATGATGGTCTTGAAATGGTCTGTTTAAATCTCAATGCCACTTGGTTTGAATTTTTTTTTCTTTACAGACTTCAACTTACATTTGTAACTATGGCACAGATGTCCAAATACGTCTCCTTTCTGTTTGTCCATTGTTAATATCCTCATAGGTAGTGTGAGCTGTAGCTGTCAGTGTCGGTAGATTTCGTGCTGACTCACACGCTGAGCTTTATTGCTGACCTCTTTAACTCTCTCCCTCCAGAACGTGGGAGACGGCGAAGAGAACGACGAGACCATCCAACACTGCGGTGGACGGTGTGTGCTTACATCTTCTCCAACACTAGTTTTTTGAACGATGCGCGTGGTGCATGCGTGTGACGTGTTTTCTTGATCTGAAGGTGTGGGCATCATAGCCTTGCTGAAGAGGACCCTGCATAAAGACTGCGTCGTCTTGGTGAAGCAGTTCAGGCCACCAATGGGATGCCATACTTTGGAGTTTCCTGCAGGTATCATCAGCGACATATAGCCTGTACAGTACTGTGTGAAAGTCACAGACCAGCTGTCATTTGTTAAATTATACAGTCAGAACAGCAAAAGATATTTCTGAGGAGATTAGATAAAACACAAGGAGAAAGTCAAAGAAGAAGCAGTTTTCAAAACTGGAGAAGTTCAATAAATGATTAAAAGCTACAGAGAAATTGAGACTCCTAACAACCATACAAGACCTGATAGACAACAACACTGCCCCCATCAGATAAACAGCACTTAAAGCTTTCATCTCTGAGAGAGAGGAGAAAATCAAGCTGCTTCAGATCTGAAAACATCCACAGGTGTTTCTGTCCATCCTTCCACTGTGAGAAGACGACTCGGCGCTGTGGGTCTGAAAGGATGTGTAGCTGTCAAGAAGAACCTCACTGAGAAAAGGAGACAGACCAAAAATAAGATATATAATATAACATAAGAAAATGTGCACTAGAGCACTATAACCTGATATCTGAGGTGAAAGTAGAGGTGGGCAATATGATGATATTTTATTGTTATCGTGATAAATCTTGTCATAATACACTTTTCTGAGCATATTGTGGATATCGTCAGTACTGAAACAACACAAAAGTGTTACAAAGTGAGCCTAATTAGGCCTGTTTAACTGGATTTAGTTTAGTTTGTAAAACACTGAATAAAAATTGTAGTTTATTATTATAATTATTAGTATTATTATTAGTAGTAGTAGTATCATAATGTTTTTAAATGTGACACTACATATTCTTCTGTTCCAACTTATTAAATCTCGGAAAAACTAAATGTCTTGATGCATATTGTGTCAAGAAAATGTCTTGAAGTATCATGATAAAATGTTTTTGCCATATCGCCCACCCATAAATGAAAGGTCTTGTGGACTGATGAGTCTAAATTTGTAATTTGGATTATTTGGTTTGTGAGAAGCAGAAAATGCAACCAGCTTCTAAGACTGAACTTTGGAGGTGTGTCTGCAGATTTCTTTGAAAAACTAAAACCAAGTGTCCTGAAAAGAAGGGAAGCTGTAATAAAGGCACTAAAGACTGAAAAAAGATTTACATGTAGTTATTTAGGCTTTTTCTGTGAAATATATCTTTTCTGCTTTGTGCTGAAAATGGCCGTTTTGACTGCCAGGACGGTCTCTGACTTATTGTAACACTATTGTTCGTATTCAACTATAAATTGATCAGTAATGATGACCCAAAGTTTTGTTTTGTATCTATGCTGTGGTTTGTTGGGGTGTTTTCAGGGCTGATTGATGATAATGAGAGTGCTGCGACTGCTGCTCTGAGAGAGCTGAAGGAGGAGACGGGTTATAAGGGAGAAGTTGTGGGAGTGACTCCAGGTATCCAGACTGTTGTGTGTATATGATCACTGTACAAAGAAAAACAAGTATCTCTAAAATGTCAACGTCACAGTAAAAGGCAAAACGTTCTTTACTTTTAATGGAATTTAATGTAAAGAGATGTAATTCTAAGACAGTTCATCAGTTAGTGTGATCAAATGATGTCAAGAAGTGAAAATCAAAAATAAAATGAGATACTTGTTTTTTTTGTCAGTGATGATATAACATACACATTCATATATAACATATATAACATAAGTGTTGTGTTGATTAAAATACAGTGTGTTTGCTATCTGTTCATGTATGTTGCTCAGATAAATGTACACTCATTCTCTCTCTTTCTCTCCCTCTTCTCACCTTCCTCATGCAGTCACATGTCTTGATCCAGGCCTGTCTAACTGTACAACACAGATTGTGATGGTGAACATAAACGGTGATGATATAGAAAACATACACCCCACCCAGCAGCTGGGTGAGCCTTCTACTATTTGTATTCATACTGTGTATATATAAATTATTTTATTTTATATATTTAGTGCTCATGCTCAATCAGAGGTGGCCAAAGCTTACTCACTCATTCTTTTGTTTTCTCCATTTTTTGTCCTTTGTAGGTGATGGGGGTAAGTTTTATTTCCCTGATGTTAAGATTTGAATGTTTAGATTCATTTCAGTGCTTCATAATGTTTTGCCCTTATAGTTTTAAAGGTTATTATCTCGTTTTTTCAGAGTTTGTTGAAGTGATTCTTCTACCTCTAGATGAATTTCAGAAGAAAATTGACGGTTAGTATCCTGTGTCCTTCTGCTCCAATTTTGAATAGTATTATATTGCATTTTTAATACTGTCCAGATATTCAGTATAAACATGATACCTATTTAAAGCTGCACTATGTAAAATTTGGGGATTTGGAGACCTCTCTGGTGGAAATGTGTAATTGCATGCAACGTGCAGAAAAACATTTGTTTGAGTGGATTAATCTGATGATTGCGAGAAAAGAGAAAGAGAACTCGTCTTGAACAAGCGTCTTCTGAGGATGTGAGTGAATTATCTACTGTTGTCATCACATCTTCATCAATATAATGTTGATTTTGCATTTGAGACCTAGACACCGAGCCACACCTTCTTCTTGAGTCTGTGCGTGTGACGTTAATGCGTAAAGATGTATGACATGGTCTAAAAACTTCTGACTTTTAAATCTTCTGACTCAGTGATGCTACTGCTTTCAATTAAAAAATCTTATATAGTGCAGCTTTCACAGCATAGCATTCTGCAATTTGATCTCTCTAGGAATTCCTTTAAAGTTCTGCCTTGTTGTTATTCTGTTTCATATGTGTTTCCTATGTTTATAGAGTTGCTGAAGAAGGAGAAAATAGTGGTGGACGCCAAAGTCTACATTTATGCCATGGGAATGGCCCAAGCCTTCTTTAAACCCAATGAGCTACCTGTGCTCAAGCAGTGAGACCTGCAGTCCATACAGCCTCCGTTATTATAAACAGCAAAGAAAGGACCATGAGAAGAAAACCATGGTAAACAAGACCAGTTGAATGCTGTTTATCAGCTCTTGGGAGCCTTTTAGAGCAGCAGTTTATGCTTGTGTAGTTATTACACGGTTACGTGAACATTCCTAACACTAACTAACAAAAACGAATTGACTGTTAACTGTGGTGTCCACAATATTAAAATCTACTAGTAGTGATACCATTCAAGACAAGATCTGACCAAAACATCAGTAAGCATATGAAACTGTAAGGCAGCAGTTTTATGCTGTCGGCTCTTAGTTTCCCCAGAATTTAAAAGACCAAGAAACCTGCTCATAAAAGTGAGTTGTTGCTTTTGCTCTTTTTAGCTGGGCTGCAGGTAAAGCATGTCCTACAGCAGTGCAGTGACCAAAGGCCAAAAGAACTGATTCATCATTATCTACTACATTTCAAAGCCTGGAATGAATCAATCATTCTAGAATAGTCTGGGCTTTTCAGCCGGTGCTACACTGGAGCCAACAAAAGCAGTTATGTGAGAGTTGTATTAACTTTTATCTAATAAACTGGCCATTGATAAGTCTGCATTGTTGCCTGTTACGTCTGTTCAGCCCTCCCTCCCCACCAGCCAGCATTATATATTTTAAGCAGTAGCTGATATACAATACAGTGTAGCCTAGAAGCAGCTTTATATATATATATATATATATATATATATATTATTTACCATTTTGGACTCCATTTTGGAGTTACCATTTGTTTCCAACAGCAGTGATATATACACACACACACACCCACCCGCCAACACTATATATGTGTGTGTGTGTGTATCACTGCTGTTGGAAACAAATGGTAACTCCAATATATATATATATATATATATATATATATATATATATATATATATATATATATATATATATATATATATATATATATATATCTCGGGTGTCATTTAGCCCTTGTAACTGTTAAAAATTAACCTTAATTTGTAAAAGTTTTCAACATTTAAAACTGTAAACCTACATTTGCACATTCCATATTAATATCTTCTGCCTTATATATCAACATTAAAACACAAAAAACAAAAAAAACTATTAACAGGAATAATAATATCGATTTCTGTATTGAGATCTAGTTGTGTTGCTTATTACAATGTCATTTTTTTCTGTCTGCATGTCACAAAATATTTTTGCTAAATACCCCAAAAGTGATAAATATGATGATAATTAAGAAAAAAAGGACTATTGATAACTGTTGTAGCATAAGTCCACAAACATTCATATTACAGTAAAGAAGTGAACAGTTCTAGGCCAAATTAGCGCATCTTTCTTTTTGTCATTACTCACTATAAAAGAAACAACAATCTATTTTGGGATTAATTCAATATCTGCAAAATTTTCTTAGGTAATTTCTAAAAGTGGAGGAGACCTGTCCCTCTGTGAATTTGCACTAGTGTTTTTAACCCATCTCAGGAACAATAAAAGCTCCCCAGACAAAAAAAATAGTCACCTTGTGTTTAAGGTGGAGACTGGGAAGCTTGTCAATAAAAAACACTTTGCTTCCAGGCAAGATTTGCTTCTAGAAGTTCTTGCAGGTTCTTCACAACAGATTTCTGAAAGAACTCTCCACAGGGAGGTGATTTTTATTCACAAGCTGTGAAACATGCTGGCGGTCCCTGTCCATTAGTTTTTGTTGTTCAGCCACAGTTCTGACAAGAATTTCCTTTAGACTGGGATTTTTGCCAATTGCTGGTTGACCCTTATGACCGTACACTTCGATACCCCTGCAAATTCAGCTACTTCCTTCACACTGTGGCCTTTGGCACTCAAATGCAATCACTCCTTTTCGCCAGTCATTAACATCTGCTTGTCCACACACTGAATGAGACATTCACTGCACTGTACCACCTCTTCTCAATCTATGAATCCTTTCGCACACCTGGCAGGTATTTATAGCCTGATCATCCTCACGCAACGCCATCTGCAGGAGCCTAGAGTTACTACCACCTTAAAAGGGCAAGGTGACTACTTTTTGTCCGGGGAGCTTATTATATTTTACCAGGTTTCTTTGGTGGCGGTGGCTTAAATGAGTAACATTTCAGGGTTTTTTTAGCACAAAATTTTCAAATACACAAAATTTAAGAATAACACAAAAACAATTTAAATTTCAGAATATTATAATAATTTGTTTACATTTTTAATCACTTTCAGTCTATAAGTTATATAAGTAACAGGGTTGAACCTTGAAAGTCAAAATCACAATGTAATTGAGAATAAATAAAAAATGTACTTTTCTTCTTCTCTTGATCTTAAGGTAATTTGGATGATACAAATTCCTGTTGAATATATTGTTTTCAGACATTTCTTACAGGCGCTTGTGCTCAGGTAACATTTGTACATCTGTTTCCTGAATGTACATTTTTCATAACCTAGAATGGATGAATCATGACAGGATGTTTCAAGCATGAGACATTAAATTGATTCACAGATTAACACAAAAATAAGATTTGTGACGTATTTTATTGATTATATTTCAAGGTAAAGCCAGACAAAGTGTGTTTTCTATGTGCTGTAGATTTTAAATTAATTTTAAGGTATTATTGCTTCAAGTTATTTATCTGAAACATGCACATAGGATGTTGTGAAGGATATCAGTGTTTAAAATGTCATTTACCTTCTCATACATATTTGTAAATGTAATTAATATCAGTGACAAAAACAATGGGACCAGTTAGCAGGACCTCATGCAGAATGATAAGTGACTCCAGCCCACATTAATAGCAGAATGAGCATTTTTGGGTGAAATAACTGCTTTAATACAGCTGTTTGGGGAAAGTCAGTTATTAATTATGTAATAAGACATTTTAATTAATTCAGGATAAATGACAATTATAGCATTATATCATTTCTTTGCATAGATTCATTTGTTCAGCAAGCGTATACTCACCATTCAGCAGATACCATATAAAATCCTCATCAGTAGCAGCAGTGGGGTTGGTGCCATTTTACTCTTTCATTAGCAAAGTGGCTCCCAGCACTAGAGAAACAGAGAAAAAGAGAGGGAAGATCAACCAAAGACCCCAGCAGGTACACAAAGAGCTGCTTTGGGGACGCCACATAAAGGCAGTTCAACAAGGAGCTCATTCTTCCTCAGGCACTCTCTCCGGCAGTAGCCTCATCAGACCAGTCAAGGGTAGCCAGCTGGCTCTCAGATTGCCCTGAAATATGGGGCTGGTGTGGTCATTAATGTCTTTGGCCTCAAGAGGGCCCCGTTTTCTGCAGTTATGCTGAAGTTTACATTCAATAAAAATGACACGCTTTCAGTAACTGCTTTTATCTTGAACCTTTTGCGGCTCTGCACTTTTCATTATTTAGTTTAGTCCTATTTGTAGACCACATTACGTGCTAATGTAGCTGTTCGTTCATTCAGGTTTCACTAGTATCCTAAACTGTGATTCAAAGGCCAAGCCAAGGCTATTTGGGGTCCACAGAACAGCTAGTTGACCTAACCTAGATATCCTTTGATTAAACAGACCCAAGTAAACACAAAAAAGCACTAAAAATGAAGTGACGTGATGGCGTTTCACACAAACAGAAGTAATTAGTTTAAAAATCTCCAGGTGACAGAATGATGATTCCTCTAATTTGATTCTGACTTTTTATGATGTGTCACTTACACTCTTAACCCTTGTGTGGTGTTACGGGGGTCTGTGGGACCCATTTTCAATGGTTACCAAAAGAAAAAATGACGCGATTTATTATTATTACAACCTCAGATTCTTGGCCTTTGCTCATTTTCTGTGAAGAACATATAAAATAACCCATTTTCAGTGCCTTCACACTGTTCAGTGTTCAGTCTTAAAGACACAGTAAGAAAAACAGCCTGTTTACTTCTAAGGGGTGAGAAGAGATCGTTAAATTGTTTAATCAACAGAGAAGTATGACTATTTTTGGTACATAAATACACACAAATGTAAGTAAGTGGACATGAGGGAGGAAAATGAAGTATAGGAAAAATGTAGGATATGGGCCCTTTAACAGGTCAACAACTCACTTCAGTTTTATTTACTGACAATGTTTGTCCAGGAAAGACTTTAAGAACATGGGGAAGAAACGCTGAGAGCAAACAAGACTCAAAAGATGAATCAATCCTCCTCTAGGCCAGTTTGGATAGTCTGGTTAAGACACATGTACAGTGCGTGTGCAGTCATGTGCCTGCATGTTATGTAGGTATTTCTAAATTGCAGTGATTGCAGACATCAGCCAGGCCTACCAACTGCAGACCTACATGTTATTGAGTCAGCTATGCTATTTTCTGTGACTGATAACAAGAGCCTTACACTTATGTATTTTTATTATTAATGTTTCATTTTTATATACTTACCTGATTTGAGTCATTTTTATTATTAAATTTATTTGTATTATTTGATATGTTCTTACACATTATCCGTCTCTTTTTTCCTGTATCAACCCAGCAACGTTGTAAATAAGAGTTCTCCGAGGTTAAATAAAGGTTGATTGATCGAACTCCACCAATGTTTCAAAATTTCTGTGTAATTAAGTGGTTAAGATGTAAACAAAGCCAGTCAGAGTGGTTTGGTGTGAAATACTCCATTTTAGAGAAACTTACTAATCAGAATTTTTCACAGTGGTGGTGATAGGAACCAGACGTCCACCGGTAAAAGCTCCCTCACAGAAAGCTATTACATGAAAAGCTGTGATGTCTGAGACACTGTTTATGTCTGAAATGTATATTTAAAATCAGTACTTGGTATCTTAATGCAAAAAAGTTGGTTTATTTTTCAGATTTTCCACTATTTTGCCATCATAAACATTACATATAAAACACAGAAGACATGTAGGTTCACTGTGGTTGTGGATAGTAAATAAAATGTCTATATTTGTGTTGTAGATACCTCGACTCCTGGTTCCTATCACCACCACTGTAAAGGAGTCTGTAAATTTAACATAATGTAATATCATTTCATATCAAATCACTCTGAATGGGCCTCATTCACCACCAACTTCCTAAGCTTTCTCTTAAATTTGTTCTCAAAAAGATCCTCTGAAAAGACTGTCCGATTCTTGATGTGTTTCTAAACCACAGGATTATTCTTTTCTCACCTAAGAACAAATCCCAAATAAGGCAAAACACTGATAAATGTCACAAATCTTCATAAAAACTGTAAGTGGGTTTTAAGAATAAAGAACGGTTGGTATGAGGCCCCATGACTTTTATACTTCAGCCACTGTGTGCAGGAATTTTGAAAAGTCGGTGGCGTTGCCCTTTAAACAGTAGCTTCAGTAGTTTAGACTGCTGGAATGTAGTGTGGACTGAACAAAAGTGGACCTGGGGAGTCCAATCAGAGGCTGAAGATGCTGCGTTTAGTCCCAAATGACCAGAAGAGCAGGAACGCCCAGTTTCACCCACAGCTCGACCTCACCCGGCAGGAAACGCCTCTCCTATTTCACCAGCGTTTGAGGGAGGAAGCACCGACCTGAGCTGAGCGCGCGGCGCACTTCGGGTCCCCCATGTAAAATGCATAGCTCCAGGGGAGGGCGAGCCAGCGCGCGCGTTACTGGAGCGGATGAACGAGTGGGATGAGGAGGCTGGAGACCCACAGGCTCACGCTCGCGCTTGACTTTGATAGAAGACTCTTCACCTGAAGAAAGAAAGTAAAGTAAACACAGACAGACCCCCTTCAGTCATGGGGAGGAGAGGAGCAGCGCAGAGCGGCGACGAGTTCAGCTTCGTCAGCCCGGTTGTGAAGTACCTGCTCTTCTTCTTCAACATGATCTTCTGGGTGAGTGGAAGCAGCAGAGTCCAGTGGTGTGATTGTGCACAGAGTGCTGTGAGGGGTTTGTAGCAGCACACACACACACACACACACACACACACACACACACTGAGGTCTGGTTTAAAGATTGAGCTTTTCCTCGTGCTCTTTGGATAATGATTAATTTCCAGAGCAGAAGCTGGTGGCAGGTTTTAACATGCAGTGGACATTTGGCATCACTTGCTCAATCCTGATGAGGTCAGAAAAGCTGTTAGGCAGCTTGTTTTAAAGGGCCCATATCCTGCATTTTTACTGTGTTTTATAAGGCCTACTGAGAGTTTATGTTCCAGAAACAGTGCATTGTCTGTCAGAGAGACAGTCTCTCTTTATCCCTTTGAACTTGTTTGTTACTGTGCCTTTAAGACTCCTACATGTAAATGAGCTGTGCTCTGGTTGGCTGCCCTGCATTGAGCCTTATTCAAAACGTGGTAAGCTGATAATACTCCTAAAAAACTTCATTGTGAGTGGGCGTGGGTGAACTGCTGTATAGGTGGACATGTGAATGTGCTGGTTTTTGTGACATCACAAAAACAAGAAATTCAAAACAGGATGTTTTTATGGCTTAGTTTTTGTATGTGGGCTGAGGGGTGAATGATATGTTTTGACTTTCACAATCTTTAGAAACCACACTAAACACTTTTAATAATAAAATAAACAAATAAATCAATAAATAAACATGGACAATTAGTTTCCATTAATTTAGCCAAGTTAGGTCCTCTTACAGTTACATTACTCATATTTTAAAATAACAATGTATGTTATGTAGTTCTGTTACTGTTGTTTATCAGGTCTGCATGCATGCTATGCTGTTTTCTTGTTTTAAAGGGCCCATATCATATACAACTGAACTTTCTTCACTTTTTAGAAAAAAAAAAGTTTGATATTCTATGTAAACATCTCAAAATTTTACATATTATTCACTCTGTAGTCCATGCAGTCCACATATGGAAACTGAGCTGCCTGTTTTGAACTCATTGTGTCTGTGATGTCACAAAAAACAACATTATGTACATAAAAGCAGTTCAGCCCCGCCCATTCATGCTGAAGTTATAAGTACCATTTCTGCCTGTACTGCTTTTTGAATGTGGCACAATGCAGGGCAATCAGAACAGATCTCATTTGCATGTATCAGTCTTAAAGACACAGTAACTGTTTACCTCTAAAGGGTGAGAAGAGATCGTTAAATTGTTTAATCAACAGAGAAGTATGACTGTTTTTGGTACATAAATACACACAAATGTAAGTAAGTGGACATGAGGGAGGAAAATGAAGTATAGGAAAAATGTAGGCTATGGGCCCTTTAACAGGTCTACAACTCTTATTTACTGACAGTGTTTGTCCAGGAAAGACTTTCATGGGGACGAAACGCTGAGAGCAAACAAGACTCAAAAGATGAATCGATCCTCCTCTAGGCCAGTTTGGATAGTCTGGTTAAGACACATGTAGTACAGTGTGTGTGCAGTCATGTGCCTGCATGTTATGTAGGTATTTCTAAATTGCAGTGATTGCAGACATCAGCCAGGCCTACCAACTGCAGACCTACGTGTTATTGAGTCAGCTACGCTGCCAAAGGACAGGTATCATGGAATGTGGACTATTTTCTGTGACTGATAACAAGAGCCTTACACTACTCTGCAAAGGCCCCATCTGAGTATTTGTCATTCGAGATGGATTCAGCTGGATCTGAAGCCGGTACACAACACTATGTGTGGTGCGCCATAAGATCAAGTTTATCTCGTTAGAATCGTAATGAACTTACACAGGGATTGAAGAACAAAACCCCTTTTCTTTTTCGCTGTTGATTCTGCCAGTCTGCTTTTACAACCTTTTCTGAACTTGTTGCTGTTGCTAAGCAGCAAGTCTCATTTATTCATATGCTGATAGTGCATTGCTGGGTTTTTTGGGGGGGAAAGTGGGCCCCATGCAGCCTTCTCTTTTCATTCTGTACTTCACAAATGAAGAGTCCAAATGAATCAGTGAGAGAATTTGATACCCGTGTTGTAAAGAAAACAGCCAGACCTGGATAAAAATGCATTTGTATGTTTATTACATGTTTGTTTGCTATAATTACTCTTATCATAGAACAAGCCATCAGGCTTTCATACTCATTGTGGGCACCCTTAAAAGAGAAAACCTCTGGGAGTGAAAAATTATTCGTCAATTCAGTGTTAGTGCTTTGTACGTGGTTTTGCAATAACACGAATGCCTAAGAAGATTTCACGCTGAATTCTACAAGAACAGACTTGCTACTGTAGCCAAATATTTGTACTCATTCAGTTAAGTTTACAGGTTTGATCATCAGAGTACTAAGGTACTACTAATATACTAAGACACATAGCAAATGAGACTGAAGGAGAGAAAGAAGTGTGGATCTCCCGTGTGATATTAATTCAGTTCTCCAAGATGGCTAAAAAAGTTGAGACTAACTTGTAATGTAATGTAGTTGTGCATTATATGGCCAAAAGTATGTGGACACCCCTCCTAACTCTTGAGTTCACGTGTTTTAGCCACACCCGTTACTTACAAGCGTATAAAATCAAGCACATAGCCATTGCAGTAGAATGGGTCGTACTGAAGAGCTCAGTGACTTTAAATGTGGCACTGCCATAAGGTTTGCCACAAGCCGGTTCATGACATTTCTGCCCTGCTAGATCTGCCCTGGCAACTGTCAGTGCTATTATTGTGAAATGGAAGTGTCTGGAAGCAGCAGCAGCTCAGCCACAAAGTGGTAGACCACACAGACTCACAGAGCAAAGCCAGGGTGCTCAAATGCAAAGCATGTAAAAATCACCCATCACTCACTACAGAGTTCCAAACCACCTCTAGAAGCAACATCAGTACAAGAACTGCACATTGAGAGCTTCATGAAATGAGTTTCCATGGCTGGGCAGCTGCACAAAGGCCTAAGATTACTATGTACAATGCTAAGTGTCGGCTGGGATGGTGTAAAGTACCATCACTGGACTCTGGAGCATGGAAACGTTCTCTAGAGTGATGAATCACACTTCACTATCTGGTGGATGTCAGGAGAACACTACCCACCTGAATGCATAGTGCCAACAGTAAAGTTTGGTGGAGGATGGATAATGGGCCGGGTTTGGGCCCCTTGTTCCAGTGAAGGGTGATGTTAATGCTGCAGCACACAAACACATTTTACACAATTATATGCTTACAACTTTGTGGCAGCAGTTTGGGGAAGACCCTGTCCTGTTCCAGCATGACTGAGCCCCTGTGCACAAAGCAAGCTTCATAAAAACGTGGTTTGAGTCCTGACCTCAACCCCACTGAACACCTTTGAGATGAACTTGAATGTCGATTGTGAGCCAGGCCCTTACAAATGCTCTTTTTTGTCTGAATGAGACCAAATTCCCACAGATGCACTCCGAAATCTTGTGGAACGCCTTCCCAGAAGAGTGGAGGCTGTTATAGCTGCAAAGGGAAGCAACTGCAAAATAATGCCCATGGTTTTGGAATGGGATGTCAAATAAGCTCATATAGGTGTGATGATCGGGTGTCCACATACTTTTGGCCTACATAGTATATAGGCACCTGAGCAATGGAGCAAGGTGAGCATGGTGACCCACGCTGTTAATAAAGGCCCACTTTTTATTCATTTATTCACAGTTATATTTTTCATATAATTTTATCAACATCCCATTAAAACAATACTCTGACTTGAGAAGGAAATCAGTGAAAATGCTTCACATTTTGCTGCAACATTTAAGCAGAAACAAGGCACAACACAACACGGAAGAGTACACTTATTTGGAAGTTAATTCCCGACAGCTAGAGGAGAAAAATATGGCCTTATTTTCTTGAGATTCTGACTGATAATGTTAAAAGTACAAGTTACTTTCTTGGGATTTTAACTGATTATGATGAAATATTGGCTTCATTTCTCAAGTTTATGACTGTTATGTTATAATAATTGCTTTTTATCTCAAAATTATGACTGATTATGTTGAAATAATGGCTTGTTTTCTTGGGATTTGGTCTGTTATGTCAAAATAATTGTTTATAATCTCAAAACTATGACTGATTATGTCAAAATAATGGCTTGTTTTCTTGGGATTTGGTCTGTTATGTCAAAATAATTGCTTATAATCTCAAAACTATGACTCATTATTTCAAAATAATGTCTTATTTGCAGCAGGACTTCCACAATGTTAAAGTCAATAAATGCAGCCCTGGTCTTAATACATCATTACACCCCTATATCAATAAACACATGCATGTATGAATGATTATAGCTGACTAATATTTAATAGTTACATGTTTTAGCGTCTGATAATAATTCTACAAACCCAAATAAGTCCTTTACTTTCACTCAAAAGCAGGTGCCCATGTAGTGCTATGTAGCCTTTTGGAAACAGGGCAAGTCTAAACTTGTATAAACCTACTGGACAAACACTCAGGAATTTTCCCTCCTGATTTTTTTCTGATCTCGAGGGCAGAAGAAGGAAAAACACATCTGAAATGACAATGAAACAAGATTCAGAGACCTGAAGAAACGACCCAGACGCACAAACGTGTGCACAATGACGCAAGTGGAAATGTAAACAGAAAATTATTGCAATTATGTTATTGCAGAATATTCCAATTATAGTGAGTTACAGCATACTGAAACTAAAACATTTGGATGGCAGGGATCTAAACAGCCAGCGTACAGATGTAAATGAGTGAAATGACTGTAAGAGGTCGAAATACCAGTACATGCAGCGTCTTGTGCTTGATCGAGATCTCATTCACTCTGTTTTCTCCGAAATAAAAGCCAAAGTAATCTGATAGCTGAGTTAGGGAGGAATGACTGTAAGTGCTACTTTGTGTCAAAGGACTTGGACATTTTATAGGATAAATTGAAACATGAATGCCTCCAGGTCACTGCTGTAACCCCTGATACAGCAGTTTTCAAATGAATAAAGTGACTTTTCTATAATTTGTCCACAACCGCTACCTGCTTCATTAAGGGGTCACTTCAAAATCAAGTCAGTGGTGTTGACAACAGCGTTCCCTCTGCTTAAACACACCCCTCTGACTTATCTAGCCTGTTTCTCAGTGCTTTATGTGTTCAAATATTCTGTGTTCCTCCTCATGCATTTCAAAGGGATATGTAAACCAAGTCATTTAGCGTGGTTTGATCTGCAATGGTTCATTGTTGAAAAACTTAGCACAGTCAACAGTGGTGGTGATAGGAACCAGACGTCTGAAGCATTCAGTGCCTCTAAAAGCTGCATTATAGAAAGTTATTACTGGAAATAGTTGTGGATATGCTGCCCTATGTATGAGACATTGTTATAATTTATGTTTAAAATCCATTCTTATAGCATTCATTGTAGTTGTTATAAGGCAAAGTAGTGTCCCCCCTCCAAAAAAAAAAAATTAAGATTAATTATTATTTGACCATCATCAACATTACATATAAGACACGTGTAGGTTCACTGGTAGTTTTGGATGGTAAATAAAATGGCTATATTTGAAGACATGGCGACCCCTGGACAAGAATTACTTCCTCATGAAGAAAACTTGACTGTGAGACACTTTTACGTGAATATGAATTATGCAGAAATTTTAAAATCAGTGGGATTCCCCTTTAACTCTCCTGCTACTGTCAACCTTTCTACAAAATATACTGCTTTCAGTTCAGCACGGTTCCAGCACAGTTTAGCCATTGAATGGTGATGGTATTACCTGTGTATTTGGAACTGTAGAGCTCACATAAATAATGTCCTGTGCGAGTCCTGCCACTCCTTGGAAAGCTATGAATACACTACTGATTATCTTGTGCAATTTCCTGTTATTCACTCCAATTCATGTTTGTGCACATAAGCTTTGTCCGAATTCTGTACCATGTATACAGTTAGAGTTAAAAAAAGGGATGTTTAAAATTTGAATTTTGCTGGACACTGAGACAAAAATGTTATTGTTTATTCTTTTGTCAGGTATAAGTTTTGATCATGCCTGTGCAAATCAGTTAAAATGTCTGTAAAATATGTATTTTCATCTTTAAAAGGATGAAGTGATATTCTGTGCATATACAGTGCAAAACATGGTAAATAAATATGTTCATTGATATTGTTTTAGTAAAATGAACACATTTATAGGTCTTAAAAAAAAATGTCATTTTTTATATGAACATTTACAGTAAATCACAAGGCGCTGAGTTACTTTTTCAGCTGTTATTTAAAAAAACAGGAGATTACTGTATTTTAATTACAGCTGATTACTGTAAATGTGCATGAATGCAGCTACATCACAGTGATCTCATGGTGCAGGTGTGATACAGTTACTGTTATTTACTGTTAACGGGTTAGTAAATTACTGTGAAAGTTATGCAACTAGTGGCCAGTAATTTACTGGAATTTTACAGTAAAAGCTTTCACAGTGCACCCTGTACTTCCTGTATGAGCTTTCATATACTGACCATTTCCACATTAATAAAACAACACAGTTATTCCCAAAAGTGGCTAAACTGAAGGAGAACAGTGGTGTAATATATTTTATTCATGTGAAAATGATGTAGACAGTTCACGTCAATTCAATGCATTATGTTTTGTTAGTGTATGGATGGCAGTGCATGCCGAGTAGTGCATGCTACTGTAAATGTTGACATTATATTTGCATACTGCAAACATTTTTTATCTCACCTGTTCTAAACGCAGACTAATACAGTACTGCACAGGAAGTGCAAGCCCAGTCTCAGTCTGCACCATCTGACTAATGTCTGCCTCTCTGTGTTCCATAACAGATGATCTCAATGGTGCTGATGTCCATCGGTGTGTACGCCAGGGTGATTAAACATGGTGAGCTGATCTGATGAGCTCTGAGCCACGAGCAAGTCTTTACACTGACCAGTATACAGTGAACAGATTATTCAGAAGTATTCAACTTCCAGATGTTAATACTGCAAAAAAATGTTCTTGTGCAAACTGTACCTGAAGTCATTATGAAAGATGCTGCCATTGATTGGTAAGATTTAGGTAGCAGTCATAGTGAAGGTGAAGGAGCTTCTTAAAGTTCTCAGGGACAGCATTATTAAACAGCTCTCGAATGGAAAAACCTGCAGAGCTCTAGTAAAGACAGTAAACATCTCGTCAGTACAACTGGTTCAATAATATGCGGGTGGAAAGAACTAATCGTCCCCAGACGCAGGATTTCACGACACGCTCTCAGACTAATGATGAGGAAGGTAAGAGAGAAGCCAACAGTCACTTGGAAAGAGTTGCAGGACGACGATACGAGGCTTCCTCTCTGCAAACAGTACTGGGGCATAACACTTAATGGAAACGTGACTAAACATGGAGAAGCAGCATTTAGCTACTATGCTGCTCTTAATCCATTTAAGTTGACAGAGAGCATTAGAAGACCCCCGACACTGGACGCTTTAAATCCGAGCTCAAAACGTTCCTATCTGAGCAAATTTCAGCTCAGTTTAAACTCAGTTAGCGTTTCTAGACCTTTCTCCTCTGTGAATTTTAAATTTTTAATTAGGCTTTTAATTATCATAATTTCATTTCTAATTTGATTTTTAATTTAATAGTTCTCTCTTTCAAATCTAGAATCTGTCCTAATTATGTTTTGATCATGTTTTAATTTCTATTCTCTTTTTTTATTCACTTTTTAAAATTGACTCTATATTTTATATTTGTAAAGCACTGTGAATGACAGCAGTGTATGAAAGGTGCTATATAAATAAACTTGTCTTGCCGTAGATGATAGGGGATGTATCATAACATTTAAAGGAGAATTTAATCTTGTCAGCCAAGCAACTGAGTCTGGGGAGAAGACTAACATTTCAACAAGACAACATCCCCAAATACACGGGCAAAATAACTCAAAGACTGGTTTCTGAAAAGGAAGCTGGCCTACCCATATGGAAAACAAATATGGGCATGTATTTTTCTATATTTGTAATACATTTCAAATACATTGCAATCCATGCTGAAATACATTCCATACTCTAACATGTATTTCAGAATATATTGCCATATTACATATATTTAATATAAAATACGAATAGGTTAGGGAGAAAGTTAGTCCTGAGCTCAGATATTGCTAGAAACAAAAGCCCATGTTGATACCTAGAGAAAATAATTAAACACAGCATAGTGCAATACATTTCTATACATTTTATTTCAATACATTTCTATACATTTTATTTAAATACATTTCAATGCATTTTATTTCAATGCATTTCAATACATTTTATTTCAATACATTTCAATACATTTTATTTCAGTACATTTCAATACAGTTCATTTCAAAACAGCCAGAATCTTTGTCTAGTGCACTTTACTGTTTGGATAGCTTCTGGAATGAATTTGTATTCCAGTATCTTAATTTTAAATATCAGCAAATGAACCTTTAACATGACAGAAGCCAGTGTTGTAGGTATTGATTCACTGTAAAAAATGCAGTTTGATGATTTGATATGCTGTTAATTTGAAATACATTTTGTTTGTGGTTAATGCAACATACAGTGCAAAACACACATACAAAAAAAATATAATAGTAAATACAAATAAATGCATGTTAAAAATATATGCAACAAATATTTCTGCCCATTTTCATACATTAACAAGTTATATTTCATAAATACATTTGGAGTAAAACATTTAAGATGTATTTTGACATATGTATTTAACAAGTAATTTTTATGGCCATTTTTAATACATTGTGAAAACATATTTGATAAATACATTTGAAATATATATTTTTCATATGGGTGGCCAGTCTCCTGAATTGAATCCCATTGAAAACCTATAGAGGATTTTGAAATTGAAGAACACTCATAACCTTGGGGAATTAAAGACAGTTCTAAAAGGAAAACTGAACAAAGGATGTCTCGAAGCTGAAAAGGCCCACAACGGCTTTGCAACGAAGTACTAATATTACTAATTTGTGGTGTCTGAATACTTTTTTCCCCTAACAACAACATATCTTTGTTTATTCTTATGAATGCGGGCGTATAGGTTTATATTTTAAGTACAAAGTCAAAAGACACTATATATATATATATATGTGTGTGTGTGTGTGTGTGTGTGTGTGTGTGTATATATATATACACACATAATATTATGCCTTAGATGTTATTTCCATTGTATGCAGTGAAATCACCAGTCTGAAATTGATTATTTATTTATTACTTAAGTTATTAATTTAGAGTAGTTAATGTATAAAATATGAAGCAACAACAGCTTTAATTCCCTGAAGTGTCAGAAACAAATTTTGCACTTTTGTTATAAGCAATTACTCCCACAGAGGAAAAGATGTATTCATATTTGTACTCAGTTTCAGTTTCTAACAGTTTTGCATTTTTCCATCATCCTGCTGTGGTTGTTTTCATGTTTGTTCATTTCCTACATTACAATATGTTTCCTGTCATAATATCAAACCACCACAAAAAATAGCCAAGTGTCAAACCACAGCTAGTACTGACCTCAGCCTCTCTTTATTTTCCATGTCCCCCTGTCCGGTATGCAGAGACAGCTATGGCCTGTTTGACGGTGGACCCCTCCATCCTGCTGATGGTTGTTGGAGTTCTCATGTTCTTCATCACTTTCTGTGGCTGCGTGGGCTCTCTCAGAGAAAACATCTGCCTTCTGCAGACGGTCAGTTTTAGCTCTTAAGAAAACACTCAACCTTCAAGATCGAAAGCGTAAGAGCAGAACTAACTGATAATCAGTATGGGGCTTTTTGTCTCATTGGTTCTCACAGAATGCTTCATTTTAACCCCTGTGTGTGTTACTCAGTGGTCTGGTGACCCACCGCATTATTGTTTTTTTAATCAATACAGCCATAACAATTTATGTAAAAATACCAGATGTTTAAAATATCACAAGTATCCAGCGTAGGGTTCTCCTTTAGCAGCTGTAGCCAGTCAGCAGCCTGTCCATGTTGTCCACCCTCACACACACACACACACACATATACAAACACATATACACACAGACACACACACACTAACAGCAGGCCATGTTGGAGGAGAACAGAGTGAAGGACACAGCACCTCCACACTTTTACTCCCCATGGGTTCACCCAACACCACACGTGTAATATAAATGTGTGGGGGGTGAACAGAGTGAAGATACTGAAAATGGGTTATTTTATATGTTCTTCACAGAAAATGAGCAAAGGACGAGAATCTGAGGTTAAATAATAATAAATCACTTCATTTTTTTCTTCTGGTAAACACTGAAAATGGGTCCCACAGACCCCCCCACACCACACAAGGGTTAATCCAGAGTGTGGCACCTATTAAGGAGATTTTACCATGGGTTCACGCTGCCTGCACTCTCAGAAAAAAGGTATGAAACTGTCACTGGGGCAGTATCTCTCTTGTCACTGGGGTGGTACGCTCAAGGCTGCATCTCAGTATCTTTAGTCAGGGAACATAACTGAACCATAATCCACTGAAATGATATTGTCTAAGCTGTACTGACTCCACACACCCCGTCTCGTCTCCAGGGTTTTTATTTTATTGTTCTGTTTTAAAACATTCGGTTATGAAAAAAACAAATATGAACTTTTCACCTGGAAAAACTTATTTAAGCTTTACAACTGGACCTTAAAACCACTGTTTTACATTGTTAGTACCTTGATGAACAAAAAATGTACCTGCACAGCAGCTTTATTTCTAACAATGATGGGCTAATTAAAGGAAGGTGATGCATCTTGTCTCTGTTTGTCTTTCTCCTCAGTTCTGCATCTTCTTGACGATCATCTTTCTGCTGCAGTTGGTTGCTGGAGTTTTGGGCTTTGTGTTCTCAGACAAGGTAAAAACGACGTGCTTCTAAAAAAAGTCACTGGAACATGCAGCTCTAAAGCTTAAGGATTTCTATTTCATCACTTTCGAATGCATTTGAAGTGTTTACCGCTATGTATACAGTCATGAGCAAAAGTTTGGGCACCCCTGGTCAAATGACATGTTTTGTTAATTTTCTAAGTGAAAATAAGTCAACACATCCTCTACAGCCCATGTGTCAAACACAAGTCAGGCCCGTGACAAAGTCATATTCAGCCTGCGAAATTATTTTAATTTTCTTTTCTTAGTAGCCCGTTTCACCCTGAGATGCACTACAGTCCCCAGCATGCACTGCAACATAGTGTGCGTTCTAACCCCCCAGCAGCAATCTCTGGGCCAGCGGTTACACAAAAACAAAAGATGCTTGGTGTCCAGTTCAAGCAAATAGGCTGCTTATTTTTATTTAGAATTATTTTTGAATAAGTATTCAGTGCCTATTTTGCTGTTGCAGTTTTGGCGTATTTTGAATAAACAATGGCCCGTTCGGGTCAAAATGTTAAGTAAAAATGAAATAAACACAGCTGGCCCACAGATCTGCTGGGATTTTTTTAATATGGCCCTTTTAATGGTAGTGTTTGACAGCCCTGCTCTACAGAGAACACACTTCTGCACATTTAAATGCTCAATTACTGTTTATCTGCTAAATTTGACATATTGGGAAAGGTAAAACATAAAATGTGACCTGTGCAAAGGTTATAGAACATTACATACATACATATATATATATATATATATATATATATATATATATATATATATATATATATATATATATATATAATATATATATATATATATATATATATATATATATATATATATATATATGTGTGTGTGTGTGTGTGTGTTAAATTGCGAGTAATTTGAAGTTATGCACGAAAATGTACAAAAAAAGCCATATTTAAGTGTGTTCCCTGTAGTGGCTATATTAACGTATTTTCATGTAGAATATCAACAAAACATGTAATTTGATGTTTTCATATGACTGTATATGATCAAATTCAAGCTGCAGTGTTTGAAGAGGAAAACAGTTTGGCTCAGTTAATCCCCTCAAACAAACATAACAGCTTAAGCTGAAACAGTGCTCCCCCTGCTGCCTGTGACAGTTTACTGTAACTCCACAACCACAACACTGTGGAGTACGCTCCTAAAAAGGTGCTTCAAGGGTTCTTTAGTGAAGAAAATGCATCTATATAGAACCATGAACACTCAAAGAACCTTTCACATGATTAAAGGGTTCTTTGCATGGTGAAATAGTTCTGCATATTGATGCAGAATGTGCTGTAGATGGTTCTATATAGAACATTTTTTGAGTTCTATATAGCACCAACTGTTATGATGTCAAGCTTGTAACAACAGGAGAACCTTTTTTGGCGCTATATTGAAAAAATTGTGCTTCAAGGGCTCTTTAGTAAAGAACATGGTTCTATATAGAACCATGAACATTCAAAGAACCCTTTGCATGTTTAAAGGGTTCTTTGCATCATAAAAGGGTTCTTCATATTCATGGAAAATGTGCATGAATGTGCTATAGAATCCTTTTTTGAAGAGGGTTCTATATAGATCTGCAGAACCAGGATTGGGCACTCCTAGTATAGACTATGCTAGGAGTGCCCAAAAAGGCACCCAAAAAGGTTCTTCTATTGTTACAAGCTTGCCACCATTACAGTAAAAAAACCTTTTGGGTGCTATATAGAACCATTTTCAAAAAGGTTCTATATAGCACCACATTCTCCATCGGTCTGAAGAACAATTTCATGATGCAAAAGATTATTTAATCATGCAAAGGCTTCTTTGAGTGTTCATGGTTCTATATAGAGCCATTTTCTTCACTAAAGAACCCTTGAAGCACCATCTTATTTAAGAGTGCAGTGGTGACCAACCCTCATCCTGGAGATCAACCTTCCTGCATAGTCTATACTAGGAGTGCCCAATCCTGGTTCTGCAGATCTACCTCCCTGTAGAGTTCAGATCCAACACACCTGGCTCTAATGCTCACCTGCCCCTGAAGGCCTTCATTACCTGGATCAGGCATGTTCGATTAGGGCTGGAACTAAACTGTGCAGGGTGGTAGATCTCCAGGACCAGGAATGGGCACCCCTGGTCTACACCCAAGCACAATCTGCCACACCTGTTCCAGCTAATTAGCTTCTTCAGAACCCCTTGATTGGCTAGAACAGATGTTTTAGTGTTAGGGAAACAGGGAGTAGCATGTTAGATGCAGATTGGGACTAAACTCTGCAGGAAAGTAGATCTGCTGACCACTGCTACAAATATCCATTTAGTCTGTCTTTATTTCAGTGTGCTTCTTATTTTTTAACTGAGTCAAAACATAATGGAAGACAGTACAGATCAATCTGTCCAATGCAGATCAGCCTTCTCAGTTCAGTGCTCTGCCTTGCAGGTTCGCCATAAAGTGACAGAAATGATTAACAACGCAATCGAGCATTACAGAGATGACCTGGACCTGCAAAACCTCATTGACTATGGACAAAAAGAGGTCGAGACCGCATCTCACTGCTTCCTCCGTTCTTTTTTCTCTGTTTGGCTTTAGTCACTTTCTTTACATTGTTCATCTGTAGCGATTGCAGTGAGGACATTCTCCTGTCTTGTTATTTGTGATTAGTTTGCCTGCTGTGGTGGCATGTCTTACAAGGACTGGTCAACGAACGTATATTTTAACTGCACTGAGGACAACCCGAGCAGAGAGCGCTGTTCCGTGCCCTTCTCCTGCTGTCTGATCTCTAAAGAGGAGGTGAGCAGAACATGAATCTTTTTGGCCTAGATAGTCTCCAAGATTGATACCCCAGGGTAATGTCTTGAGATGGAGCCCCTGTATACGGTATAATGGGGAGGGGAGCCTTACCTGAACTGTGTTGTGCACAAAAGCCTAAACTACATCCTAAGCACATTGTCACTGCAGCATAGAGGATTTAGATGTGAGTGAAGAAAGTATTAACCCTTGTGTGGTGTTCAGGTCTGTGGGACCCATTTTCAATGTTTACCAAAAGAAAAAATGATGCGATTTATTATTTCAACCTCAGATTCTTGGTCTTTGCTCATTTTCAGTGAAGAACATATAAAATAACCCATTTTCAGTGTTTTCACTCTGTTCACCCCCCACACATTTATATTACACGTGTGGTGTTGGGTGAACCCACGGGGAGTAAAAGTGTGGAGGTGCTGTGTCCTTCACTCTGTTCTCCTCCTACATGGCCTGCTGTTAGTGTGTGTGTGTCTGTGTGTGTATGTGTTTGTATATGTGTGTGTGTCTGTGTGTGAGAGTGTGGACAACATGGACAGGCTGCTGACTGGCTACAGCTGCTAAAGGAGAACCCTACGCTGGACACTTGATATTTTAAACATCTGGTATTTTTATATGAATTGTTATGGCTGTATTGATTTAATAAAACAATAATGTGGTGGGTCCACCAGACCACTGAATAACACACACATCAACAACACACAAGGGTTAATAAAGTTAAATATATTACTCATTAGAATTTATTGGAATCAAAAAGCAATGGATATGCTCATTATAACATTTCAGAATGGCCGTATGTAATTTTTTTTTCATATACAATTATATGTCAATATATCTATTTCTGATGGTTTATCTGGTATACTGACTAAGTCGTCCAAAGATGTCTGTAAACTTGGTGTATTTCACTGAAATATGAAATATGCGATGCTACGGATATACAGTGTTATGCAAAAGTCAGAGACCTCCCTCGATTTTTACAATTTTAAGGGCAAAAACAGCCATTAAGCATGAGTTATTAATTTTTCCAGAGATATAAGGAGATCTGATATAAAATAATCCAGATAAACAGCACTTAAAGCTTTCCTCTTTGAGAGAGAGGAGAAAATCAAGCTGCTCCAGATCTGAAAACATCCACAGGTGTTTCTGTCCATCCTTCCACTGTGAGAAGACGACTCAGCGCTGTGGGTCTGAAAGGATGTGTAGCTGTCAAGAAGAACCTCACTGAGAAAAGGAGATGGACACATCAAACAAAGAAGCTGAACAATGGACTGACCACCCCAGAGTCCAGACCTCAACACCACTGAATGTGTTTGATTATTTGGATCGTGAGAAGCAAAACCAACTTCTAAGACTGAACTTTGGAGGTGTGGAAAAATATCCCTGCAGATTTCAGAATTCTGAAAGTGAGTCTCCTGAAAAGAATGAAAGCTGTAATAAAGGCAAAGAGTGGACACACTAAATACTGAAACATCTATATTGACTGATTGATATTTAGTTGTTGGAACAAAACCTCTCCCAAATGGTAACTTTCCAAGAGAAGGAAAAAACCTTATTCATTTTCAATGTAAGTCAATGGAACCAGACTTTTCCAAGTAATTTCTGGCCATTTCTTTTGGTCCATTCATCATGACATTTATACACAACATAAAGGGCAACATGCATTTTCAAATTATTTCAAAAGCTGAAAAATGCCAAAAACTGAGATACAAGGTTTTGTCCTGACAGCAGTGATATATTTATGCTTTTTTGTGACCCTGAAAAATGAATAACTTGTAATAAATGACTGTTTTGACTGGAAAAGGGTTTCTGACTTTTGCCCAAAACTATATATTCCTTTTTAAACATTACACACTTAAAAATTAAAGTTCCTAAATGGTTCTTGTCTTGGACATCGGTTCTTATGAAACTGATTAATTAAAACTTTTCCATGTGCAGGCTCTTTAAACTCTAAAAAAGTTCTTCATCTCATTTACGAAAATGGTTCTTTGAAGAACCGTCCATTGAAAGGACACTCTCAAAAATAAAAGCCTGCACATAAAAGGGTTTTTTAGGGAACCGATGTCCAAGACAAGAACCATTAAAGAGTGTAAACAGTGCAGCACAGTTTAAACACTACTATGTGTAAGTACTGCACAGTCATATGTATATTGCGAAGATATGGCAGATGATCTGGTGTTGAGGAATGATCGTGATGTCTTCACCTCCCTTTACTCTCTTTCCCGCCACAGAGAGTTATAAACACCATGTGTGGGCACATGATGCAGGACTTAGATCACGCTAAAGCCAGTGGCTTCATCCACACCAGCGGCTGCATTGACAAGCTGGTCAACTGGATCCACAGCAACCTGTTTCTGCTGGGGGGTATAGCACTGGGCCTGGCCATCCCTCAGGTATGACTCTGCAAGTGGTCGAAAATGATGGTACAGATGAATGTGCAGCAAAAATGACAGACATTTATTAAACCATGTAACATTTGTGTCATAGGAAACGACCAAGAAAGGCAGGTTTTGAATGTACCTGAATCCTTATGGACTTCATAATACACACACACACGCATACACACATTTTCTAAGTTGCTTATCCTCCTGGGTGAACTTCATAATAGTTTAAATCAATTATTACAAATATGAAAATTATTAGTCATATGCAGAAGTTTGGGCACCCCTGGTCAAATTTGTTTTGTACTTTCTGAGTGAAAGTAAATGAACTTCTACAGGAAACGCACCTCTGCACATTTTAATGCATGGTTACTGATTACATATTGGAAAAAATAAAACATATAGAATAGAATAGAAATAGAAATAGAACGTGTGTTCTCTGTAGAAAATGTGTCAACTTATCTTCACTAGAAAATCAACCACGCAAGTCATTCAAACATTTGCATAAGACTGTATATAACAGCCAAAGTGTTTCCATTTGGACTCGTCCTCAGTGAAGAGCTGCTTTATGTAAGACTCATTTGGAGGAGATGTGAGCTTTTCTGGAACATCTGCAGACAAATAAAATATAATCTACTTACAGGGAGAGAGAGGGAGAGAGAGTGACAGAGAGAGAGAGAGTGACAGAGAGAGGTAGAGAGTGAGAGAGAGAGAGAGAGTGTGAGAGAGGGAGAGAGAGTGAGACAAAGGGAAGGTGGGAGAGTGAGAGAAAGAGGGTGGAAGAGAGAGAGGTGTGGCAGAGAGAGTGACAGAGAGGGAAAGAGAGTGAGACAAAGAGAGGGTGGGAGAGTGAGAGAGAGAGGTGGGGAGAGAGAGAGACAGAGAGAGTGTGACAGAGAGGGAGAGAGAGTGAGAGAGACAGAGAGTGTGACAGAGAGAGAGAGAGAGAGAGAGAGAGAGTGAAAGAGAGAGAGAGTGAGACAGAGAGGGTGGGAGAGTGAGACAGAGAGAGTGTGACAGGGAGGAAGAGAGAGTGTGACAGAGAGAGGGAGAGAGAGTGACAGAGAGGGAAAGAGTGAGACAAAGAGAGGGTGGGAGAGTGAGAGAGAGAGAGGTGGGGGGAGAGACAGACAGAGAGAATGTGACAGAGAGGGAGAGAGAGTGAGAGAGACAGAGAGTGTGACAGAGAGAGGGAGAGAGTGAGAGAGAGAGAGTGTGACAGAGGGAGAGAGTGAGACAAAGAGACGGTGGGAGAGTGAGAGAAAGAAGGTGCAAGAGAGAGAGAGAGTGAAGGAAAGAGAGAGAGAGAGAGAGAGGGGGAGAAAGAGAGACAGAGTGAGAAACAGCGAGTGTGACAGAGAGAGGGAGAGTGAGATAAAGAGAGGGTGGGAGAGAGAGAGAGAGTGACAGAGAGATAGAGGGAGAGAGAAAGAGAGATAGAGAAAGAGGCGGAGTGAAAATGAGAATTACAGACAGAGAGGGTGGGAGGGAGAGAGAGACAGACAGACAGAGAGGGAGTGAGAGAATGAGAGCATATGACAGAGATAGGGAGAGAAAGAGAGAGACAAAGTGAGAGAGGGGAAGAGAAAGAAGGGGAGAGGGTAGAAAGAGAGGACGGGAGAGAGAAAGTAGAAAAGAAAGAAAGAAACCTTTAAACCAAAAGGGAGAAAGTGAAATATACAGAAAGAAAGAAAGAAAGAAAGAAAGAAAAAGTAGAAAGAAAAGTAGATGTTGGCTCAAGAGGACGTTTGATTTAGCCCACCAGAAAGCTGCTCTAACCCCACCCCTTTACTCAGTGAGAGAACAAACATAGTTTTATACTATAAATAACTGATTAAATTCTCATTTTCCTTTTGAAATTTTATTTTTTTGAGTATTTTAGTAACAAAATATTTAATATTTTTATTTTATATTCTGTTTTGTATTATATTTTGCCTGTTGTTTATTTTTGGCCCACTACACACATTGTACTTTGGACCCCAAGACAAAAAGCTTGGGCACCCCTGCTTTAAATCATAGATGCTCATTTTCTGTTTGTATCCATATAAATTATAGGATGTGTTTAAATGAAAAAATCTAATCTTAATTAAACCCCAAGTTACCTAAAAAATTAGAACTGACGCCATGTGACCAGTATTTCAGGCAGAATAACTGAGTGCTCTCTTCTCTCACAGCTGGTGGGGATTCTGCTCTCCCAGGTCCTGATTAACCAGATCCAGGACCAGATTAAACTCCAGGATTACAACATGCAGCACCGCTCAGACCCATGGAGCTGAGCCTGTAGAGCCACTGAAGACTTCTGGAGCAAAGCACAACTATATCTATAGACACAGAGCTGATACCTCATCAACGTCAATCCACTGTGCTGTCAGCTTCAGCTAAATACATATCTCCAAAATGGTACATTTACTGGATATGAATAAATGGGAGAATTCAACTCATTTTTCAAAATGTCTTCATAGTTCATTTGTTGAGGTGTAAACGAAGTAATTCAGAGTGGTTTGATGTGAAATGGTTCATTGTAGAGAAACAAACCAGCTCAGATGTCTTTACAGTGGTGGTGATAGGAACCAGGGGTTGCAATGTCTAAAAAAAAACATATGCAGCCATTTTATTTACTACCCAAAACCACCAGTCAACCTACATGCAGTGGTGGACGAAGTACACAAATCATCTACTTGAGTTAAAGTAAAGATACCCAAGGTAAAATATTACTCCAGTAAAAGTAGAAGTTCCTCCCTTTAGACCTCCACTTGAGGAAAAGTACAAAAGTATTTGCCTTCAAATGTACTTAAGTATCGAAAGTAAAAGTACTGAAAGATTAATTATGACTTTAATGTCCTATTAACATTTTTGTAACAAGACTCGCTTCATTAACTCATTTTAGGTGAAAATACTCCAGTGTCTCTCTTGGTAAACCAGTCTTTTAATAGAATGTCGTTAATTAGTGACGCTGATGTCTATTAAAATTATCATAAACACAAAACACCGAAGGCAAACAGTGTCCATTAGGTAGAACTGAGTGGCCATGAAATAACATTTTAGAAACAAGCAAAGTTTCAGTTTAAGATTTATTTGCAAGTTTAATAAAAACTTTAAACTCAGATTCACAAATGAGTTTCCTTTACTAAACTGCATCTGTAGGTCTCTGTTCATAAACATAAACTAGCCAAAACAAATTTACTATAAAATGAAAGTGTTTGTATAAATTCAGAAAAGACACGTCAGTCACTGCATATGTGTACATATTTCTATATTGTGGTCTATTTACACAAAGTTAGGTTAGTTCATCATTTATGTTGAATAGACACTCCCAAAATTTTACGCTGCTGCACTGATGTTGAACCGTGTGCTGCACTGGGTCCAACAGGTCAAAACAAGCTCAAAACAAAGTGTGCTGTGTCCTGATTGGTGTTCTTCCTTCACGCTTCTTTCGATTTGATGTTACGTTTTTATACACACATCAACCAAAAGGAACGACAGATTTCTCACAATGTAGTGGAGTAAACAGTGAGATATTTGACTTTGAAATGTAGTGGAGTGAAAGTAAAAAGTCGCCCAAAATGGAAAAACTTCAGTAAAGTACAGATACACAAAAAACTACTGAAGTACGGTAACGAATTACATTTACTTAGTCACTGTCCACCACTGCCTACATGTGCCTTCTGGATGGATGTTTGGTTCCTATCACCATCCTTGTGAACAATTTTGACTCTGTAAGTTTCTCTGGAATGGTGTATTGACATCAAACCACTATGAATGACTTTGTTTACATCGTAATTAACTAATAATGCAGAAATTTTGAAAAAAAATGGTGGAATTCCCCTTTAACTATAAGTGGATGTTAACAGGATAAGTTAACAAAATTTTCAAAGTAATTTTGGTCCATTTCTACTGGTCTTTGTGAATTTTTTAAACATTGTAAAGCACGTCTGGGATTCTCAAACTTGGTGAAAATATGAAAAAAGACAAAAAATGGAGATGCAAGGTTTAGGAAGGATGGGACTCTGACGTAGTCGGGGACATGTAGGCCACTTAAATCATCTTTGGCGCCACTGTTTGGTGAGATAAGTGAGAAACATCTCTCCGTGGTCTAAGACAAATGTTCTTGGCAGGTGAATCACTGTGAGGAATTTAACAGGGATCCTCTTACAGCAGAATAGTGACAATGAGGGCAATGGCATCTTTACAATGGGTGACATCTTTTAAGGGGGAGGCCTGCGTTACTGTAATATGATCTTTCTCCTACAGAAGTGCACTTGAGGACACCTTTTTTAATAATAGACAACACTGGATTTTATGAACCCAGAACAAAAGGGCCTGCTGCTTCAGATTCACTGTACTGGGACGTTCTCTCTACAGAGTTATGTAGTTCCTAAATGTATTTGTATTTAGTACAAACTTACACCCAGTAATTTTTGTACATTTCAGGGATACAGTTTAAGATTTTTGTATAACATGACTGAACAGAGCATTCAAGCACACAAAATATCTTTTACATTTTACAAAATGTCTTTTACTGTGTATTTTCTTTGGTCACACAATTGTGTATAGAATAAATGACCATCATTAAAGGGCCTGTATTGTACTTTTTGTTTACATATATTTTACCCCCCCCCCTTATGATGTTTATGTGATTTTATATACCAAAAAAGTCATAGTTCACCTTAATATACCCATTTTATGGGTGGTGCAGTGGGTAGCGCTGTTGCCTCACAGCAAGAAAGACCAGGGTCCTTTCTGTGTGGAGTTTGCATGTTCTTCCCATGTCTGCGTGGGTTCTCCCTGTGTCCCTGGGTGCTCCATGGTTCCTGCCTTCTGCCCAATGAGAGCTGGGCTCCAGCCCCTCCAGCGACCCAGAAGGATAAGTGGTTTCAGATGATGAATAAATGACCATTTTACAACTTCTCTTTATTGTTTCGCATTAAATAAGCTGTTTTGGTTACTGTGCCTTTAAAACATATGTAAATGACCTCTGATCTCTGATTGGCTGCCCTGTATTGCGCCCCATTCAGAAAGCAGTACGGGCTGAAACACTCCTTATAACGTCACCGTGAGTGGGTGGGGCTAAACTGCTGTAGAGAAGCTGGATATATGTAAATAGGATTTTCATGACATCACCAAAACAGTGACCTTTAAAAAGGCTGTTTTTTCAGGGTGGTTTCCATATAGCGACTGTATGGACTGTGAAAATGAAGATTATGTCTATTTATATACTTCATCAAACTCATTATGTGAGTCCTTTAATAGCACATTATGACTAGAAGACCGATCTGAGAAGTGGAACGGTGCTGGTCAGCTGGTGTACAGACATGCTGGTCTGTGTGCTCCTCATTTACACACTAGCTTTTGGCAATGCACTTCTCACGCTGGGCTTCCCCAACAAAAACACAGGCGCAGTCTACAATAAAAACTCCGCTCAGACACAACATGTTTGGCTTGGCGAGAGAACCACCTGCACTGTTTATCACCGCCTCCGGACACAGCGTCACACAACAACACTGGGCTGTCCATCCCTGCACTTGAACAAGGAACGGATGTCCATGCAAAAGTTGTGTTTATGATATTTAAAAATTCTTTTATTAGGACTGTATGCAAAGGTTTGGGCTCCCCTGGTCACATGACACGTTTTGTTGATTTTCTAAGTGAAAAGAAGTGAACACGCCCCCTACAGAGAACAGACTTCTGCACATTGTAATACACATTTACTGTTTATCTGCTGAATTTAACATATTGTAAAACATAAAATACAGCCTGTGCAAAGTTATGGCACATATAATGGTTTATGTTTTATTTTTTTCCAATATGTTAACCTCACAAAACAGAAACTGTGCACTAAATTTTCAGAAAATACCATATTTAGGTTCACTTGTTCTCTTGAGAAAGTAAGTGAGCAAATTCACAAGTATTCAATATCAATAAATAATACTTGAGTAGTGCACAAATCTCCCAAAAATAATACACAAGTGCAACAGTCAAGTACAATTACTGAGGTATTTCACACTCCTGGTTATCACATTTATGGCATTCGGCAGACGTTCTTATCCAGAGCGACTTACAATTTTGAGCATTTTACACAGGTAGGCAAAGGTAGTGTTGCCCAAGGACTCTTATTGGTATAGTGTAGGGTGTTTACCCAGGCAGGGGATTGAACCCCAGTCTACAGCATAGAAGGCAGAGGTGTTACCCACTAGACTACACCAACCACCATGCTCTCTTTATCAAGCTCAGTGCATGCTTTTAAAAACATTTGAAAACCCATCTGTTTAATTTAGCATTTAATTAAAATTGTCTGTCTCATTGGTATTTACCTTTTTAATTTGATCTGTCATTTCTTATATGGTGTTAAATTAATACTCATAGTTTCTTCTTTTACTGTTAAACCTGCCTGTAAAGCATTTGAAAAAAAGTACTCAATACATAAAGATATTATTATTATTATTATTATTATTATTATTATTATTGTCATCATAGATAGAACTTCAGATAGATAGAACTATGTTGATCCTGAAGGGAAATTGCAGCATTACAGTAGCAAGACATATAATTGCAAGTATAGAAGTATATCTATTTGCATATTTACATAGCATATAAGACAGCTTTGTTGTATTTCCATGAGAGCAGGTATTGCAGTAAATGACATGATGTAGTTACAACACAATGAGTATAAACATAACTAGGTAACAGCAGTGTTTACAGTGTGCAGTGAGTCATTACAGTAGCAGTTATGATACATTGCACAGGAGAGGTGATATAGTGATGTGATGTGGATTATTATTGTTATTATTAGATATTATTATTAATTTGAGTTTGTACAGCTGTTTTAATGCATTATTCATAGGTCACGGTTCCATGTTCTATGTGATATCTAGAGGTTCTACCACCCAGCCTGTAAAAAAATCTAGGGGAAACCAAGCCAGCTCATTAAGACTGTCAAAAATAAATAATTAAACAAACAAAAAAAAAACAGATTAGAGGAATTAATGAAAACTGCTGTGCTCGTATTCAAAGAACCATCAGGGACGTTTTCTTAAAGACAGAAATTCCCCAAATGTACAACACATTAAAAAGGACATTCAAAATACTATTATGTTATGTAGTTTTTTTCTTAATGCAACATGATGATAATGTCACATACTGTAATAACAGATTAGGTAATTGGGTAATTGTCATGACATTACATTTTATATCAGCACCTACATGACCAAGTCACATTGAAACCACCCAGTACATACCTACACAATTCACAGTGCAAAGACAAAAATACTTACATGGAAGATTTTAATAGAAAACTCTCAAGAATAAACAATATAAAAGTAAAGTTCATTTGCCTGAAAACCTTACTGAGCCTAATCTACCAGGCCTACTCCCTCTACATGTGGATGCTGACATCCCACGCTGGCTGAAAGCTAACATGTTTTGCAATGGACAATTCAGGAAATGCATCCCAGGTGTGGATAAGACCGCAGCAGTGATGGACCTGTTTAATAAGAATAGAACAAAAATAGCAGCGCAATATGAGTCTGAAAGCCACTGACTGGCTGAGACTCACGTTGTTGGCTATATTACTGAAACAGAAAAAAAACACACTACATTTTTGTGCTAATAATACATTGTAGTATTGCTCAACATTCATTCCTTAAAGGGGAACTCCACCATTTTTTCAAAGTTTCTGCATAATTCAATCTTCAATCATTCAAGGTGGTTGGATGTGAAATTGTAAAGAAGTAATAGTAATTTCTTTACAGTGGTGTTGATAGGAACCAGGGCTTGTGACATCTGCAGTGCTTAGACAGCCATTCTGTGACCAGTGAACCTACACATCTTCTCAGTTCTGTATGTAGATGGTAAAATGGTAGTGAATCTGAAAAAATAAGTTTTCTTCAGGTGTTGTTTTGCCTTGTAACACCACTCCACCATGACTGTTTTTAAAGAGTATGTCTTAGTCCAAAACTCAGGCAGCATATTTATGTAATATCTTTCTGTGAGGTGCATTAAAAGTCATCTGTAATGCATCCTATATGTAATTTTCTCCTGAAGGCTGCATTTCACATCAAACTGCTCTGAATCGTTTACATTTTTAGTGATTTAATTCTGCAGAAATTTTGAAAAAGTGGTGGAGTTCCCCTTTAAATTCACAGAGAGAGCAGAGGGAGAGAGAGCCGGAGATTGGGGGGGAGGCGGAGGGAGGTGGTGGGCCTCCTGTTCAGGGCTGTATGTGTTTGTGTGTGGTCCTCAGTCTCTCTGACTCATTCTATGGCAGCCATGTTACACAAGCCTTTTAAGGAGGCCCTGTGCTGGGACGACAGCAGTGCAAGCCAACCACAGCCAGACTCAAAATCTCTGCTGCTTGAAATCTAGTACAGTAAACTGAAGGGTTTAATCACATCTCCTGAGAGTTCCTCAAAGTTTCCACCCATCTTGCCAAATTTGATCATGTACGCCCAAGAGCTGACATGAGGGAGCGGAACAGCTTGACGAGAGCAGGATTCTCAGCAACTTGTGAAAAGAGTCAGGCCTGCAGTTCATGTGTTTTGCTTTAAAAATGCAACAATATATATTTTTTAAAAAGCTTCCCTCACTCCTTTTGGAAGCCATAGCAGTAAACCACCTTAACTCAGAGGGAGGAAGTATATTTCCATCATGAACACCCCGGAGGAGTTTCTCATTCAACACTGGCTCGGAGAAAATAAACAAAACAAGACACTCCACTCGGACTTGGCAAACTTGCCTCAGTGCAATGATCCTAGTAAAGCGATATATCAAATGTTTATTTTCAGGGCAGCAAACATCTCTACTGAAAGCCATGTCAGTGTGTAATTAGTGAGCGGGGGAGATCAGATCAGCTCCACAAACAGGCTGAAAAGAATAAGGACCCAGTCCACCACAATGTAAAACTGTTAGTTCTGAAAAGTAGATGTTATAGCAATCCATCATGTATCACTGATTTACGGATAAATATGTTTTCCGTTTTACAAGATCCGAGTAAACAGACCTCTGCAGCACAGTTGTGTGGCCAAATGTGGCCGTAATTAGCTTTAATGACTGATCTGGTATCAGGGCTTAAATCCTAACCATTGGGACTGCCAATTGCAAAAATGATGCGAGGGAAGTGGACAGGAACGACTGGCATGAAGTGACCAAATGTATTCGGAAATAGTTTTTAAACAAAACTTTTAAGGACCAAAAAAATGAAATGCAATATCATTTAAAAATACTAAAAATACCACTGAAATACAATACCTGGGAAAACAACAACAATCAGCTAGCTACTCGTTATTTAGACTAGGCCTAACTGGTATTAATACGATGGTGATTCAAAACATTCACCAAAATACTGCGAAATTGCTTCAAATCAATAAAGTTGCAGCCTAAATGTTTAATATCTTATTTGATGTATTATGTAATATTCTGCAGCACATCATTGCATCCCTCAGCCTCATCAGTTTCCAGAATTCACAATTTTGTATCCTTATTGTGTTTTTGTCCAATATCCAGCATGCATTCCACAAATGTCATGCAACCACTGGGCCCCTCTGCGATAAAGAAAGGCTAAATACAGATGTGATATTCGGCTTACTAGCACTAACATTAGCTATGTGGCTTCCTGCTGCATTCACCAGCTAAAGAAGCCACCCATCTTCAGGATACATCACCAGAAACTGGAAAATCTTACCTATGAGACTGCTGCCGCACTGCTGTAGGAGATGTGTGGGCTTGTTGACAACTGGTGTGGCAATTGTGAAATGTTCATTTTGGATGGAGTGCCCCTTTATCCAGCTCAAAGGCTAACTAATCTGGAGCTAATGTCCATTTTAGTTACTTTAAACTGAACAGCCCCAGCTTTAGAGGTAAGAGCTTTTTCTGTTTTCTTTTCCTTTTCAAATCGGACGAAACATTTTTTGTCCGCTGCAATAAAGAAAGGCTGAATACAGATGTGATATTCAGCTTCCTAGTTCCAACATTAGCTACCCAGCTTCCTTCTGCATTCACCAGCTAATGCAACCTCCCACCTTCAAGATACATCATCAGAAGGGCGTTTTCCTAATATTCAAACTGCAAAGTCTCTCCCTTGAGGCTGCACCGCTGTAGTGGGTGTGTAGGCATGGTGACAACTGGTGTAGCAATGGTGAATTTTTTCATTTTGGCTGGAGTGCCCCTTCAACCAGCCAATGGCTAACAAATCTGTAGGTAGGGGTGCAGATATATTCAGCTGAACATAACCAGGTTTGGGATGTAGTGGGAGTACGTATTCAGGATACAGTTACTTTTTACATTTTTGGCAGAATACTTTTAGAATGCTTATACGCTAAATGTAAAAACATATACCATCTTTAAGAGAAGCACCATTAATGGTTGTTTATTAACCATTTTAAAATCAGCCTAGAGTGTTTATAGACTGCACTACTCTAAAAAAGAACGACTTGTTTACAAACACTGAAAATTCCTAAAGCCTGAGTAGACTGATAAATCAATGTGATGAGCCAGTGCAAGGTTTTGTTCCATGATAAGGTAAAATGTTTGCTTAGTTATGAGACGGCAGTGGGATTTGGGAGCAATAGTGGAAATAACAGAAGAATGACATGAAGAAAACTGCCGATTAGTAACAGCAAGGAACAGTGTGAATGAAATAGAGGGTTTTGCCCATGTGCTTTAGTAAACACTACCTCAGTATATATTCTAAATGCCTTATGAATATGCTACTTCTGTATGCATTGTAGTAGAACACATCACTGAATACCTTTAGGACAGTATATTTAGTATTCAGCCATCACTACTTTTTCAAAGTGTTCTACCCTGAATATATATATATATATATATATATATATATATATTATATCGATATATAGTGATATATAGTGATATATATCACTGCTGTCGGAACAAAATCTCGTATCTCCATTTTTGTCGCTTTTCAGTTTTTGGCATAGTTTGAAAATGCGTGTTGCGTGTTTACACTGTGGGTAAGTTTCACAAAGAATGGACCAAAAGAAACAGCCCAAAATGTCTTGGATTCCATTGACTTACATTAAAAGTAAAGTAGTATATTATATTTTAATAATAATAATAATAATAAATATGTATATATATATATATATATATATATTACAAACTATATATTTTTTAATATTTTTATTGGGTTTTTTTGGAATATCACTTTTATCACTTCTTTTTCTGTAGTTTGCACTTTGTAAAACACTTTGAGCTGCATTTTTAATAAATGAAAGGTTGCTATTTAAATAAAGATTATTATTATTTCTTTTTTATATATATAAAATAAATCCTCCAAGTGTAATGTTGTCATACTGATCTGACCAAATATCTGACCAAATCAGTGGGCAGGTGGATGGCATGAGACCCGGTGTGAATATGAGGTATCCAGCAGACTGGCAGGAGGAGGAGGAAGGGCTGTTTTCGGCCTTCTTTAGGCCCATTCCTAGAGGGGGATGGGAGCAAAGAGTTTTTTCTGATATTTAGGAGCTCCTTCTGTGCAAACCACACACTGAAGGAAGGAAAGGAAGCTACTGACGAGACAGATCCTTACAGCTGGATCCCGGGCTGATCACTGGTGTAGTGAGGGTGCTGTGTTGTCTGGGTTTGTAGCTACTACAAGTTTTCGCTGGAAACGGGGGGACGGGGCAGTGCTGCAGGGGGATGGAGCCAGCAGCCCGGGGATCAAGTTACACACTCTCAGACTTTTTCTGAAAAGTGGGGGATGGTGGAGGCTTTGCTGTACAGTTTGATTTGATTTTCTTACGACGTTTTAAAGCAGAAAGCGAGTTTGCTATGCGAGATAAAACGCTTTCTGGTCTTTTTCGCTCTTTTGCCGTTTTTGAGCCTCAGAGGGAACAAAAGCGATGAGCGGTGTAACAGCAGTCCAGGCGCAGGACGAGTGAAGCCCCACAAAAAAGGGACTCGGACTGCACGGAAAGTGGACTGCTACGTTACTATGTGATCGAGAATCGGACGAACAGTCATGTTTTGGTCTCTGTTCTGGCAAACCGTGTTACTTTTGAGCTTCGAGGCGGCTCCGTTTTCCTCCAGTGGATAAAAAGTTTCAGAAGTTGGAGCTCCAAAATGTCCTCCTCCCGGCGCCTCCGCTGCGCCGTTGGCCCGTTTGGGATGCTTTGCCTTTGGGCTGCCGCCTTCGTGGGAACCCGGGCGGTCATGCTGCACAAGAACGAGACCGTATTCAACGATTTTTGTAAGAAAAGCTCGACCTGCGAGGCGCTGAGGTACAATACGTGTCTTGGCTCGCCTTTGCCGTACACGCACACGTCCCTCATCCTCGCAGAGGACTCCCAAACTCAAGAAGAGGCTCTCGAGAAGCTGGCCATGTGGTCTGGTGAGAGGAGATTTATTAAATAAAGCAGATTTTATGGTTATTCAGTTGTTTATCATTGCAACAAATGACTAAAAATAGAGGCTACACTTATTTAAAAGATGCTTCTTTAGTGAAGGCAGTAGTTCTGTTTTAGAACCATTGGTTCTGTATAGAACCATTTGCAAGCCTAAATGGTTCTTTTCTTGGTGAAATGCTTTTTCAGATTGATGGATGTTGAATATGCTCATATAGGTTAGAATCTTTTTGAAAATGGTTCTAGATAATACCTGGTATTGGCAAGCTTGTAACAACGGCAGAACCCTTTCTGGTGCTTTATAGAACCATTTCTGTGGTTCTCTGTAGAACCATATATAACACATTCCCCATCAGTGTGAAGAAGCATTTCACTGTGCAAAGAACTATTTAAGCATGAAATGATTCTATATAGAACTCTTGGTTCTCAGCAGAGCCTGGGATGGGCAATATGACAGTATTGTTTCGTTATCATGATAAATTATTTCACGATACTCTTTTCTGAGATATCATCCATGCACTTGATCACTGACTAACCACATGTTTGGTTACAAAGTGAGCATAATTAACTGGATTTAGTGCAGTTTGTAAACACTGGATTAACATTGTTGTAGCTGTTGGTTTATTATTATTGTTATTATTATTACAGTATTTTTATATGAGGCACTGCAGGTTTTATCTGTCTGCTCCAACTTATTAAATCTCAGAAAAACGAAATATTGTGATGTTATATCATGAAAATTTCCAAAGTATCGTGATACACTGTTTTTACTATATCGTCCAACCCTAGTAAAATATTGCCTTAACTAAAGAACCCTTGAAGATGCATCAAGTGTGTTTTCAAGCGTCTGTCAATAGCAGACCTCTTTTTTGTGCTATATAGAACCATTTTCAAAAGCGTCTATATAGAACAATATACAACACATTCTCCATCAATCAGAAGAACCGTTTCACTGTGCAAAGAACCATTTAAGCATGGAGTGGTTCTATATAGAACCCCTGGTTCTAAATAGAACCTGGGGTGGGCAGTATGATGGTATTTTATCGTTATCATGATAAATTATGTCACAATACGCTTTTCTGAGCATATTATAAATTACATCCACGTACTTGGACACTGAGTGACTATATGTTTTGTTAGTAAATGAGCATAATTAGGCCTGTTTAATTGGATTTGGTGCAGTTTGTAAAACACTGAATTAAAATTGTTTATTATTATTATTATTACAGTATTTTCTAAATGTGGCACTACAGGTTCTGTCTGTCTGTTCCAACTTATTAAATCTCAGAAAAACAAAATATTGTGATGTTGTATCGTGAAAATGTCTTGAAGTATCGTGATATGCTGTTTTGCCATATCGCTCAACCCTAAAAGAAACATTGCCTTAACTAAAGAACCCTTGAAGAACCATCAAGTGTGTTTTCAATCTTCTATCAATAGCAGAACCCTTTTTGTTGCTATATAGAACCATTTTCAAGAAGCTTCTATATAGAACCATAAATAACACATTCTCCATCAATCTGAAGAGCCATTTCACTGTGCATAGAACCACTTAAGCATGGAATGGTTCTGTATAGAACCCCTGGTTATTATGATAAATTATGTCACAATACGTTTTTCTGAGCATATTATAAATTACATCCACGTACTTGGACACTGAGTAACTACATGTTTTGTTAGTAAATGAGCATAATTAGGCCTGTTTAACTGGATTTAGTGCAGTTTGTAAAACACTAAATTAAAATTGTTCTTATTATTATTATTACAGTATTTTCTAAACATAGCACTACAGGTTCTGTCTGTCTGTTCCAACTTATTAAATCTCAGAAAAACAAAATATTGTGATGTTCTATCATGAAAATGTCCTGAAGTATCGTGATATAGCCTTTACTAAAGAACCCTTGAAGAAGCATCAAGTGTGTTTTTAAGCTTCTGTCAATAGCAGACCTCTTTTTTGTTGCTATATAGAACCATTTTCAAAAAGCTTCTATATAGAACCATATACAACACATTCTCCATCAATCAAAGAACCATTTCACCATGCAAAGTACCTTTTATGCATGAAGTGGTTCTATATAGAACTCATGGTTCTAAACAGAACCATTCTCTTTACTGAAGAACCCTTGAAGAACTGTCTTAAGTGTGTAGAAGCTCACATAACTTACTTCAGCAAGCTAAATATACACAGCAACAGAATCATTTTGCAGATTTTGTAGACAAAAAAGTCATTTTTCATTGTAAACTTACAGCATGTTTCTGTATTTGCTGCTCTGTAAAATAGTTTATATTTAATACAGTTCATGGTAACTTTATAATGAGTGCTTAAACTCTTCTTATATAGGTCGTAGGTGGAACTTCACAGTGTTACAAAAGTCTATTGATTTGTATGAACCATTAAGCTGAATTTCCTTTTGCTTTTAACCATAAGCACCCGTTAATGATCTGTTCCTGCCTCATTCACACCCTAATCTGAAGATCCCCTGGGTTGGCCTTGCATGTTCAAGCTCCCTTTCCCACACCTGTGTGAAAACCTAAAGGAGCTAAAGAATCATTGTGTGCAAAAGATAAACGAGATTTAAGTAAATAGTCGTAATATTTACGTGCTTATTTACTTAGATTAAGTTATTTATTCCAATGTGTTATTCCAGTATTGCATAAATTACAAATTACAGTGTTAAGCAGCCATAATTATAAACTAGGGATGCACTGATATGGGAACTGTGGGCCAATTCCCAAAAGGTTTATGACAGTATGTGAAATACAAATAAAAACAGAAAGCTGTAATTTGTAAAGCCACATTGAAAACAGTACATAGACAAGATATTTCGTGTTTTGCCTTATCAATTTTTGCTTTTTTGTAAATATTTTGCTCGTTCTGGATTTGATGCCTGTAACACAAAACAAAAAAATTGGGAAAGGAGCATTTTAAGACAAGGAACACTGAGTGTGTTTACATGCACTCAATAATCTGATCATAATCAGATTTCTGCAGTTATCTGATTATTCAAATGGTTATGTAAACAGCATACTCTGATCTAGAAATCCGATTAAGAAATCTGATAAAAAGAGCTGGATTTTAGCTCAGTAATCCGATTTCTCAGTGCATGTGAACTCTTACTCTGATTTCTTTCGGATTTCTCAGTCTGCATATGCGCAAGAACAGACTGTGGTATCAGAAATAAGCGAGCAGTGTTGTTTTGAGGTAAAGTGGTGCAGTGTTTTTTTTTAAAACCGCGGCATGAAGTTTAAGTTTTACGTTATGTTTACGTCACGTCTTCTTCTGTGAGTTTATTGGCTGGTTGCAAAGCAGAAATCCGATTACTGCCCGACTCATGTAGACCTGAAGTTTTCCCATTATCTGATTACTCAAGTGCATATAAATGTGCTCACTGTGAAATGTTCAAAAAACATCTTAAACAGGTGATCATGTTTGGGTGTAAAAGGACCATCCAGGAAAGGTTAAGTCCTTTATGAGCAAGAATCAGTTAGGGATGACCAAAATATGCATCAGAGACTTTAGCTATTTCACCATCTACAGTGCACAATGTCATCAAAAGATGCAGGGAGTGTTGAGAAATCTGCACGTAAAGCGCAGAGCTGAAATCCACAACTGCCCATGACCTTCGATCAATCAGATGGCACTGCTTTAAAAACCTCTCTGATGGGAATCACCGTGGGCTCAGGAGTACAGGAGAAATTGTTGTCTGTAAACATTCTTCACTTCCACAAATACAAGTTATGACTTCACTGTGCACAGTGGAAGCCATACATCAACAACGTCCAGAAACAACTACTTCTCTGGGCTTGAGCTCATCTGAAATGGACTGATGCCCAGTAAAAATGTGACAGTCTGACAAGTCAACCTTTCAGATTGTTTATAGACCAACAAACGGACATCATGTTCTCTGGGCCTAAGAAGAAAAGGAACCTCCCCATGGTTACCAGCGTAAAGCTCAAAACCCAGGGTCTATCATGGTGTGGGGGTGTATTAGCATGGCTAACTTCTGTGAAGGCACCATTAATGATAAAAGTTATATTTTATATACACTTTTTGGAGCAACACATGCTGCCTTCTAGATGACGTCTTTTTCAGGGACACTCATGCTTATTTCAGCATGAAAATGCCAAGAAACATTCTGCACGGCTGCATAATCAGAGAGTGCGGGTTCTAGACTGACCTGTCTGCGGTCCAGAACTGTCTCCCATTGAAAATGTGTGCTGTATAAGAGCAAAATGCCTCAATAAAGGCCCCATACAGCTCTGCAGCTATAAAGGAAGGATGGCATATAATTCTGCCTTGAAAACTTCAGTTCTTCAGTCCCCAAATGATTATTAATTGTTGTTAAAAGAAAAGGTCTCAACATTTTGTATGCATCAATTTGAAATAAGTGTATTTACCAAAAAAGAGTTTATAAGCTAAAACATCAAATATTGTGTGTTTATACAGTCTCCAGGTTAATATAAGTCAAAAGAATTTACGAATTACTGCTTTTTGTTTTTTTAGCATGTTACCTGCTGTCCCACCATTTTTGGTATTGAAATTTGTACATATCTGCCAATGTCAATGCAGAAACATTCATGAAATGTAGAAATTAGGACTACACCTACCTGGATTACCATTACACAGAAATATAACGTAACGCTGTTGTCGGAAGAAAACCTCGTGTCTTTAAAATGGTAACTTCACAGGAGAAGAAAAAAACATACTTTACTTACAATGTAAGTCAATGGAACCAGACTTTTTTCCAAGTCATTTTGGGTCATTTCCTTTAGTCCATTCATCATGAAATTTACATACAATGTAAAGGGTAACAGACATTTTCAAATTATGTCAAAAACTGAAAAACGACAAAAATGGAGATACAAGGTTTTCTTCCGACAACAGCGATAGGCTTGTAGTGGGTTACAGATCAGTGCAAAATGAATGAAAAGCTTAATTTAGCACAGTAGCCTTGCATCACCTAAATGCTCAGCTCTTACAGTGTGTAATAAATACATCACCAAACATCGGTTTAAAATATCAGTCAAATCCAAACATCTGTCTGATGCTGATAATTATTTTTAAGCAATTATCTGCCAATATCGATATGATTCTGATATAATTGTGCATCCCTGCTTATGACTAGATAACACTGACCATTTCTGACATTCTGTATCTCTATTTTTCCAGGTCTGAGGAATGCTCCTCGCTGCTGGGCTGTCATTCAGCCTTTGCTGTGCGCTGTTTACATGCCCAAATGTGAGAACGGTAAAGTGGAACTACCCAGCCAGAAGCTGTGTCTTAGTACTCGCAAACCCTGTAGCATAGTGGAACAGGAGCGTGGATGGCCCAACTTCCTGAAGTGTGAGAACAAGGACAAGTTCCCTGTTGGCTGCCAGGTATAAAAAAATCATTCCTACGAATTCTTCTAAACGCCTGTATAATTCAGCCATTCAAACGTAAACAAACTCATTCAGAGCGGTCTGATGAAATGCTCCGTTCTAGAGGAACCTGTGATAGGAACCGGAGCTGAAAGCTGCACAGAAAGCTGTTACATATAATGATTACAAATAAGATGCCTCGTTTGAGATATTGTTTCACGATAGGTTTGAGAAGGTTTTGGGCTCAAACATGTTTTTTAATATCCATACATGGTGGAGAGGCACAGTTCAGGGTGTTTTAAGGCAAAACAGGTCCCAAAAAAAAAACTCATCAATGAAAATTCAGAAAACTTGTTGGTTCGCTGACCATTTTAGATAGTAAATAAAATAGCTGTGTCTGCATTGTAAACATTGCAGCCCCTGGTTCCTGTCACCACCACCACTGTAAAGAAAATATGTTTCTCTACAGTTAATCACTTTACGTTACACCACTCTGGATGGTTGTGTTTACATCTCAGTGATTGAATTATGCAGAAATGTTGAATAAATGTTGCAATTCCTCTTTAAATATTATGTGTATATACACAGTAACACCCAGACTGGCTTCCTCTAAGAGTATGCCATATTCTATGGCTGGGAGATTAATAAAATTTTATTTTCAGTTACTATTCTGGCTTCCAGCGATTATGAAAACAAGATAACTGAGATGATTATTGTGCTGCATTCCGTTTCACAATGATGCTCTTCTTTTGTATTATGTTATAAATCCAGCACACCTTTCACCCCTCCTAAAGCCCAAATTCATCTAGTTTATTTAGGTTTAATATATTTGAACTATCTATCTATCTATATATATATATATATATATATATATATATATATATATATATATATATATATATGTGTGTGTGTGTGTGTGTGTGTGTGTGTGTGTGTGTGTATATATATAACCTTGTATCTCCAAAACTTACAGCATTTTAGCATTTTACCTTTTTAATTTGTTTTCCAGTTGAATTAAAATCAAAGTTCAATTTATTCTATTTTTAAAAAGACAAGTCCCTTTTCAAAGCTCAATACATGGATGATGTTTCAAACATCAGTAAGTAATCATATTAAATAATCATGATCTCAATAATGACCAAAATAACCTTGATTATGATTTTTGCTGTAATCAAACAGCCCTAATACATTATGCTGTATCTTATATTAGAAATATAACCACATCATTGATTATTGTCTGTAACAAGGTTTAAAGCTGTCTTCTAGTACCTTTCACAGTATGATCTGAATGTAATTGTACGTATGTGTTTACTTTTGTTATACTAGAATGAGGTGCAGAAGCTCAAATTCAACACTTCAGGACAATGTGAGGCTCCTTTGGTCAAAACTGACATCCAGGCCAGCTGGTACAAGGACGTGGAGGGCTGCGGCATCCAGTGCAACAATCCCCTCTTCACAGAGGAGGAACACTCAGACATGCACAGCTACATCGCTTACTTTGGATCCGTCACCCTTCTTTGCACCTTCTTTACTTTGGTAAGCAAACACAGAGAAACATAGTATGGGTGGTGGTCAAATAAGGAAAATACGATGCGTTTTTCGATACAGAAGATAAGGAGTGCCTGGGTATGCGCCTTGTGTTCATACGTCTGTAGGCGACCCTGCCAGTCTGCAGTGATAGTAGAGGAGGGTTCAGCTCCTCACTGCTGGGCTTTAGTTACATTACATCAGCTATTTGCCAGCTTTTTGTTTCAATTTTCCCATTTATGGTGTAACGGGAAATTTAGCTAGTTAGCTACATCAGCATACTGCTAGGACCATAATACACTGAAACGACATTAAACTAAGACAATACGGTTCTTATCATAATTTTTTAACTGAGAAAATTCTCCCATTTGTGGTTTTCTTTGGTCTCTCGTTCAGCCATCTTGCTTGTTTTTCTTTTTTCCTCATAACACTCAGTTTGGAGTCTCTGAAAAACCTCCGTTTGGAGGGCCATGTAGCCCTAACACTTCGCCATACCCCTCCATCTCAACACAAATCAGGACACCCTACACCTAGACGTAAATACGCAAAATGGAGGGCTAAGGGCTAAGCGGTGGGGCGAGGGGTGAAATGGGATTTGGTCTAATTCATAATACATAATTGCATTCAGAATTTTTGACGGCAGTTTTTAAATGTGGCACTACTGTTTCAAAATATGTAATGTGTCACTTGACAGAGTATTGTGATGTGATCTTTTTACCCTTAGTGTTAATTATATTCTGCACAGATTGGTTTACATACATACATACATCATCTAAACCGCTTATCCTTCTGGGTCGCGGTGGGGTGCTGGAGCCTATCCCAGCTGTCATTGGGCAGAAGGCAGGATACACCCTGGACAGGTCGCCAGTCCATCGCAGCACAGATTGGTTTGTCTCAGATAAATAAAAATTACCTAACCAAACCAGCGCCCCTCTAACTTTTCCACCCTCTAACAAAACCCCCCAAAAGTCACAACCCATAGAATTTATGAGCTGTTCAGAAAAAAAACAGTCATTTAAGGGTAGATGCGTCCATATCATAAGCCCCGGCCTTTCCCCGCCCACTTTACTCTTTTAGGATGCACTCAGACGCCTAATATCTTAAGATTAAGTGACCCTTATTAGTCCCACAACAGGGAAATTTCACCTCCACATTTAACCCATCCGTGCAGTGAAACACCACATGCACACTAGTGAACACACCCACTAGGGGGCAGAAAGCACACTTGCCCAGAGCAGTGGGCAGCCCTATCCTCAGCACTTGGGGAGCAGTTGGCGGTTAGATGCCTTGCTCAAAGGCACTTCAGTCACGTACTGTCAGCTGAAGTTGAAATTGTTACACACTTAGCAATAGCAATAGAGACCTTCAGCAAGTGGAAATTGGCTATCAATATACTTGGGTAGGGAGGCACGTGGCGCAGTGGGTAGCGCTGTCGCCTCACAGAATGGCCTGGGTTCGATTCCCGGCCGGGCAACCAGGGTCCTTTCTGTGTGGAGTTTGCATGTTCTCCCCGTGTCTGCGTGGGTTTCCTCCAGGTACTCCGGTTTCCTCCCACAGTCCAGAAACATGCAGTCAGGCTGATTGGACATGCTGAATTGCCCTAGGTATGAATGTGTATGTCTGTCTGCCCTGTGATGGACTGACGACCTGTCCAGGGTGTATCCTGCCTTCCGCCCAATGACAGCTGGGATAGGCTCCAGCACCCCACCGCGACCCAGAAGGATAAGCGGTTTAGATGATGTATGTATGTATACTTGGGTAAAGAAGAAGAGCGTGTGCCTGGTCTTGTGTAAGCCAAAGCTTTTTTCACTCTGCATCTTGTTCTTTCCTTCTCTTTTCCACAGGCCACGTTTCTTGCTGACTGGAAGAATTCCAACCGCTACCCTGCTGTTATCCTCTTTTACGTCAATGCCTGCTTCTTCATAGGCAGCATTGGATGGCTCGCTCAGTTCATGGACGGAGCTCGTAAAGAGATAGTGTGCAAAAGTGACAACACTATGCGGCTGGGAGAGCCTTCGTAAGGATGAAGCTTGACATTTGCTTTCAAAAGACAAAAATGTTTGAATGCTTGAATTGAAAAATACAAAATCAGAACGCTGATTTTCTCTCCACAGATCCACAGAGACGCTTTCATGCGTTATCATCTTCATCATCGTGTACTACTCCCTGATGTCTGGGGTCATCTGGTTTGTCATGCTCACCTATGCCTGGCACACATCCTTCAAAGCCCTCGGCACTACCCAACAGCCTCTGTCTGGAAAGACGTCTTACTTCCATCTGGTCACATGGTCCGTCCCTTTCATACTCACGGTGGCTATACTGGCCATTGCAGAGGTAAACCCTCTCATTTCTGTTCTTTTTCATGCAGGGTGTTTTTGGCACTGCCCACACATCACAACAGCGACTGACTCTTTCGAACGTTTTGCAGGTAGACGGAGACTCAGTCAGTGGAATCTGCTTTGTTGGGTATAAGAACTACAGGTACCGTGCTGGGTTTGTGCTGGCTCCTATTGGAGTGGTACTCGTTATCGGTGGTTATTTCCTAATAAGAGGTAAGAGCGACTGGACAAACAGATGTCCGTTATTTATATTTCACTGCTGTCGGAAAACAAAACCTCATATCTCCATTTTTGTCGTTTTTCCGTTTTTGACATAATTTGAAAATACCTGTTGTCCTTTACATTATATGTAAATTTTACAATGAATGAACCAAAAGAAACGGCCCAAAATTACTTGGAAAGAAATCTGGTTCCACTGACTTACATTAAAAGTAAAGTAAGTTTTTTGCTTCTCCTGTAAAGTTTCCATTTTGGAGATATGAGGTTTTGTTCTGACAGCAGCGATATGCAGACGTATTGGTAAGGTTTGATACGCTATAATGCTTAATTGTGGCTGATCCTAAGTTCTCACTTTGTAGGTGTCATGACATTGTTTTCCATCAAAAGCAACCATCCTGGACTACTGAGTGAAAAAGCAGCAAGCAAGATTAATGAGACCATGCTGAGACTCGGTACGCTGCTCTTAGTGATATATTAGTGCCATAGTGATATATTAATTTATACAAGTATAAACAGTAGAACATGTATTATTCGTATTAATTGATTGACTATTAGTATTAATCCAATCAGTTGTGATTATAGACCCTCCATTCTTCCATCTCACGAATTATTTCTTTCTTCTAACCAGGCATATTTGGCTTCCTGGCTTTTGGCTTTGTTTTCATCACTTTTGGATGCCATTTCTATGACTTTTTCAACCAGGCCGAGTGGGAAAGAAGCTTCAGGGAATATGTGCTGTAAGATTTTTTATATCCAGCTTACAAGCAATAAATAAATACGTTAGCATTTAGGTGTTCGGTTTACATGTAGGTAGTATTTTTAAAGATTTTTTCACTTATATGATTTAAGCCTGCTCTCTAAATTGGATTTACGCATGTAATATTTCAAACAGGTGTGAAGCCAATGTGACTATAGCTCACCAGACCAACAAGCCAATCCCGGAATGTGCCATCAAGAACCGGCCCAGTCTGCTGGTGGAGAAGATCAATCTGTTCTCTATGTTTGGCACGGGCATTGCCATGAGCACCTGGGTGTGGACCAAAGCCACAGTCCTTATTTGGAAACGCACCTGGTGCAGGTAGGTCTCTCAGCTTGTTTAACGCTGCATTTTGTAAGACTTATTGGTCTTAAACTGATCCACATCTTAAGTTGCTGATCATGTATTATGTACAGAATTGTTAAGACAACTTTTACTCAAATTTTCTCAAATAAATGAATAAATGTGACTTATTTAACTGTACAATGAGGAAAACAAGCTCAGAGTGAATATACCAGCTGTAATGGTTTAGCTTTTACAATTATTTTCAATCCATTGTCAAAAAGTAAAGAATGAAAGAAAATAAAACATTTTGGAAGATTTTTTCATATATACCATGTGCCTCAGTATATGATTATATACATAATCATAATATATAATAATCATAATACATACATGATATACACAGATCAAGCATAACATTATGACCACCTCCTTGTTTCTACGCTCATTGTCCATTTTATCAGCTCCACTTACTATATAGGTGCACTTTGTAGTTCTACAGTTACAGACTGTAGTCCATCTGTTTCTCTGCATACTTTGTTAGCCCCCTTTTACCCTGTTCTTCAGTGGTCAGGACCCCCATGGACCCGCACAGAGCAGGTACTATTTGGGTGGTGGATCATTCTCAGCACTGCAGTAACACTGATGTGGTGGTGGTGTGTTAGTGTGGATCAGACACAGCAGTGCTGCTGGAGTTTTTAAACACTGTGTCCACTCACTGTCCACTCTATTAGACACTCCTACCTTGTCAGTCCACCTTGTAGATGTAGAGTCAGAGACGATAGCTCATCTGCTGCTGCACAGTTTGTGTTGGTCATCCTCTAGTCCTTCATCAGTGGTCACAGGACGCTGCCCACAGAAACCTGTCGGCTGGATATTTTTGGTTGGTGGACTATTCTCAGTCCAGCAGTGACACTGAGGTGTTTAAAAACTCCAGCAGCACTGCTGTGTCTGATCCACTCAGAGCAGCACAACACACACTAACACACCACCACCACATCAGTGTTACTGCAGTGCTGAGAATGATCCACCACCCAAATAGTACCTGCTCTGTGAGGGTCCATGGGGGTCCTGACCACTGAAGAACAGGGTAAAAGGGGGCTAACAAAGTATGCAGAGAAACAGATGGACTACAGTCTGTAACTGTAGAACTACAAAGTGCACCTATATAGTAAGTGGAGCTGATAAAATGGACAATGAGCATAGAAACAAGGAGGTGGTCATAATGTTAGATTATGGTCAGTTTACGCAAAATATAAGCAGACCTAGTGGGATTTTGTTATTTTTTACATACAGAGCCTCATTACTGATCACAAAATGCACTAATTATAGGGGTTGTAATGCACTGTTAATGTGTGAAGGTGATGCACATAAAACTTCAGATTCTGTTACGTTAGTGGGTAAACAAAAACGAGTGCAGTGTTCTGTTTGGTCCATGAATTGTACTGCAGTAGCGGCTATATTAGTCTTATCTTTCTTCCTTAATTAGCAGAGCCTTGTTAACTTAATCCACGGTAATATTAATATTAATTAACGTTTTCCCTCAATCCAAGGATCATTGGACGCAGTGACGATGAGCCAAAACGCATCAAAAAGAGCAAGATGATAGCCAAAGCATTCTCGAAGCGGAAGGAACTCCAGAAGGATCCAGAGAAAGAGTTGTCCTTCAGCATGCACACAGTTTCTCATGAAGGACCTGTAGGTAAGAAAAGCACCCTCTGCCGAATATAAAGTACTAGACAAAGAGGAATATGTTAATTTCTAAAATGGAAACTTGCAGTATTTATTTTCCATATTCCCATTAACTAAAAGTTGAAATGAAATTAGTTAGAAATAAATTTAACTGCTAATAAATAGGTTTCTTTTTTAATAAATGGGTTAATTTTTTAATGAATGGGTTAATTTGTTAATAGGTTAATTTTTAAAATCTTTTTTAACCTGCAGTATTTATTTTCCATATTCCTGTTAACTAAAAGTTAAAATGAAATAAGTTAGAAATAAATTTACCTGCCAATAAATGGGTTTCTTTTTTAATAAATGGCTTTCTTTTTAATAAATGGGTTAATTTTTTTAATAAATAGGTTATTTTTTAACCTGCAGTGTTTAATTTACATATTCTTATTAACTAAAAGTTAAAATGAAATAAGTTCGAAATAATTTTAATAATTTAAATAATTTAACCGCTAATAAATGGGTCTCTTTTTTAATGTATTGTTATGAAGGACTTTCGGAATGGTTGGTATTCCCCACTGAAAACTACTCGTTTATGCTCGTGTATGAAATTAAACATTAATCTCTGTTTTCATTCCTCTGCAGCAGGTATTAACTTTGAGTTCAACGAGCCATCTGCGGAGATGTCCTCTGCTTGGGCCCAGCATGTGACGAAGATCGTGGCCCGAAGAGGTGCCATCTTACCTCAGGATATCTCGGTCACTCCGACCGGCACACCTGGTCAGTAGTAAAGCTCTGTCATTGCACTGGATAGTTTACTTGAAAAGAGAAGATTTTTAACGTTGTTTGTGATTGTCTCCTCATACAGTGCCGCCTCCAGAGGAGAGAAACAAACTGTGGATGGTCGAAGCTGAGATCTCCCCTGAGATGATGAAACGGAAGAAGAAAAAGAAGAAGAGGAAGAAGGAGGTTCGGCCAATCGCGTCTGCCGAAGAGGGCATGAATCCCATCCCCCGTCGCAGAGAGTTCGGCCCCAGCGCCGTACCTCGGCTTCCGAAGCTACCGGGACACCGCAGCCTTGTGGCTAACTTGTGGGACCAGCAGCGGCAACAGCACCAAGAAGAAAACGTGCTTCCAGGCTCCTTCCCAGAATTCCGGTCTTCCTGTCCTGTTCCGTACAATGACAGATACGGAGGGCTGGGCTACCTTCCATCCAGCCAGCTCAACGGGGAGCCCAGCTTTAACCTTGCAAACCACCTGACGTCTAAGGATAGCCAGCGTGAGGGTCGAGGGCAGTTCCAGTCATCAGCCTGGCTATCTAACGGGGCATTTTGCCATTCTGGCCAAGAGATGTTCTCACCAGTGGCTGGTGGCAGGACAGCCCTCACATCTCGGTCAGATGGCAGACGGCCAGTGATTGCGCCGATCCACTCTAGAACCAACCTAATGGAGGCAGAGCTGATGGACGCGGACTCTGATTTTTGACCTTTCTAAGTCACTGGTCTTGTGGTGCTCTGCAGACTCAAAAAGTGCTGGATACTTTGTGCACCACACATTTCGTTGTTTGTTGAAAGGTGCAGGGCAGTGGTTCCCAAACCTTTTATAGTGCGGTAACCCCTCAGACATTAACCCTCCAGCCGCGCACCCCCCTCACTCCTTAGACACACTCGTGCATATTGCCCTGATGCATCAGCCTGTAAAGTCAGTCCCTCTCAATATATCTAACATGCCTACGAGGCAGTGACAACACACCCGACGTACTGAGTAGCACTGAATAAGTAAATAATGCTAGGGATGCTTGTAAGGCATGTGTTATAGGTGTGGTTCACTCTGGAGTGCTGGTCACAGTGCAGGGATGAGGAAGATCAGTGAACTTTCTTCGGCAGCAGCACAGGCAGGGGTCACTCTACGGGAAGTCTGCAGCTGTAAAATGAACACTGAAAGACATTCATAAACGTGGCTACAGATCACATACAGCACAGTAACATCATCCACTCATCGTTTAATAGCACTGTGGATATGTAAACAAAATGCTAATTGCTAATCTCTAATCCCCGCAGACTACAAACTAATAACTTACTACAGCTGCAAACTAAACCTGTAAAAGTGAAACTAACTAGAGTACACAACTAACAAAGGGTATACATGCCTCTTATACATTTAAAGCTACACTATGTCAGCTTTGGGGCTTTGGAGACCTCTCTGGTGGAAATGTGTAATTGCACACAATGCCTGGAAGAACATTTTGTAGTGTTGTGCTTCAGACCCCTTCCCCGAGTGGATGAATCTGATGATTGCGAGTGTTGTGAAAGAGAATTCAAAGAGAACTGAGTAAATCTTGGTGATGGACGTGTGAATTATCTATTATTGTTATCATACCTTCATCAGTATAATGCTGATTTTGAATTAAGACCTAAACATTGAGTCGGACCCTTTTTTTGAGCCTGTGTGTGAGACTTTGTGACATAAAGGCCTCTGACATGGTCCAAAAAACTTGCCAAATCCTCTGACTTTTAAATAATTATTTGAGGCTTTATAGGGTGAATCACAGCAGTGCACACTCACCATATTTTAGCCTGGTCTTTAAATTTTAACAAACAATTGCACATAGTACAGCTTTAACAGCGCCATGGATACGCAAACAAAATGACTAACTGCTAACTAAGGCTACGTTCACACAGCGGGTAAAAGTGGCCCAAATCTGATTTCATCCAGAGGTAAACAATCATGACTGCCAATGAGCCCCAGTCGCTCCTGGAGGGTCCAGTTTCACCCTCGCCAGCGTCACAGGAGCCATCACTGACCGACAGCTGAGCTCATCACCTAGAATGTGTTTGAGCTCGCAGTAAAAAGGCCGCGGTCACTTCTTTTGTTCGTGTCCTCGGATTCTTTAAACTTTCAGCTTTCAGACTTTTGATGTTTGTTTGACGCTGCAGCCTCGTCCTCCTACGGCCATTTCTTTCGAGATCTATTCAAACACAGAACGGTTTGGTCTTCTACCTTTTGTACAGAAACATCAGCCCAAATGTTTACGAGGTCTCAGCAGCGTGAAATTATGAAGAATGTGGAGCTGGATTGACATAAAAGTAGCATGAATCTGATCTGGCTGTTCAGACTGAGATATGTATTGGATTTCAGCACCACATATAAAAGCGTCTCAAATCGGAATTGAAAATGTCAGATTCAGTGTGTTTTTTTGCTGTTCACTGACACACAGACACACATCTGTGCCACATATGAAGAAAAAAATCGGATTTGGGCCACTTTTACCTGCTGTGTGAACACAGCCTAAACCATGTCTGTGAAATTAAAAATGAACTTGAATGAACAGCTAACAAGGAGTTTACGTGCCTTAAACACAGCCTTTTATACAAATGATGATAAATAAAGTGCAGAGTCTGTCTAGTTACTAGAGCATAGATTTGTCATGTGCTGGATGTTATAAATATCACACTCACCCATCACTCATACTTACACGCCACGTGTAAAAGTATACAACAGGTTCCGGAAATGAAGACTAATATGACGTGTACATGTCAGATGTTTTGATGTACCCTCAACATCATTGGGCGTACCCCAGTTTGGGAACCACTGGTGTAGGTGACACTTGAGGGTGAGGCCCATGTAACAGTACCAATAAGTGTCCACAGGATGACTCTTCTGAGTCAGGGCATTTGGACCGGATCACAGAACCAATATATGGAAATACTTCATCAACTTGTTCTGAACGGACCACGTCTCTTTTACGCTTTGCCGTAGTTCTGCTGAATCCCTGATTGAACGAAGAAGGGACTGAGCTCAGTGGCTCTGCTTTGTCTGTGTTATACTCCGTTTATTGGACCCAGGTCATGCAGTTATGTTCCTGATCTAAAGAACCTACAAGTGTTAGTACTTTGTTAGAGAAAGAGAATTTATCGTTAACTATTATTATTGTTATCACTGCTTTTATGTTAAGTTGCCTGGTGCAATCACACACAAGTCCCACGTTTTCCCATTGTAGATGTAGCCCGTGTGAATTTGAGGGCGCTGTCGTAAGAACGGACTGCAAACAAACTGAAAATGCTAATAACAAAAACGGGCCTGTTTCCATTCAAAGTGATATCTGTACAGTTTTATCAGAAGTGCTATTTTTGTACTTTAGTATGTAGTTGGTTTTTTTTTTCCACCGATATTTTGTACTGTATTTTATTGTACATACTTCTGTGTTACTTTGCTTTGGTTCACTTTTGCCTTTTGTGAGTTTTGCTGAGGTGTTTTATTCATTTCTTAGGGTGCTTTTTATTTGTAATATAGAGCAATACCTTTAAAAAAAACATTCATAGTATCTTTAAATAGTCATTTTTCCATGAGAGAATGCAGCCCAGAATGTACTGTCAGTAGAGAAAAGCTTTTAAAAGACAACGTGTATGCTCTGCCATAACCTTATCAGAGGAGTAGCCTATGTGCCTGAAGAGAATACAGTTCATTGTATATATATAGCAGGTACTATTTGGGTGGTGGATCATTCTCAGCACTGCAGTAACGCTGACGTGGTGGTGGTGTGTTAGTATGTGTTGTGCTGGTACGAGTGGATCAGACACAGCAGTGCTGCTGGAGTTTTTAAACACCTCAGTGTCACTGCTGGACTGAGAATAGTCCACCAACCAAAATATCCAGCCAACAGCGTCCTGTGGGCAGCGTCCTGTGACCACTGATGAAGGACTAGAGGATGACCAACACAAACCGTGCAGCAGCAGATGAGCTATCGTCTCTGACTTTACATCTACAAGGTGGACTGACAAGGTAGGAGTGTCTAATAGAGTGGACAGTGAGTGGACACAGTGTTTAAAAACTCCAGCAGCACTGCTGTGTCTGATCCACTCGTACCAGCGCAGCACACACTAACACACCACCACCACATCAGTGTTACTGCAGTGCTGAGAATGATCCACCACCCAAATAGTACCTGCTCTGTGAGGGTCCATGGGGGTCCTGACCACTGAAGAACAGGGTAAAAGGGGGCTAACAAAGTATGCAGAGAAACAGATGGACTACAGTCTGTAACTGTAGAACTACAAAGTGCACCTATATAGTAAGTGGAGCTGATAAAATGGACAATGAGTGTAGAAACAAGGACATAATGTTATGCCTGATCAGTATATATATATATATATATATATATATATATATATATATATATATATATATATTGAAGGTACAGTGATGTTAAAACACCCATTGGCAGCCCAGTTGAGCCAACAGTTAGTCAAAACATGTCTTCTAAATTTGTGGTGGGGATTTTGCTTCACTGTAATCATGATTAAGTCCTTGATTAAAACCTCTCTCTGCTTTTGGGACATCAATATTTGAGTTTCTCTAATGTAATAATTGGCACCAGACGTGACGTGTACAGCCCAGTTCCGTGTAGAATGATCCACTGATTATTATCTACATGACCGAATATGTGATTCTGCACGCCTCCCTTGGTAGTGTACTCTTTAATTTGGTTTTCAGTGTATAGCCTGCACAGTGCTTTAAATGAACCATAATGCTGTATTTTTGCATTTGTATATAACAATAAACAAAACTGTTTTGACTTCAGTGTCTTTCTTAAAGGGGAATTCCACTGATTTTTCAAAATTCCTGCCTGATTCAGTGGCTGAGACGTAAACAAAGTCATTCAGAGTGATTTGATGTGAAATGGTTGATTGTGGAGACTGATTTCTTTACAGTGGTGGTGATATATATATATATATATATATATATATATATATATATATATATATATATATATATATATATATATATATATATATATGTGTGTGTGTGTGTGTTTGTTTGTGTGTGTGTATATATATAGAATTGATTATAGAATTGATTATATATATATATACCCATGGTTCTTTGCACAATGAAATGTTTCTTCAGACTGATGGAAACTACTGCACTGTAGATGGTTCTATATAGAACCTTTTTGAAAATAATCAAACTTTGCACCAAAAAGGGTTATTCTAATGTACAATGTCAACTTGTAACAAGTCAGTCCTCTTCTCTTTAAGTCTGATCTCTCCTGCTAACCCGACCTAAAAGAGCCGTATTCATCTCAATCTTAGCTCTATGCAGTCCCTTGGAGTCTGTAGTCTGCAATAACACTCAAATAACCCTTTGCATGGGTTCTTTGCATCATGAAAGGGTTATTCAAGCTGATGGAGAATGTGCCGTAGATGGTTCTATATAGGACCTTTTAGAAAAGGTTCCGTATAGCACCAAAAAGGTCTATTGTAACAATATAAAGCTTGACGCATTAGGCATTTCATGTAATAGCTTTCTGTGAGGGAGCTTCTAGAGGTGGATGTCTGGTTCCTATCACCACTGTGAACAATTCTGACTCTGTAAGTTTCTCTGGAACAGAGCTTTTCACACCAAACCACTCTGAATGACTCTTAACCATTTAATTTTGCATACATTTTGATTTGGATTTGGCTGTTTAGATTTTTGGAATTGAGAATCAAGTAAATTTAATTACACTTTATTGTCATTATACATACACGGCGGTCATACGGTACAAGGACATGAGTGCACATGTACTAGCTGGATGACAGTGTGTAAACACAATAAGTACAAAACAATAAATGGACAATACAATAATAGACAATAGACAATAAATACTGATGAAACTAGAGACACAGAGCTGTACTGGTGCATAGACTGTGTATACGTATGTGCAAAATGTGCTAAATATGTGTGGCAATTTTTAGAGGTAGTGTTCAGTAAACTATAGTATGCATGTTAGTTCAATCCAAGTATATATGAAGGCAGTCAGCCGTTCAGAATAACATTGAAGTGCAATGTGCATATAGTTCAAATAGTGTTGTATTCATGATCAGGTGGGGGTCCTGTGGGTGTGACCAGAACTGATTAAATTATTGTTTGGATTTGACTCCCATGGAATTTGAATCACAGTCGACCCCAACATTTTCTTTCTACTTTATTTTTGGCCCAATCCCATTTCTTATTTTTACCCCTACCCCTTGTTTTTGAGGGTCACCTTGCGCCTTGGAACTGAGTTACAAGGGGTAGTGGTTGAAGTCTTCTCTTACAAAATGGGACCCTCAAATAAAAAGAACATTACTTCATTAACAGCTACCAGCGCTGCTCTGTAGTGACCCTGCCAGTCTGTAGTGACAGCAGAGGAGGGTAAAGTTCAGCTCCTCACTGCTGGGCTTTAGTTACATTTAGGGCATCATATGACTTCAAAGAGGGGGGGGGCAATTATTTATTATCACCCACCCCTAATTCTCTGGTGATATGAAGCTGAAGCACATTAATTCAGCAGTATAAGTGCAAGACAAGTCGACCCCAACAGGCCCAGTACCCGGCTACAGCACGTTGACTACAAATCCCAGAATGCAGCGTGAAGGCCGCTGCGAATTTTAAAAGGACCTTCGGCGCTCCGGTCGCGCACTAGATGAGGATGAGGATGGACTGAAGGCTCAGTGCAGTCCGAGTGAAGCTGCAGCCATGTCCCACACCTCTCACCCCAAACACACACGGTCAGCGGACCTGGAGAGTCTGAGGCGGAGGTCCACGGCCGACAGCTCAGGTAGGAGCTGGGGTTTCAGTCATGAAGCGTTCAAAAAGAGCCTGTTTTAAAGTGGGAAGACGCGCATAGCGTCTCAACCTCAGTGGCACCTCATTTTAAGCGAGTTTAGTAAGTTTTCAGACTGGTTTTATTAGGATGTTTGTGCGTTTCACCCCCTAAATACCTTAGCCTCGCCTTGTGTTGGTGGTCTGTTCTTTTTTCCCCGCACGTTCAGAGGATTTGTTTGAGAAGTAGATCTGCCTACAAACACTGCGGGCAAGCTAAGGATTTGAAGCTGTCGCTGGTTTTGAAGCTCTGAAGATAGTTTGAGTGTCTGAAGAAAGAATTTAGGCCATGAACTTGAATTTAAGTTTAAAGTTTCTGAGCCCCTCAGGTGACAAGGTGATTATTTTTAATAAGGCGTGGCCACGAGTTGCTATATTAAGTTTCTCACAACTTCACTATAGTAATTTGTGGCTTAATATAGTAAATTGTAGCCTCAATATATTCATTCGTGGCCAGTAATTTGTGGCTTAGTGTATTAATTTGTGCCCTCAATATATTAATATTTGGACTCAGTATAGTAATTCATGATCCTCAGTATTTCGTGACCTCAATATAGTAGTTCATGGCATCAGTATATTAATTTGTGGCCTTTATAAAGTAATTCATGGCCTCTGTACATTCATTTGTGGACTGAGTGTAGCAGTTTGTGGCCTCAATGTAATAATTTTTGGCCATGCCTTATTAAAAATAATCACCCTGTCACTTTGGGGCTCCATATAAAGGAATCTGTATTAGTTATGAAGCAATTCTTATTAACTAGGCTAGCAATTTGTGCTACTAACAGGTATCTTAGTGTTAGACTAATACAGAAAAACAAGCTAGCAATAGAATAATGTCACTGTTTATTGGGCACATCTAAATAAAAGCCCCATATGTGGTGTTTTTAGGTGTGTGTGAATGTCTTTGAAAGACATTCTTCTCAAAAATGAGGCAGAAATTCCATTTTAAATAATTAAGTTGACTAACCGACTCCACATGGCTCAGAGCAAGGCGTTTGACGTTAGGGTTTGGTTGCATTTAAGGGCCCATATGCTACATTTATCTTGCATTTTATTTTTCCCCTTCTAAGATCTACTTATGACGTGGTTTTATGTATCAATAATAGTCATAATTTAGTGTACATGGCCGTTTTCAACCCCTCTTTACCCCTTAAATTTAAACAGGCTGTTTTTTTATTACTGGGCCTTTAAGACCGTGACTCATTGTAAAAAAAAACAGACCAGGCAACTCCTTATAACTCCTTATCTAACTGCTGTCAGTTAAAATGGGCCGATATGTTATAAAGTGTTGGTTTTTGTGACCTCAGAGAAACCATGAACTCACAGTGGACTTTTTTTGCAGCTTACTTTTCATATGTGGAGTAAAGTGTGCATTAAGCTATGTTTACATACATCACAGTCTTATTTTTTTATTTGAAGAAAGTGAGGAAAATGTAGCTTTCCATTATATAGACCTTTTAAATGGGCATTGTGGCTTAAAAGTGACATTTAATATGGTATTAGTTGAGTTCTGTAATATTCTATAGTGTAGCATTGCTTCCCTCTGCCTCAGCAGATTCAGAATTCACAGTTTTGTATCCTTTTATGTTTTTGTCTGTCAACACTCTCTCACACATGAAATTTAACATTTTAGCAGTAAGTAGGGGAGGAAAAAAACATTTTAAGCAGCGCACCCTTAAGTTACAACTCTAGAGTGCTTGTATTTTTTCAAAAAGTTCCTCCCTCCTTCAAGATGCATCATCACTAGAGGGTTTGCCTAGTCTTTAAACAGAAAAATCTCCCTCTCAGGTCTGTTGAGGTAGGAGATGATCAGACATGATCTCAACAGATGTGGCGATGGTAAAATGTTTAATTTTGGCTGGACTGCCCCTTTAATGATAAAATATACGACTTGGCAGCATTAAATCTGTAGGTCTTGAAGTCTGTAGAGCAGCTGCAGATAATTCAATTTGATTATGGTTCATCAGTTATTAAAATTGGGCAGCACTAATAATAATAATAATAATAATAATAATAATGAAAACTTATTACTATTATTAGCCTTTAATTTTAAACAGCAAAGTAAGTGCTTCCTTCCTCACTTGATGTATGAAAACATTTCCAATGTAAAGTCTACAATCACTGTCCACTGGTTTTAATATTTCTGAAAACTTCAGAAATATTATATCTTGTGCTTCCATGTAATCCATTGAGAATGTGATCGGACACAGATGATGCACTGCAAATGTGACATACTGGTTCATGTGACCATCAGGAGGCTTTCGTTAGTCACACAGAAATGATTTGGGGCTAATACTGACCATGAGAAACGTCTAAATCCAGTGATATGTGTGCTCCCCCCCTTCTCCTTTCCCCTTTCTCTGACCTTCAGAACTCCTGTGGGACCACGAGCCCAAAGGTCATCGCCGGAGCTCCCAGTGTGACAGGCTCTGCGTGGCCGGCGCTCACCCTGAGATGGTTGATACTCCTTCGCCCTGCACCTCACACCATTTTGGCCACTTCACACCGAAATGCCTCTCCGCTCACAGTAAGAGGCTTTATCGTGCTCACTCTTCATCATTTTGTTAAACGATGTACTGTGTAAGACGGTGAACAAGTGAAAAGGATGTTCTGTTTGTTCACTGTAGAAGTACAGTCATTTGCAAAAGTTTGTGCACCCCAGATTAATTTACATGTTTTGTTGATTTAAGTGAAAGTAAGTTAACTCTACAGGGAACTTCAATTTAGTGTTTATTTTCTGATTATTTGCTGAATTTAAAATATTTGATTAAAAAATACAGAAAATAACTTTTGCACAGGCTGCATTTTATATGATTTTTTTTCAGTATATTAAATTCAGGCTTTGTTTACATCTCAGCGACTGAATTATAAGAGAATTTTGAAAAATCGGTGGAATTCCCCTGTATGTTTAACTTGCATATAGGATGATAATCATCGACTTGCATTTCTGACTAAACACCATCTTCAGTGCTCATACTGGATTCGATCTCTCTGCTAGAACCCTCTGTTCACTCGTGGTGTGCTGAGGATGCTTGGCAGGAGGCGAGCTGTAGGACCACCATCCGTGCAGAGAACGAGGTGGAGGCTCACAAAGTCGCCAATAATTACAGGGTGAATACATTTTTCTTTTTTTATCACAAACTGTTCACCAAAAGATTTTTTTAGAAGTTGTATTAAAAAATTCAAGACGTCCATGGCCAAGTAGTGACTAAAATAGTAAACAATATACTAAAAAAAAGATATATTTACATTAATTTGTCAAGTTCTCTGCCTCGAGATTTGATCTCCACTTTTAAAATGTGATGAATTCTGGATGTTAATTTTATCACTCCTTCATTCTTGATGCTGCACAGCTTTAAGATTTATTTTAAAATATTGCATGGCTCCGTTCATCATTCTGTGCACATCTAATATTTCTTAATACAGCTTTCAGTTATTTGAAATGTGTGAATTTGCAAAGGACTAACATATTAGCAATAAACCTTTTCTGTATTCCGAATTTTATTTTACAAGAAAATTGATCAGTTTAACAGTGTGTGCTTGTTTGGCAGTTCGGCTTCAGGAAATGGAAGAGCCATGTTACGGAGCGTCCGATTGAGGATAGATCGGATATTGTGAAGGAGTTATATTCAGAGCTGAACTTCGTAAAACCACAGAAAGGTCAGTGGACATTCATCATAGTCTCTCATCCAAGGTGGCTTTCTACCATTCCCTTATTTAAGCCCCTGAGTATCAAATGCTTCTAAAAAATCTATTAACTGGTACTTTCCTTATGATATACAGTTACCATTTTCTCATAAGCTTATTCATATTTTTTTTCTGTGTTTGCAGGTTCAGTGATGAGCATTGGGAACGTGCTTTATGTACTTTTCTTTGGCTGGTGGATTTCTTTAGTTTATGTTCTGGTTAGCTTGTTGATGTTTTGCACCATCATTGGGATTCCATATGGTATGTAGAAAATACTTCATGTTCTTTTCACTTTGGTCTGATTTCTTTGCCTCAGCCAGTGCTTTTTTCCCTCTTTGGCCACAGGGAAACTGTGCTGGAAGTTGTCGGGTTACTTATTTTGGCCCTTTGGGAAGGCATTACAAAAGGTAACCTAAAAAGGCTGCATTATGTCAGCTGTAACAACCCATCAGAGATTTTACATTCTGCTAAGGACTCGTTTTCACCACTTGTCCACTGCTTTTCAAATACATGAATGCATCTACATGTATGGACATTACAATCAGTGTGATTATGCACTAAATGGACAAAAGTATTGGGACACACCTCTTAATCATTGGAGTCAAGTGTTTCATTCAGTCTCATTGCCACAGGTGTATAAAATCAAGCACCTAGCCATGCAGCCTGCCTTTACAAACATTTGTGAAAGAATGGGTCGTTCTAAAGAGCTCGCTGGATTTGAGCGTGGTGCTGTAATATGATGGCACCATTGCAACAAGTCAGTTCAAGAAATGTCTTCCCTCGTAGATATTCCACAATCAACTATGAGTGTTGTTATTGAAAGTGTTTAGGACGCAGCTCTGCTACGAAGTGTCAGATCATGTAAAATCACAGAGCAGGTCACTGAGTGCTGAGGCGCATAGTGCATAAAAGTCACCAATGCTCAAACCTCCTCTGGCATCAACATTCTGTGGAGTGATGAATCAGCTTCTCTATCTGTCAGTCTGATGGACGAGTCTGGGTTTGGCGAATGCCAGGAGAACGTTACCTGCCTGACTGCACTGTGCCAACTGTAAAGTTTGGTGGAGGAGGGATAATGAAAGGGGTTGTTTTTCAGGGGTTGGTCTAAAACCCTTAGTTCCAGTGAAGGGAAATCTTAATGCCTCAGCAGATAAAGACATTTTGGACAATTCTATGCTTCCAGCTTTGTTTGAACAGTCTGGGGAAGAACCTTTTCTGTTCCAGCGTGACTGAGCCCCAGTGCACAAAGCAAGGTCCATAAAGGCATGACTGGGTGAGTTTGGTGTGAAAGAACTTGACTGGCCCTCACAGAGCCCTGACCCCAAACTCATCAAACACTTTTGGGATGAACTAGAACGGAGATTGTGAGCCAGACCCTCTCATCCAACATCAGTATCTGACCTCACAAATGCTCTTCTGGATGAATGAGCAAGAATTCCCACAGACACACTACAGAAGAAAGCTTCCCAGAAGATTGGAAGCTGTTTAGAGCTGCAACGAGGGACCAACTCCGTATTAATGCCTATGGATTTAGAATGGGATGTCATAAAAGCTCTTGTAGGTGTAATGTGTAGGTGTCCCAGTACTTTCGTTCATATAGTGTGTACTCAAGTTATTGGTGTAGCTCCTAATTTAATGTGACCTGTTTTCTCATGACCTCCTTTTTTTTCCTCATTTCACTCCTCAGACTAGCAGCCTGGTACGGAGGTGCTGTATTAAATTTCCCAACTGTGAAGTCATTCCAGAAGAGGCAGATGACAGTCAGTCAACAGAGGTGAAAGAGTCCACTCCTCTGCTGCGCTCCCCTCCCCCCGTCGCTATAGATGTCCCAACGAGTGCTCCTTGTAGCCAGAAGAGACGTTACTGGGTACGACTGCTTGCGAGGGCAGATTTGTGTTGTCTTCTTCTAACACAATTGCCATAATGGTTGGTGTAGAAAAATGCCCCCCTCAGCCCCTCCTTGCCCCAAGTCATCAATTTCACTGAAGATTTCTTACCAGAATCCCGTCAGTTTTGCCAGCTATCACTGACCTGTACATAGCGATGTGGGCCGGTTCTATGACATTACAGGCGACCTGTTTAGTGGGCGCAGTATAGCTGTGGATTTTGATTGGTTGGCACATTATTTCATTTTAATAGTGTTTAATAACATCTACTATTTTTAGACATGTACCACATGTCTAAGATATGCCTTCTGATATTTTTCTGATCATATCTCATCAAACAAGAACACTCAGATACCCCAGAGACCCTCCCTGATTCACACTGGGCCTCGTTCACCACCTGTTCTTAAGCAGAAATTTCTTCTTAAAACCCACTTACACAGTTTTTTCATGAAGATTCTGACATTCACCAATGTTTTCTTATTTGGGATTTGTTCTTGGGTAAGAACAGAATCTATACAACTTTCTTGCACATCTGGACACTCCACACCTGGACACTTTATTTTAGTACCAATATGTGCGCACATTTATTCAGTATTGTCATTTATATGCTGTTACCTGTGCGTCCTTGTACAGTCATTATTGCACTGCCTTTTTTATCTATCTACCTACCTACCTACCTACCTACCTACATGTCTATATATGTATCTATATGTCTATCTGTCTAATGTCGTAACCATTTCACCTTTTTGTGAATTTTAGTGTCGTGTAGGCACATATGTTTGGCTGGTGTTGGGCTACGTTCCTCTGGCCATAGTTCATTGCCTGGCCTGTATCCTGTCCTGGATAATGGTCTTCACCATCCCTGTGGCAAAGATGAATGCTAGGATACTCAGCATTGTCCTCCTCCTGCCCCCTGAGGAGATCCAAATTCGGCCTGTGAAGAAAGTGAGCTCTGCCGATCTTTTGCATTTTGGTTATTGCTTAACAGTTGTAGAGAGCTTGGACGTCTGCTGCGGCTGCTGTGTTACTGTGTGGTTAAGAATGTTTCAGTACATTGGAAATGTTTGTTTAGCCCAGTAATCTAAAGTAACTGCTCTTCTGCTCTTTAGCTTCCAGGCTGTGAAACTAGAGTTCTCCTGTGCTGTTACCGTGCCTTTAACTGGTACTACTACAAGTACACTGTAGATGGCATCAATGTCTTCGCTGTCAGTATCCTTTGCTGTCGAAGGGATGTCCACCATGGTCATTTTTTTTTTTTAGGTGGTTTACAAACATTTTTTAAAATCTAATTGCAGATGGACAGTGTACACTCACTGAGCACTTTATTAGGTACACCTGCCTTGTATCTACACTCTTTGTCCATTTTCTCAGCTCCACTTACCGTATAGGTGCACTTTGTAGTTAAACGCTGTAGTCCATCTGTTTCTTTGCATAATTTGTTATCCCAAATTCACTCTGTTCTTCAATGGTCAGGGCCCCCACAGGACCACCACAGAGCAGGTATTATTTTGTTGGTCCACCTTGTAGATGTAAAGTCCAAGACAGTAGCTCATCTGTTGCTGTACAGTTTGTGCTGGTCATCCTCTAGTCAAGGACTATTCTCAGTCCAGCAGTGACACTGAGGTGTTTAAAAACTCCAGCAGCACTGCTGTGTCTGATCCACTCAGACCAGTGCAACACACACTAACACACCACCACCACGTTAGTGTTACTGCAGTGCTGAGAATGATCCACCACCCAAATAGTACCTGCTCTGTGAGGGTCCAGGGGCTCCTCACCACTGAAGAACAGGGTAAAAGGGGGCTAACAAAGTACGCAGAGAAACAGATGGACTACAGTCTGTAACTGTAGAACTACAAAGTGCACCTATACAGTAAGTGGAGCTGATAAAATGGACAATGTAGATACAAAGTAGGTGTACCTAATAAAGTACTCAGTGAGTGTACATTCTGTGTGGTTTTTTAATGCCTTTTAAAAGGGAAATGACGAATAAGTCAGTGTGACTAATAAATGACTGATAATCACTGGGTCAGAGGCCAGATCAATGTTCTATAAAGAACGTTTTTGAAAAACGGTTTCTTGACATCATAACTGTAGTAGAACCCTTTTTGGTGCCATAAAGAACCATATACAACACATTCTCCGTCAATCTGAATAACCATTTTACCATGCAAAGAACCATTTAAGCAGGAAATGGTTCTATACAGAACTCATGATTCTAAACAGAAACATTCCTTTTACTAAAGAACCATTGAAAAAACATATTTTTAACAGTTTATCGTTAGTACAGGAACAGAAATTGACCTGTTGTCTCAATACACCTCATGATTCCCACACATCCTAAAAAAATTGGAAATCTACGTACTAGATTTCCAGTCGTTCAAATCTGGAAAGTAAGAATATAAAATCAGCTTGATGTATGACTAATAAGGCCAAAAGCAGACAGCAGTGATGTCAGTGGGCCAGAGGTTTGATCAGTGTTGCTTTACTACAAACCCAATTCCAAAAAATTTGCAACAGTATGTAAAATGCCAATAAAAACAGAAAGCAGTGATTAGTAAATCCTTTTTGATCTGTATTAAATTTAATGCTCCTTTTCCACTTGGGCCCAGAGGGATGTCACAATATCTGTTGTTTTCATAAAACTCATCAGACCACTATACGTGTTTCCATTGTGCGTCAGTGCATTTCAAATGAGTCTGAGCCCAGAGAAGTGGGCGGCGTTTCTGGACATTGTTGACATTCGGCTTCCACTGTGCACTAGTGATAGATGGTGATCACTGACAGCAGTTGTGGTTACACGTGGTGATATACATCACAGACATGCAGTGCCGTCTGAGGGATTGAAGGTTGTGGGCATGTAGTTGTGGTTTTTGGCCGTTTAGCGACTGTAGACGGTGAAATAACCAAAATCTTTGAAAAAGAAAGGTTGTTTTCAAACAGTTGGACTGTGGCGGGTGCATTTTTTGATGAGTGTGTTGCAGGCATTAGTTTTACAGTGAGCCTATATTGTTTAAAAACACAAAGTTGGTAAGATAAAATGTTAAATATATTGTCTTTGTACTGCTTTTGTTTAAATACAGGTCAAAGTGGATTCACAAATTACTTTTACAAACTCTTTTGGAATTGTGTTTGTACTTGTACATTAATTTATATTTAGTAGGTGATGGACATGAACACAAGTACTGTTGTTCCAAAATAATACAACACACATCGGAGACTGTGAGCCACGGCAAAGAGCAGCACTGAAATCATTCGAATATGAAGTTATCCAACCAGTAAATGCCTTACTTACACGCTTAGTATGCTGTATTTGTAACAGAGAACACTAATTTTAGCAAAGTGAAGTATTAAAATCATTTTTAGCACTATGTATTGACAAATTCTTGAGGATCTGGTGTTGGAAGTGGCAAAATGGTGTCTGTGCATCCCTGGTTATAAACCTTGAAGTCTTTTTTCCAGATTTGTTGTCTCTGGTCATTTTCACTCTGGTGATTGGCTATGTGGACAGAGACAATTCTTTTGTCAGGTCCGAGGTGAAGTTTGCCACGGCTGTGTCCTCCATCATTCCTCTGTCTTACTACATTGGCATGGGCATAGCAAGGTAATATCCAAATCTACAGCATGTCCTCCTGTAATCACTCAGATCACTCAGAACACACTGACTTCTCTAAACTCAAGAAATCCATACATGGACCGGCCATTTCATCAAGTACTTCTCCTTGTTTCTACACTCATTGTCCATTTTATCAGCTCCACTGACTATATAGGAGCACTTTGTAGCTCTGCAGTTACAGACTGTAGTCCATCTGTTTCTCTGCCTACTTTCTTACCCTGTTCTTCAATGGTCAGGACCCCCACAGGACCACCACAGAGCAGGTATTACGAGGGTGGTGGATCATTCTCAGCACTGCAGTAACATTGATGTGGTGGTGGTGTGTTGCGCTGGTCTGAGTGGATCAGACACAGCAGTGCTGCTGGAGTTTTAAACTCCTCACTGTCACTGCTGGACTGAGAATAGTCCACCAACCAAAAACATCCAGCCCACAGTGTCCTGTGACCACTGATGAAGGACTAGAGGATGACCAACACAAACTGTAAAGTAACAGATGAGCTATCGTCTTTCTTGGAAGACCAACAAAGTAGCTGTGCCTAATAGAGTGGACACTGAGTGGGCGCAGTATTTAAATACTCCAGCAGTACTGCAGTGTCTGATCCACTTGTACCAGCGCAACGCATACAAGGACGTGTACTTGATAAAGTGACCAGTCTGTGTATATCTCTGTGGTCAGTTGTGAATGGATTGTTGACTGTGGTGCTTGTGATCTCTCAGTATCTCAGCTCAGAGTAACTTCGCTGTGGGAGCAGTAGTAAACGCCACATTCGGTTCCATTACTGAGATGACCTTCTACATCACTGCCCTGCTGCAAGGTCACCGGGCTGGGAGCAAGTGCTATGGAGAGATTGTTAAGGCGGCTCTGACGGGGACCCTGCTGGGCTGCATCCTCTTTGTTCCGGTGAGTGACTGATTGTGTTTAGAGGTTTTTATTGTATTTCTATTATTTTCAGTAACACAGACTGAGACCGTAAAGAAGTCCTCCAACATTTTCCAACCTAATCTCTGTGCTGCTTCCATGTGGTCAGTTACCCCAAATAATTGTTTTGAGATGTTTCCCTACACCTTTAAAAAAGATGGTTCTTCAAGGGTTCTTTAGTAATGTATTGAATGTGTTGTTTATGGTTCTATAAAGAACTTTTTTGATAATGGTTCTTGGCATAACTATAGAAGAACCCTTTTTGGTGCTATATAGAACCATATACAACACAAGGAATAGTTCTATTTAGAACAAATGAGTTCTATATAGAACCATTTCATGCTTTAATGGTTCTTTGCATGGTGAAATGGTTCTTCAGATTGATGGAGAATGTGTTGTTTATGGTCCTATAAAGGACTTCCTTGGAAATAGTTCCTTGACATCATAACTGTAGAAGAACACTTTTTGGTGCTGTATAGAACAATATACAGCACAAGGAATGGTTCAATTTAGAACCACGAGTTCTACATAGAACCATTTCCTGCTTAAATGGTTCCTTGCATGGTGAAATGGTTATTTAGATTGATGGAGAATGTGTTGTATATGGTTCTGTGTGGCACCAAAAAGGGTTCCTCTATAGTTACGATGTCAAGAACCATTTTTAAAAAAAAAAAGTCCTGCATGGAACCATATACAACACATTCTCCATCAATCTAAAGAACGATTTAAGCATGAAATGGTTCTATATAGTTTTTACTATACATTTACTAAAGAACCCTTGAACCATCTCACACCTCTGGGTTCCCACATGTCCTGGAAAATTTGGGAATCTGTGAACTAGATTTCCAGTCATGCAGAACACCTGGAAAGTAGGAAAACTATGAATGTCCTGAAAAGTGTTTAAGCCACTGAGGTGGGATATTTCAGCGCATGTTTAGCTGCTAATGGCTAGTTTGAGTGTTCATTCATACCTGTTGTAGTTTGTTGTATTGCATGTGGACAAATTTGTGGATGCTGTGTTGGAACACCTGATCGAGCGAGGCTACATTAACACGCCAACTTCTTGCAGAATATAACATTCATGTCTAATATTTTAGTACAATGTGTGATCAAATGATGAGTAGCTAAGGACTGTTTCAAGTGAGTCAATGTTTAGGTGTATTAAGTCAGAAAGGGGTCGTTAGGGGCTGCATCAACTTTAATGTTAAGGAAATCAGCAGCTGTGCTGACCTTTAATCAGCAACTGCTGTCTTGGGTCTATATATATATATATATATATATATATATATATATATATATATATATATATATATATATATATATATATATAATGAAAATGGTCCTGGAAAATGATTTCCTAGTAAAGGGAACTTCTAATAACAACTGCCTACTGGCTTCTGTTACAAGTTTCTGTTCTGTTGTAATTGACCTTATGCCACAGATCTGGCACGTTGAGATTAGGTTGTAAAATGCTGCAGTATTGCTTTAATGATTTCCCCTTTTAATCATCCTCATCTCATTCGTGGTCATGTAAGCTGAGCCTGTCTTACAGGGTCTCTGCATGGTCGTTGGGGGCTTCAAGCACAGAGAGCAGAGATTCAACAGCAGATCGGCCGGGGTCAGCTCTGCCCTGCTCTTTATTTCAGTAGGAGGTGAGGAAACTACATGATCCAGTTATTTGTATACTTATTGAAGCAGACATCAAATATATATTGATGGGTAGGTGTGTGAGTATGTGTGTTCGTACATGTACAGCACAACAAAATGCGGTTAGCACCTACATGAAAAGCAAGTAGTAGCATTGTGCCAAATTAAATAAAGTGTATTATTATATTTATGTACAAATAATGTACAAAATTTATAAACTAGTTAAAGAACAGTGTATATTCTAATAATATTGCACAAGTAACTAGTTTTTTTTATGTATAGGAAAAATAAAGAATAATATATGTAAAATACAGAAAAATGGTGTATTCAGTTGTGTTAAATATACAGATTATGTATGTACAGAGTGTAAAATGTACAACAGAAGTGTGTGTGTGTTTGTGAATAAATGCAAAATACATGTATCGCTGCTGTTGGGACACAACCTCATATCTCCAAATGATAACTTTACAGGAGAAGAAAAAAACATACTTTACTTTTAATGTAAGTCAATGGAACCAGATGTTTTTTCAAGTAATTTTGGGTCGTTTCCTTTGGTCCATTAATTGTGATTTGATGTGTTGGGTCGGGCGTTTTTCAGACCATGTCACACGTCTTTGTGTGTTAACGTCACACGCACACGTTTTAAAAGAAAGTCCTTCTCTATGTTTGGCTCTCAAAGGCAAAATCAACATTACACTGCTAAAAATATGATGACAACGTTGAAAGATGTGTCCATCAAGTTTTGACCGAGCTTTCTTTACATACTTTTTCAAAGCACTCGCAATCATCAGATTTATCTGCTAGGGGAAGCGGTCCGTTGCACACCTCACCTTTCTTCCACACGTTGCTTGCAATTACATATTTCCACCAGAGAGGTCTCCAAATCCCCGAATCTTACACAGTTCAGCTTTACTTGGGTCAGGTGAGCATGAAGCTGAGTTTGGTTTATCTTTTTTTCTGCTGTGTCTGGGATTACAGGTGTGTTTGCCCCTACTCTCTTCTCTAAAGCCTATGGGAACCTGATGTGCGAAGGCTGCAGTAATCCCTCGGGGAATAACAGCGGGCCGTTTTACTGCACAGATTGCCACTATGACCTGGTGAGTAATTGGATCTCTGAAACCATGAAGTGCAGTAAAAAAGATCTTTTTTTTTTCTGGAGAATCTGACCACAAACGTGCTGTTTTCTCTTGCAGAGTGAGAACAACCACTCCCTGTATCTGAGTCACATTGAGTAAGTGTATCTACACGTTTTTGAGTTCCAGATACTTTAGTAGTGAAAGTACATGTGTCGTCATTTTCAGCCTGTGGTGATATTACAGGCCTCTGGTGTATACAGTCTCTGTCCTTCTGCCCGCTGCCTATCTCATCGGCCTGGTCTTCACGCTAAAGACCCACTCGCACATCTACGACATCCACGTCAGTGATGGCCACGGCCATGGTGTGTATCCACAAGAGAGCGCTGTTTTTCACATTAAGTGTTTTCTGTAATTGATGCTGATGTCTAGTATTTTATGTTGACACACCTGCTGATGCATAAATACATAAAAATACAACACATAAATATTTATACATTATAGAAATTGGGACATTGACCTGGATTAGATAGAAATTTAACACTTATTTTGGGTTACAGATGCAGTAAAATGAATAAAATGCATTTAGCTCAGTAGCCCAACATCACCTAAGTCAGGCATGTCAAACTGGTGACCTTCCAGGCCAAAGTGCTGCGGAGATCAGTATTTACCCTCATCTATCACTCTGAATTCAGTTCGTTAAGGCCTTGCTAATGAGCTGATGAGCTGAATCGGGTGTGTTTAACGGAGCAGTGAGCTGAAGTCTGCAGTGTTTTGGCCCATAAGGACTGGAGCCTGACACATGTGACCCAAGTGCTCTGTTCTCTGCTCTTGTGGAATCCAATAAGTATGACAACAAATATCAGTTTGAAATATTGGTCAAATCTAAACACCTGTCCAGTGCCAGTATCATTCTGATGTCATTATGCATCCCTAGTTTCGTGTTGGTGCCTCCAGGGCAGCAGGCTGTAACCTTCAAGTCAAACTTCAGCTGTCTTGTTCCTCCTATTTACAGTCATATGCAAATATTTGAACACTCCTGGTCAAGTTACATGTTTTGTTGACTCTCTGAGTGGAAATAAGTTAAAACATCCTGTAAAGGGGACAAACTTAAATGTGGCATTGTTTCTAATTTCTGTGTATTTGCTGAGTTTAATGTATTGGAAAAAAATAAAACATAAAATATAAAATGTGAACTTACGTTATAAGTTTTATTTTTTCCCCAATATGTCAAATTTAGCAATTAAACAGGAAAACGTGCAGATGTGTTCTCTGTAAAGGATGTTTTAACTCATTTACATCAAAATAAATCATATATATATATATATATATATATATATATATATATATATATATATATACACGCACACAGCTAGGTGATGTTTTTTGTCTGCTCATATAATATTATTTATCCTGTTACTGTATTTCTCTTGTACCAGTGGCTAGTCAACATAATCCAGTGGTGCATTGGTCCAGATGGAGGGCTTTGGTGGTTCTAATCGTGGCCACTATACTGACGGCAGCCTGTGCAGACCTCACAACAGAGCACATCAAACCCATCATCTCTCACTCCAGTGTCTCACAGGTCCATCTGCCACCTTTATTCACATCTACGTAAGAAGTATCCAGGGATGCCCCGATATGGGAATTATGAGCTGATGTTGATATTTGATATTTTTCTTATACATGTCTGCAGATGCTGATACATACACATTTATAGAGACTACATCCACCTGGATAAGCATTACAGAGAAATGTAGCCCTGTAGAGTCACAAGTGCAGTAAAGGCACAGTAACCCAGCTTCACCTAAACATTCTGTGCTTCTATAGTACAATAAGCACATCATCACATATCAGTTTGAAATAACTGTCAAATCTAAACATCTGTTCGATGCTATTTTTTATTTAATCAATTTTTTTAAGCAAATATCTGCCAGTAACTGTTATGATCCCGATATTACTGTGCAGCCCTGGAAATATCAGTCCCAGCATCATAATCCCACATTTGATTCTGCTTAAACTTCTTTTATACATGTTTTTATACACATCTGCTCATTAGAATCCAGGTACTCTAGAAAGAAGGTGTTCAAATGTAGGTCAAACATTTTGAAAAGTGTGTGTGTGTGTATATATATATATATATATATATATATATATATATATATATAGACTAAAAAAAAATCAGTGTTTTAACTTAAAGTTAGCAACCTGGTTGAATAAAAAATTAAGTTAATTGAGCTTCTGATAAGAAGTTTTACACTCTGTCAACTGAATTTTAAGACAACCAGGTTTCTTTTTTAATTTAAAATATTCAGTCAGTTTTACAGTGTATAGTCATTTACACTGACCTTAGTCAAATTACGTTTTGTTGATTTTTTTCAAAGTGACAATAAGTGAACACGTCCTCCCGAACACATTTCTGCACAATTTACACTTTTTTTTCTTTTTTTTTGCTGGATTTAACAGAAAAAATACAACATAAAATGTAGCCTGTGCCAAAGTTTTGGGACATTTTACATTTTATGTTTTTTTTTTTTTCCCCAATATGTTTAACTCTGCAAATAAATAAGTTTTAAATATGTTCTTACTGAACTATAAAAAAAAAAATGAACAAAACGTAATTTGAGTAATTTTGTCTTCTTGTAGTACTTCATTGGAGTGACTGTGCTGGCCATGGTTCCTGAGATTCCAGAAATTGTGAATGGGATCCAGTTTGCCCTGCAGAATAACATCAGTTTAAGGTCGGCACTCTCGATATTTAACCCTTGTGTGGTGTTGGGGGGGTCTGTGGGACCCGTTTTCAATGTTTAACAAAAGAAAAAAATAATGGGATTTATTATTATTTCAACCTCAGATTCTTGGTCTTTGCTCATTTTCTGTGAAGAACATATAAAATAACCCATTTTCAGTGTCTTCACTCTGTTCACCCCCCACACATCTATATTACACATGTGGTGTTGGGTGAACCTGCGGGGAGTAAAAGTGTGGAGGTGCTGTGTCCTTCACTCTGTTCTCCTCCTACATGGCCTGCTGTCAGTGTGTGTGTGTGTGTGTGTGTGTGTGTGTGTGTGTGTGTGTGTGTGTGTGTGTGTGAGGGTGGACAACATGGACAGGCTGCTGACTGGCTACAGCTGCCAAAGGAGAACCCTACGCTGGACACTTGTGATATTTTAATCATCTGGTATTTTTACATTAATTGTTATGGCTGTATTGATTTATTAAAACAATAATGTGGTGGGTCACCAGACCACTGAGTAACAAACACATCAACACCACACAAGGGTTAACAATCTTTGTTTTTTTCCTTCTTGTTTTCTTTAGTGTACTTTGCAACTATGTAATAATTTTATTTATTTATTTATTTTTTTAATCTAGCCTGGAAGTTGGAAACTGTATTGCAGTACAAGTCTGCATGCTTCAGATTCCCCTCCTGATCTTATTCAATGCTGTTTACGTAAGTAAGCCTGACAAACTGTAATCCACTCTTACTCAGTTCATCGTGTATGTGCACGATGGGGAAACGTTACATTAAGAGCTTTGCATTCCGACCAGGACGTTGGATTTGTGCTCATATTCAGCGACTTGCACCTCTGGGCCAGCATCTTCAGCGTCATCCTGGCGAATTACATCTTTATGGATGGAAAGTCTGATTATTTCCAGGGTATGTGCTGTTCAGTGTTTTTTAAAAGTTGCTCTTGAGTGGTTTAGTCTGACTGAAATGGCCGTGTTCTTCCTCAGGAACAGCTCTGACGGTTGTCTACCTCATCCTCCTGGCTTTGTACTTCTTCGCACCATCCCCACTTGGCTGCTGACCATCGAGTCCTTTCTCACTTGTTTTTCTCTCTTTTTATGAAAGCGTTATGTATTTGTGTAGTTCAACTCTTCACTATTATACTGTGGATTCTGGGTCACCCGTTTGTGTAAATGTCTGATTATGATATGAGTTGTGGCTGTTCTGTGTACAGTTTGTTATATGAAGTATAATTTGTTATACATGTTAAATACACTTCGACATTTCCTCATTAATTATGTTACAATCTGTTTAAACAGATAAACTTGTAATAAATATCCTCTCTGGTATTTTTATGCTGAGAGGAAGGAAACATTATCAACATTAAGATCTTTGACACGTTTTGTAATAAACATGTAAATATAAACTGTGTTAATTGGGTTAAAGGTGGTTTTTTTGCAGAAAATCTGCAGAAATCTTGATTTGACACATAAACAAACTCATTCAGAGTGGATTGACGTGAAATGTCTCATTCTCAGATTCCGTTCTGATTTGTGGTGGCGATATGAACCGGGGGTCTCTACAACACAAATATAGCCATTTTGTTTACATTTTATTAGCTATTTTATTTCCAAAACAATAAGCAAGCTTACATGTGTCATCTTTGTTTTTATATGTAATGTTGATGGTGGTAAACCTGAAAAACACACATTTTTCCTTTGGGACTATTTTGCCTTATAACACCTTTATCTCTCCACCATGAACTGATCTTACAAAAAATAGTTTTAGGCCAAAACTATCGCTTTCTAAACTATCTATAGGCTGAGTGTTCATAACCATAACTTTGGGAGGGAGATTTTAGAGGCATTGAAGTCTTCAGAACTTTTTTTTTTTTTACTTTATTTTTGTCTCTTTACAGTTATCACTGGATGACTTCCAGGAGGAAAGACAGGTTAATAAAAGCATGAACAAACATAACAGAACAAAGGCTGACTAGGAGATAATCTAGTATCCATTTGCTAACAGGACCATTTTACAAACATCAAGGGTTCCACAGTAGTATGTAATATAATCATGCATATGTCACCATTTGCATATCCTCTTAATTGCTTGTGCTACTTGCCCTCTAATGAGGTATTTTAAGACCCATTTCTTCTAGTATTTTGTGAACTATTCCGTCCTCAGTTGTAAGTTTTTCCATTGAGTAAAATTCATGGAGCATTTTACGCCATTGTTTTTTTTTTGTTTTTAGGGGGGGGGCGGTCCTGCTGCTTCCACTTTATTGTTATAGCCTTGTTTACTAGCCACCAATAATATTTTAAGCAGGTGTTTGTCATTCTTCCCTACTAAATGGAGTAATTTTTCAAAATAAAGATTCACGCATTAAACTCCAAATGAGTCCCCAATAAAATTTCTAATCTCTTGCCAAAAAGACAGAATTATTGGAACACCCCAAAAAATCTTAAAATAATCAGCCATTTGAGTACAGCACCATCTCCAGCATCATCCCTGGTGACTCTTTGTCGATCAGAGCTCTTCTTTTAGGAGCATAAAAAACCCTGACATTTCCAATTAAATTCTCTAAATAATCTTGAATATGATGAAACAATTCATCTACAGGAGTTATCCCAATTTTCATCCAAGATATATTGATATCTTACATTCTTTTTCCAATTTAAAATTTTTATAATTTTTTATTCATTTTATATGTATATATATATATATATATATATATATATATATATATATATATATATATATATAAAAAATGTGTGTATGTATAATGTGTAATATATAATGTATATTAGTTGAGTCTCCTTTGGTTATTTGGATACTCCTGTATATATTTGAATATATACACAATCTCCTGTTATCCTTCAGCTTGTAGATATTTAAAAAAAAGCCCAAATCAGATTTCACTGGGTGGATGAATTGGGATCTCCTTGGGAATGAATGGATCTCCTTTAAAATGAGCGATATAAATTTATCTGAATGTATGATCAATGCAAAACATTTAAAAGTGAAAAAAGAACTTTATCCAGAACAACTTGGAACAAATTTATTGAATTCCCTACAATGAAAACACAAAACAGGTACACTAATACAGGTATTCAATGACTGCCTTAAAACCATTTGCTGCACAGCAGGAATTCTAATCCAGCACGACCCTTCGTCAATGTAAAATAATGATCTGTTATTTTATGTTACATAGACTTGATACAGACTCATGTATCTGTATGTTTAATAGATGAATATTTGACACAGTTGTAGAGCAGATTATTTGGACGATCTGCAGACCTAAAAGTCCAGGTGAAAGTAGCAAGACCTCTAGAGTCTAGACCTCATGCAAAGAGGAGATAGCCATGCAGAAACAATAATAAGGGCAGAACATAAAGGGGGAGGCATGTACTTTTTGACGTGGGGCCCTGCTAAACACCACGGAAATGAATGGACAGTGGTAGTGAAACAGCCACAAGCTAGTTGGATGTAAAATGGTTTCGTTCATAACGTAATTTTCTGCTGGTGCCTAATTTTCTAATCGTTTAGATGGCCATAAAATGTATAAATCATATAATAAGTCGAAAAAGCGTTATACAGATAGTATGAATTGGGTGAATACAAGCTGCAGTATTTGCCGTTCAGTCCAATGACATGCTTGGTTTTTACTCAGAGCTTCGTACTTATCAAAGTAACACTTGTTACAGTAAAAGATGAGTTTCCGGCTACATTATTGCTAATTTAAAAAGGTGGGTTTTCAGCACAGCCACTACATGCACAGAAATATACAGAAGCCTCCAAGATTTTAAACAAATCTCACAAAACTGATCAGTCAATAAAAATTAAGTTGAGAGAAAAAAAACAAAACTGATGACATTAGAAGACCTAGAGTACTGTATTTTGGGAGAATACAATTTGAATAAGAAGTTATAAAGTGCTTACAGCAAGGCTTGGTGTCACCATTGTTGAGACCCAAGCAAAATTTAGCACAAAATCTGTTCTTCCTTGAAAAGGCACAAATTAGTTGTATGAAAATCATCGAATGTCATCATTTAAAGATGGACATGAGGGGTGTTTAGTTTTGGCAGAAGGAAAAGTAGTTTTTATTTTAGTAAAAGCAAAAAAAAGTATATTGAGGAGCACCTTATTCACAGTGATGAAACGTTTGGAATACAACAACAACAAAAAAAACAACAGATACCAAGGAAGATATATTACATTATTTTGTGTCTTAAGTGTAGAAAGTTTGCAACGTGTTTCCTACCTGGGGAAAGGGGTGAATGCACTGTTTCTACATGTTTGCTGACCAACAACACTCATTCAACATCACACTTACACTGGGCACCATTCTGGGCCTGGATTCCCAACTGCAGCAAACCAGAGTGATCATTCCGAGAACTAATTTGATTTCGGAAACAAACAGCAAAACACAAATGGATTTAAGTTAGATTAATAAAAGAAGGCAAAAAAACAAACAAACAAAAAAAAAACACAACATGCAGTCCTGTTTGATAACAGCAAAATTGCTTGAGGCCATTAAAATAAGAGCATTGTCCTAAAAAGATGAATTGGAGCATTTTCTTTTTTTTCGGGTCGTTGACTTGTTGCTTTAGAAGTGGGCGAGGACTTGAAACATTCCACTTTATAGTTGAAATCATTAAAAGTGCATACATAAAGAAAAAGGCATCCCATAGTTTTTGGTTTTAAGGCAGGCTACATCTCAGGACATATTCCAGAAGAAGAAGGGGTCTTTAAAAATGTCTCCTGTGTTCCTCGTCTCCAGACCCTGGCTCAAGTGCATCGCTGCCGTCCTCGATTCCCAAGCAGACGCGCGCCCACGTGCCTGCTCTTTACTTTAAACGTTCAATGAGTTCCTGCGTGAGGCCTAGGTTCAGCAGCTGCATGGCGGAGAGCCGGGCCAGGTGAGGGAAGGATTTAAGCAGCCTCTCCCAGCACAGCTCCAGCAGGCTGGGGACCACCAGCCAAATCTTAAACAGAGAGCCAGTCCTCTTGTTCTCATGGATGTTCACCACCCCACCGTGGATGTACATGCACCCAGCCTAAAGGTAAAAGCGAGAGAACGAGGTTTTACATTAAAAAACCTGAATTAAAAACGGAGTGCATTTGTAAATAAATAAATAAATTACTCAGTGGGGTTCACGTGACGCAAGGAGCTTAAAAATGCTTTAAAAAAAGCAGGATGACGCATTTGATTAACAGGTAACAAGTCAGGTAAACACGAGAGCGATTTATGAGAACAGCAACTACTGATTTCAAAACCAACACATATAATCATAAACAGAAAACAAATAATATTTCAATAATAATAATAATAATAATAATGAAGAGGAAAAAAATTCATTCATTTTAATTTGGAAAATTAAATGAATTTTATTTGGAAAAAAGTAGCTTTTTCTCCATGTTCATGAGTGACTGACTAGACTGATTATTAACAAGTCAGTAAGGCTGCAACGAGTAGCCGACATAATCGATAACGTCGATTATAAAAATTAATTTAATTTGTAACTGCAACGCACTCGGGACGTTCTGGGGGCGATATCGCTTCCATTGGCACGACTGTATTCTGTACTAATGAAGAACATACTGAATGATGGTGTGGTGCAGAGAGTGTGAAGAAGGCCAGGCAAAAAAGTGAGACTGAAACTTTCAAAAGTCTGGGAGCATTTTAGCAAAAATAAACCACTGAAACAAGTCGAATGCAGACACAGTAAAGATGACGAGGGCATGACGGAAATAATCGTTGACTAATTGACTAATCGTAAATAAATAAATAAATAAATAAATAAATAAATAATCGACAGATTAGTCGACTACCAAAATCATTAGTTGCAGCCCTACTGGTCAGCTGTGTATGTGTGTATAACGCTTTTAGATGGAGCCCAGCAGACTAGTTGACTTTTTTTAAATTAAAGCTTAAACACAGACAGTTTGAAAAGGCAGCAAACGCCCCCTTAAAGGGGAATTCCACCAATTTTTCAATATTTCTGTATATTAAAATGGCTTACATGGAAACAGTCAGTCATTCAGATTAGACTGATGTGAAAAGCCGTTTTAGTGGTTCAC